ATAAAATTTAGCAAGATTGTAGGATAAGTCAGTATACAAAAATGAATTGTGTTTACTAACAATGGGCAGTTGGGAGTTGGAGTTTAAAAATGTATTAAAGCATCCAAAAAACCTAAAATACATAGGAATAACTCTAACAAAATATATGCAAGAACTATATACTGAAAACTAACTACAAAGCACTGCTGAGAGAAATTTGAGAACTAAATAAACAGAAAGAGAAGTTATCAAAATGGGTCAATTAGTGTTCCCTCCACCTCCCTTCCACTCCCTCTGAAATTTCAGCATGTTACCTATTTTGGGAATAGTGAGTTTGTAAATGTAATTAGCTAAGTATCTTCTGATGAGAGGGTGGGCTCTGAATTCAATGACTGGTGACTTTACAAAAGAAAGGGAGATTTGAACCAGCTGACAAAGGGTAGAAGATTCTGTGAAGATGGGGGCACAGGTTACAGTTGCGTTGTTACAAGCCAAAGTCAAGGAATGCTAAGAGCATTTGGGAAAACATATTTGTAAGAAGCAAAGGAATACCCCAGAGAGAGGAGTAGGGCCCTGCAAATACCTTAATTTTAGACTTCTGGTCTCCAGAACTGTGATAAATTTCTGTTGTTCTAAAGCTACCAAGTTTGTGGTAATTTGTCATGGGAGCTCTAGGGAACTGATACAACTGTGTACTGGATTGGGACCTAGAATAATCAAAACAATTTTGAAAAAGAACAACAAAGTTTGAGGACTTAACTAACTGTAGGACTTGCTATAAAAGCCAAGTATTCAGGGCAGTGGTATTAGCATGAAAATAGACTAAATAGATAGAACAAAGTAGAGGTGCTTAACCAGTGAGCCATATCCCCAACCCTTTTTATTTTTTATTTTGAGACAGGGTCTCACTAAGTTACTTAGGGCTTGCTAGGGTATTTCTGAATTTGCAATCCTGCTAGCCTGGCTGGTGGAAAGGGTAATCTTTTAAATGGTGCTAGAACAATTGGATACTGATAAACAACCAACAATAACAACAACAAAAAATTGACCCTTACCCATTACAGTACAGCAAGAGTAGTTCAAAATGGATCATAGACCCAAGTTTAGGAGTTAAAACTATAAAATTTGTATAACACAAGAGAAAAATTTTATGATCTTGGTTTGGAAAAAAAATTCCTAGATATGTTACTAAAATCATGAACCATTAAAAAAGGTGGTAAATTTGGGGCTGGGGCTCAGTGGTAGGGCACTTGCCTGGCATGTGAGGCGCTGGGTTCGATTCACAGCATCACATATAAATAATAAAATAAAGGTCATCAACAACTAATATATATATATATATATATATATATATATTTTTTTTTTTTTTTTTTTTTTTTTAAAGGTGGTAAATTGGAACTCATCAAAGTTAGGAATTTTTGTGAATTAAAAGATAATGCTGCTGGCACATGCCTATAACTCCAGCAACTTTGGAGGCTAAGGCAGGGGTCACAAGTTTAAAGCCAGCCTCAGCAATTTAGCAAGGCCCTAAGCAACTTAGCAAGACCCCATCTCCAAAAAAAAAAAAAAAAGTGATGTGGCTCAGTGGATAAGCACTGCTGGGTTCAATCCCTAGTACCAAAAAACAAAAACAAAACCCCAAAGAACCCCACCAACAATAAAAGATAATGCTAATAAAGTGAAAAAGCAAGTTACAATTTGGGAAAACATATTTGTAAGTTCCATGTATGACAAAGGACCTGTTTGTAGAATATATAAAGAGTTGTTATTATAACTCAAAACTAATAACCCATTTTAAAAATGGACAAAATATATGAGCATATAGTCCATTAAAATTATACAGATGTCCAATAAATACATGAAAAATTGATCAGTGTGATTAATCATTGGGAAAATGCAAATCAAGAAATCAAAACCATAATGGAATGCCACTACAACCTCTAAAATGACTAAAATTAAAAAGGCTTCCAAAGCTGAACATGGTGGTACACTTCTGTAATTCCAGTGATTTGGAAAACTGAGGTAGGAGAATTGCAAGGTTGAAGGATATAATTGGAGTTCTCAAACTGTTGGTGGCTATCTAATGTTACAACAACTTTTAAAAACTATTTAGCAATCTAAAAAAAAAAGATAAAGGTACACTTTCCCTATGACTGAACATTCTACTCCTAAGTATTTACCTAAGAGAAATGAAAGGTCAGGTCTATAAAAAGACTTGCTGGGGAATGGCTATGGTACCTCAGTTCATAATAAGCAAAAAACTGGAACCAATCAGATATCCATCTATACACTAATGAATAAAACATGTTCAACATTATTAATATCCATGAAAATACAAATTAAACCATGTTAAGATATCACTTCATGACCACTACAATGACAAGAAATAAAAAGACCAAGAATACCATGTGTTGGTGAAGTTGTGAGCAGCTAGAACTCTAAAGCATTGCTGGTAGAAATGCAGAATGATAAAGCAGCCTTAGATAACAGTTCTCAGGTTCTTAGAATGTTAACCATGCCCTTATGTATATAATCAGCAATTCTACTTCTAAATATTTAACCAAGAGAAATTAAAAGATATGTTTGCAGAAAGATCTGGGTTCAAACATTCATAACAGCTTTACTTATGATAGCTGAGAACTGAAAACCACTTAATCTCCATTGATAGATGAGTGGAAAACAAAAATTGAAACAATAAAAGAGTGTGCTACTGATATACACAATACCATGGATGAATCTCCAAAACATGTTGAGGGAAAGCAGCCAGAAACAAAAATAGTGTGTATATGGTTCCTTTTATAGAAATGTAAGAAAACCCCAACTAATCTTAGAAAACAAATCAGTGGTTGCCTGAACCTGGAAGTAGAGGCAGGAATTTACTGAAAGGGGTATGAATGAACTTTTGGGGCTGATAGAAATGTACTGTTTCTTAATTGTGTTTAAGTGGGTATACACATTTTTGAAAAGATTGACTGACTGTATACATTTGAAATGTGTGCAGTTTAGTTTTGAATTATATTTCCACTGAGTTGATTTTAAAAAGTAACATTCTACCACCCTTGTAGCCACCCATCATTTCTCATTTGGATGACTGCAGTACACTCCTGAGTGTATTTCACTACAATCCTGGCTGTTGCTTTACTTCTCAGACCCATATAGGACAATGTGACCTTTCACTTCCCTGCACACACTCTTTAATTGCTCACCAGGCTGCCTCTTTAACCTGGCCTGTAGCCTTCTTCTGTGGCCCTTACCTATCTTTCTAGCTCATCTTCCATCACCTCCTGCTTCTTACTTTGCTTTTGGCTCTCAGTTCCCAGAACAGACCTTGCTAATTTCATTTCTTGTGCCTATACTCATTCTTTTGTTTAGTAAACAACTTTATCCTTTAAAACCCAGCTTAGGACTCTCCTTATCCAGGATATGTTTTTCTTTTGTAAAGATTATCCTTCATGCCTTCCCTCTCCCCAAGAGAGAAGAGGTTAAGTAGCTTCAGATAGTTTCTTTGGTTCATCATAACTTTTTTTTATAATATGTATTTTTTATAACTTTATTTTATTTATTTATATTTTTATGTGGTGCTGAGGATTGAACCCAGTGCCTCATGTATGCTAGCAAGTACTCTACCCAGCCCCAGTTCATCATAACTTTTATAGATATATTTACTATTTTAGCTTATTATATTTTTAGTTTTTACTCTGCTGCTTATTGAACACAATAATTAAGTTTTATTTTTATTTTGGATCTACATCGCCTGTTCCATAATAAGTATATTGGAAATATTGATTATAAATGTTAAGAAGACTGAGGTATATACATAGTATTGTTATTATTATTCTTTTATTTTAAATAAAAACTCTTCATAGAGAAGAACTGAAGCTGGGCATGTAATTCCAGTGGCTAGGGGCGCTGAGGCAGGAGGATCGCGAGTTCAAAGCCAGCCTCAGCAAAAGCAAGGCGCTAAGCAACTAAGGCACTAAGTGAGACCCTGTCTCTAAATAAAAATACAAATCAGAGCTGGGGGTGTGGCTCAGTGGTCGAGTGCCTCTGAGTTTAATCTCCAGTACCAAAAAGAAAAAAAAAAAAAAAGAACTGAGTCTGAGTATGGTGACACATGTTTATAATCCTAGCTGATCAGGAGATCAGAGGATTGCAAGTTTGCAAGTTCCAGCCCAACCTGGGAAATTTAGTGAGACCTTGTATCAAAATAGGAAATTAAAAGGACTGGTGATGTAGCTCAGTGGCAGAGAAACTTCAATTCAATCCCCAGTACCAGGGAGAAAAAAAATTAATAAATCTCTCAGTATTTTTCCTTTCTTTCTCTTTCTCTCCCTCCCCCTCCCCCCTTTTTTTCTCTCTCTTTCTTTTTTTCTTTCTTTCTTTTTTTTTATGTGTGTGTGTATGGTTCTGGAGATTGAACTCAGGGCCTTGTGCATGCTAGGAAAATACTCTACCACTGAGCTACAGCCCCAGATTTTATATCAACATTTTAAACAGTGTTTTTCTTTGGGTAGTATGGTGATTTTCCATTTCTGCAACAGAATACCTGAGATAATCAAAAGTTGAAAAGATTTATTTTTGGCTCAGTTTTAGAGGTCATTTGGTTCTCTTGTTTGGGCCTGTAGTGAGGCAAAGCATTAATGGTGAGGAATATGTGGTAGAGTAAAGCTGCTCACCTCATGGCAGCCAGGAACCAAAGAGAGGGAGAGAGGAAGGTGTCAGGGACACAATATAACCTTCAAAGACATTCTCCCAATGACCTATTTCCTTCAACTAGGCCCTGCCTCCTAAAGTTTCCACCACCTCCCAGTAGTGCCACCAGCTAGGGACCAAATTTTCAACACATGAGCCTTTGGGGGATATTCCAGATCCAAACTATTAACAGGTAGTGAGATTTAATTCTTTTAATATTTTTTACATTTTTACATTTTCAGGATATCATTTAACATACTATTATTTCATGAGCTATAACCTGAGAAACTAACATTTGCTGACTCAAATTATTTTTTACATTTTTTTAGGTCCAGAAGGCAGTTACAGTTTCCAGTCCCTTAACCACAGACCTGACTACAGAGATTGCTGGTCAGCCAAAGAGTGTATCAGTCCAACCTGAAACATCAGAGGATCCTGGAATTATAGCCAGCACTCAGCAAGTAAAAAGTCCTGGGAAAATCCAAACTGCTATCCCTCTTCCAGTGGCTCCCTCCTATATTCATACAACTCCTACCCCCCAGGCTTCCTTCCAGAGCACATCAGCACCATACCCAGGTGAGGACCTATGATCCTGCCCTTGGAAATAGGAAGAAAAGTGAAGCATTCAGTCCAAATATTTCAGTTCTCTCTGCTTTTAATTGATTTGAGTGTATATATATATATATATATATATATATATATAACCAGAAATAGAATTACTGGATGACTTGATAATTCTACTTTTAGTGGAATTTTTTTGTTTGTTTGTTTTTGTTTTAGTACTGGGGATTGAACCCACGGTGCTTTACTATTGAGCTACATCCTCAGCCTTTTTACTTTGTATTTTGAGACAGCATCTCACTAAGTTGCTGAGGGCCTCGCTAAGTTGTTGAGGCTGGCCTCAAACTTGTGATCTCCTGTCTCAGCCTCCCAAGGCACTGTCATTATAGGCATGTGCTACCATGCCGACAAAAGCATCTTTATTTTTAAAACAACCCATGGGAAGGATATCTAGTGTTACCTTAACAAGTCTGTGCTTCAGGAGTACTGCTCTAAGGTATTAGGAGGAAATGCTTAATCACTGGTTAATGGTTAATCCTGAAAAAGTCAAGAGGGTAAAGCAAAGCCAGTAAAAATACATTTTTGCCAATTTTTAATTTCCTAGGGTCTTCTTTGGTGGTAATGTAATGTGAAATTTAACGGTTTCAATCCTGAGGCACCAAAGTAATTTTCAGTTTAATTCTAAAGGGTTTGGGTTGTACTGCCTTGACTAGCCATTTTTTTGTTCATTGTACTCTCTGTGAGTATAATGATTTTCCTTTTTTCTTTTCTTTTTTAAAAAGTTACTTTAGAGAGCTCTTATTCCATCTCCTGGGGCCATCCAGAGGCTGCAGCTTCCATAAAGGATGGTTTCATTTTTTTCTAAGTGCAATGTTCCCAAGCAGAGGCAGATAAATCTCAAGTTTTATATATCTAGGAAGCCCTTCTCACCTCCCAGTCTTGAAATATGAGTTGACCAGCCTGTTGTTTTCTTTAAGCTGTCCTAGTGTTGAAGTGTCATACCAAATGAACAGTTACTGTCAGAGAAGAAATAAGATTTATATAATCAGTAGTTCTCAATGGTCTGCAAGCATTTTTGGTTGTTACAACTGGTGGGTGGGTGGTACTATTTTTTAAAATTTCTTTTTTGCGTGCACTTTTTTTTTTTTTTTTAGAGAGAGAGAGAGAGAATTTTAATATTTATTTTTTAGTTATCAGCAGACACAACATCTTTGTTTGTGGTGCTGAGGATCGAATCCGGGCCGCATGCATGCCAGGCGAGCGCACTACCGCTTGAGCCACATCCCCAGCCCCTGCGTGCACTTTTATTCAGTTTTTTTTTTAAATTTTTTGTTGTTGTGTAGATTGAATACTTTCATTTATTTATTTATTTATTTTTATGTTGTGCTACTGAGGATTGATCCAGTGCCTCACAGGTGCTAGGCAAGTGCTCCACCACTGAGTTACAGCTCCAACCCCCTGGGTGGTACAATTGACATGTAGTAGATAGGGGCCATTGTTACTGGGAACCATCATAAACAGTGTTTAGGAAATCCTCCTATCCCCAGCAAAGGATTTTCTGGTTTGGAATACCAATAATGCCAAAGTTGGAAAACCTTGACATAAGAGAAATGGCTGATGAATGGTATAAGAACAGTTTTAGCTATTTACAGTCTTGGGTGTTCCACAGTGCTAAAGCAATTCAAGAAATAGATCAGTTGAACTGAAACGGTCTGGGAAGATTTGTTGGCGACAGTTTAAAGCTAGAAACAAAATGCTGTATTTAGAATACAGAAAGGCAAACATCTCAATTAAAAATAGCTTTTGTAAAGTCCCCTGGAGTAGACCATGGCTTCTGTGGAGCACAAAAAGAAAAAATAGTGTAACTTAGAGGCACAGTTGGATAGGAAAGGTAAGTCTGTGAGATCAGATCATGATGGTCCTATAGGGCCAAGATAGAAGTTTGGCTTTAACATGGTGTGGGAACAGGGTTCTTAAATAGGAGAGTAACATGGTGGGTGAGTATTTTAGGAAAATAGAATGGATTCAAGTGGGGAGAGAGCTAGGAGAAGGGAGACCAGTAATAACTAGAATGGAGAGAAAGTAAGACAGGCCTTGTGACTAACATTCATCTTTCTTATTTATGTATATTATTAAAAAGTTATTTATCAACATAAAAGCGATCCTTGAAACAGAATTTGAACTCTGTGGAAAGTATTGTATAAAGAGGACTTAGGGACAGGCCATAATTAAAATACAGTGCGGAAAAAGAAGCAGGAGGAAAGTAGGATACAGTATGATGATAACCAAGAACTTTAAGAGGGAGACAGCAGGAGTAGGTGCCTCCAAGGTGATGGTAGAGATTGGGTTACAGCTGTTAGATTTACTCAGCAGCCACTTGTTGATGATCTTGAGATCCTTTTCAATGGAAAGGTAGAGACAAAATCAAACTTCAGGTGGTAAGAGAGTAGAAAGATATTAGGAAATGAAGGCCATAGCTGAGTATTATTCAGGAAAGGTGTTTGATCACAAAGGAAGGAGAAAAATGGCACAGTCTGGATATATTTCTTATCTCTGGTATTTTTATTTTATTTCTAGTTATAAAGGAACTTGTGGTATCTGCTGGGAAGAGTGTCCAGATGACCCTGCCTAAGAATGAAGTTCAATTAAATGCATATGTTCTCCAAGAACCCCAGAAAGGTAAAAATCCCTTTATACTTGGGTTACATTTCTGATTACAATGATATCCACATACCTCAACTCACTCTTTCCATAATAGCCCTGTGAAGTTAGGATATTACATGTGGGAGAACAAATATTCATGAAATACAAGAGACAGTAGGGTTTGAGATATCAAGCCTGGGTTCAAGTCTCAGGTTAGCCAGTTTTTAGCTGAGTGATTTTAAGCAAATTACTTAACTTTTCTGAGTGTCTGTTTCTCTCTCTCTCTCTCTCTCTCTCTCTCTCTCTCTCTCTCTCTCTCTCTCTCTCTCTTCCCTCTCTCTCTTCTCTCTCATATAAAATGAATAATTCCTACTTCATAAGGTTACTGTAAGGGCAAAATGAGATAGTATATAAATCACCTAGTTCAGTGCCTAGCATATAGCTGATGCTCATTAGCATAGATCTTACATGCTAGATTGTATTATTCCTATTTATTTGCTCATTTATTTTTGGCATTTAGGATTGAACCAAGGAGTGCTTTACCATTAAACTACATCCCCATGTCCTTTTTATTTTTTATTTTGAGATAGTCTTGCTAAGTTGCTAAGAATCTGCTAAAGTACCAAGGCTGGCCTTGAACTTTGATCCTCTAGCTTCAGCCTCCTGAAGTCACTGAAATCAGAGCATGTTCCCCCATGCTCTGCTATTATACCCATTTAAAGGGGAAGAAACTGTGACTCAAATTAACCTGTTTATTTTGGCCAAAAAAACTAGTAAATAGAAGGTGTAGAACTTGGAGAGAAGTTAGTCAAGACTACTGTTAATGTAGGTTTGAAACTTAAAAAAAAAAAAAAAAACTTAATTCATGATTTACAAAATTCAAAATTATAAAATATATATTTGTTTTTTTTAAAAAATTTTGGATTGGGGATTGAAGGGACACTTTACTACTGAACATATCCACAATCCTCTTTTCTTTCTTCTTCTTCTTCTTCTTCTTCTTCTTTTTTTAATCTTCTTTTATTTCTTATTTTGAGACATGGCCTTGCTAAGTTTCTGAGGGCCTTGCTAAGTTGGGTTCAAGGCCTGTGATCCTTCTGCTTCAGCCTCCTAAAACTCTGGAATTGCAGGGCCATGCCTGGTTAGATTTATAAAATATTTAAATGCATTGGTGATTAATTCACTAGTTAAGGAAACTTTTGTAATGTAAAACATCCTTTCACCTTTGAAGTATATTTCCCACACCAAAGTTTGACTTATAAACACAAACATTTTCACTTAAGACCACCTATGACATGAGTGAAGCATTGGAAAATTAATGTGTTGGATTTATGCTGCTTTCATTAGAAGGTTAGTCAAGTAAACTACTCTTCTCTATTCAGATGAGTCCTCCCATTTTATGTACTTGTTTCTAATACAATATTCTTAATTTCTGGTTCTAAAACCAAATACTGTATTTATGAAAAATTACTTTTCCAGAACTTAAATCCTTCTTCTGACCAAAAGTTCTGCTCTCAAACTGAGGTTTTATTACCAACTCATTCTACCTTTAGAGAAACTTTTTCCTTTCTTTCTTGGGTGGTAAGTTACAGTGAGTAGATTTGGTGGTCTTTGAAGATGGAGTTAAGAGCTATCTTGAACAGTGTATGCTGGTGATTGAACCCAGGGTTTTGTGCATGATAGGCAAATGCTTTACCCTGAGTTACATCTACAGCCATGCTTTATTTTTTTCTAATCTCTATTTGCATATACATTTCTTTGAATTACTGTTATCTTGTAGATCAATGTTGCAAAACAGGTCATTGGAAAGGAAACAGATTCTTTAGTTTTCCTCTGCCCAGTTCTTCAGCTTTAATTAAATCCATGAGATGAATGGTCTCAAGCTTTACAGGATTGGGGCACTGAGGCAAGGCAAATTCTGCCTGTTCTTTATCTTTCTCTTGCCCTGTGGCAGCTCATTAGGATCCCTGTAGGGTTCAAAGGCTGGTTCAAAACTACTGCCCTATATCATTACAGTCAACAATATAACAGACCTATATTCAATTGTTCCTATCCTTGGGCAAATTTCTGCCTGTAAGGCATAAATTCTTCCCCTCAACTTTTCTGCCCTAGGAATATCATCCTTGTTTTTTTTTTTTTTTTAAAGAGAATTTTTTAATATTTATTTTTTAGTTTTCGGTGGACACAACATCTTTATTTTATTTTTATGTGGTGCTGAGGATTGAAACCAGCACCCTGTGCATGCCAGGCGAGCATGTTACCGCTTGAGCCACCTCTCCAGCCCTATCATCCCTTTTTGACATTGGTGTTAGTAGCTTTTTTTTTTTTTTGGTACTGGAATTGAACCCAATGGCACTTTGCTGTTGAGCTACACTCCTAGGTTTTTTTTTTTTTTTTTAATTTTGAGACAGGGTCTTGCTGAGTTATTGAAGCTATCCTTGAACTTGCAATCCTCCTGCCTCAGCCTCCTAAGTCTCTAGGACTAAGGTGTGTACCACCATGCTTAAGTGCTACCTTTAGTTATTTAAAAATGATCACTTCCTAAGCTAATGTGAGTTTCCTTTCTGTATGGAAAAGCATTTACAACTAGAGTTGGAAGAAATGTGTCACAGCATGAGTGCTGCTTCTGCTGCTCCTTTCTGTTCCTCCTGAGCAGACTTTTTTTTTTTTTTTTTTTTAAATGGTGGTGCTGGAGTTCGAACCTGGGACTTGTGCATGCAAGGCAAGCACTCTACCAAATGAGCTATCCCCAGCCCCAACTTTTTTGGGTGTGTGATGCTGGGGATTGAACCCATGGCCTTGTGCATGTGAGGCAAGCACTCTACCAACTGAGCTATATCCGCATGCAGCCGCAGTCCCTGACCTGCCTTTTTGTATGTACATTTGTGAGAGCAGCTGGGATTGACAACTCTCCAAAACAATACTAGTTTGCTGGCAGAAGGAAGATCATGAATCCTAGGATTATAAAATAACATCTGGTCTTCAGATGAAGTATATCTTGGGATGAGGGCAGAAGTTGTGCTGATTTTTTGTTTGTTTGTTTAATTTTTTTAATGTTTATTTTTTAGTTCTCGGCGGACACAACATCTTTGTTTGTATGTGGTGCTGAGGATCGAACCCGGGCCGCACGCATGCCAGGCGAGCGCACTACCGCTTGAGCCACATCCCCAGCCCAGTTGTGCTGATTTTAACATTTGAACTCTCAGGAAGAGCCCTCGGGTCCAACAAGCCACTCAGGGCACCTGAGTCGATCGCCTTTTATGTAACTCTGAAAGAAAAAGATATGAATTTGGGGCAGTGGGGTAGCGCTGGGGTTGTGGCTCAGGGGTGGAGCACTCGCCTAGCACGTCCGAGGCCCTGGGTTTGATCCTCAGCACCCCATAAAAGTAAATAAAAGGATTGTGTCCACTTCAACTAAAAAATAAAAAATTAAAAAAAAATAATTTGGAGTCGGGGTTGTAGTTCAGTGGTTGAGTGCTTGCCTCACATGTGTAAGGCACTGGGTTCAATTTGCAGCACCACATAAATAAATGAATAAATAAAGTATTGTGTCCATCTACAACTAAAACTAAATAAATAAATAAAAAGATAAGAATTTAAGGATTCTTTTTTTTTTTTTTCTCTTTTTGGGTAGTCAACTTAAACTAAACCTTCCTACCAAATCCTACCCTTCCCTAGCCAGAAATGCATTTTATCCCCTGCCTCCCAAATTGAGACCACTTTTACTGGGCGGGATTCCATTTAGATAACAGGATTCTACCCTTGTGCTACCAAGTGATATAGTCTGAGCTGCAAATGAGGACCATTTAATGCTTCATTTGATCTTAATTAATTTCAGTGGGGCCTGTTTTAAATGGGCCATGCCCTACCATTTTCTGCAGTGTGTTATTTAGCTCAGCAGGAATGAAGTAGCTCCTTTAACTCACTAGGGTGTGATGACCTCAGTGAGAGGAGCATTGTTAGCACTCTGTAAAAAGCTATTTTTGAACCATGTTATTTAGAAGTCATTGCTGTTCTTTGTTGCAAAAGAAGTTTTGCAAGAAAATGGCCTTTGTTCCCAATGAGTTCACCTGTAGCATTGGTAGGGCATGTGTTTTCAGTGAGGTGCCATCCCCCAACAGTCTGCATTTTTAAGGGAGGATTGACCTGAGGGTGGGATGGGGCAGAAATGAGTATAGTTAGCAGAGTGTGTGGAAGAAGAAACCTTAACTGGAGCTGAGTCAGCGGAATCCACCCTTTCTTTCAGCAGATGGTTTAGTTTCCCTGAAGACTTTGGGGTACAGACTTAACAATGAAGGCCTTGTCAAGATTTAAAAGAGATTCATTATTGGCAGCCTTTAGAAAAGATTTGTTATTGGCATGCTCTTTATGTGTAGGTGTGTGTTTTCATGATTTTCATAACTGCCCTTCTATAGGAGAAACCTACACCTACGACTGGCAGCTGATTACTCATCCTAAAGACTACAGTGGAGAAATGGAAGGGAAACATTCCCAGATCATGAAACTATCCAAGGTGAATTTGCTTCTTTTCATTTGCAGGACTAAATCAGAGTAGATGACTTACATTCTAAAATAGGTAATATAGAATTTTCTGTCCACACTGAAGTTGGGAATAATCTTCCAGAAGTGACTCCTTCAAAAGTCTGACTGGCTGACATCCAGTGTTTGTTAGTGTATGATTTTCAAAGTTTCATTTATGGTGAGAAAATTGAACCAGTATGGCAGTGATAGCTGAATATATCCACTAAACAGCTTTGAAGGGCAACATAAGGATTTTGGAATTTGGGACACAAGATAGGTAATTTGTGGCCACATGACTGTGTACATTGGTTCAGTCCCTTTCATATAGTTATTAAGAACCATAAAAATGTTTATATTCTTTAGCCCTTACTGATTCATTCATTAAATGGAAGGTTACTCCTTGTATACTAGTTATGTGAGAGCCATTTGAGATTAACCAGTGAATTAATCTTAATTTTAATGTTCAGGGGAATGGAGTTTAGGAGGTACTTAGGAAGCAGGGAAGGCTAACAGGTGATCACTAGGTCAGCGAGAGTAGATTTCTTAAGAGAAAATTTGCCTACATGGGTCTGAAAAGTGACTGACTTCCTGGGTAAAGGGTGGAGGGAACATAATCAAGCAAAAGAAGCAGCATATCCACAGGGCTAAGAATGAGAGAGAAAATGTGGGGAGCAGTGCATAGTTGAGCCTGAGTGGACAGTCAGGTGTGAGAAGAGCGGTAGCATAGTCAGTTGGAGAAATGCAGGGGCCAGGTGCAGCAGAGCCTCATGGCGGATTAAAGACTTTCAATCTTACCTAAAGGAAATAGGGAGCTTTTGAAAACGTTTGAGCAGAAGAAAGACATGTTCAGATTTTCAGTTTAGAGAGATCATTATGTCCACAGATTAAAGGAGATGAATGACAAATGTATTGAAAAATTAAGGGGGAAATGATACTATTCTGAGTATGAAAACTAAATAAATGATATTAATGAGAAACCACCAACTGAGCTCATACCATATGCCAGACTTGGTGCTAATTGGTTTACTCAGTTATTTTTTTTAATTGTCATAATATCCCCAATATGTAGGTGTTACTATTTGTTTTACAAATAACAAAACTAAAATTTGAAAAAAGGAAGTGGTTTGGCCAAAGTTCACAGAGATATTAATTAAATAATAGGTTTGCACCAGAGCTATAATCCCATGCTTTAATAATTAATATGATGAGTAGTTAAAAACCAAGGTGATGGTTTGATCCCCAGTACCACAAACAAACAAAAAAAGAACTAAGGTGTGGCAGTGTAGATGGAGACAAGTGAGTGGAGGTCAACTTGAGAAAATGTGATGATCTGATGATCAAGGCATTGTGTGAGAGTGTTGGATGATTGTAGCTTTTTTCGCTTAGGCACCTGGATGGATGTTCACTGAAATAAGGAACACAGAAAGGATAACAGATTTGGGGGAAATTTTCAGATGATTAATTCACTTTCAGGTGGAGTGAATTTGAGGTACCTGTGAGACATTTGAGTGGAGTTGTCCCCATAGCAGCTGGGGGAAAGAAACTATATACTAGGGGACATCTGGGCTAGAAAGATAAATTTGCATATCCACCTCAAATAGATAATTGAAACCAGAGTCATAGATAAGATCAGCTAGGGAGAATGTTTGGATTAAAGAAATAAGTAGGCTGAGGTTGGATCCTGGGGTGTGCTCTCATTTAAGGGATGGCAGGTAAACTGGAGGAAATATGAGGTAGGTGGAGAAGGGAAAATTTAGGAGGAAAGCATTACAAGGGAGAGAGTGGTCAAAAATGTTACTGATACCCAATTAGTGTTTATCCAAATGAGATAATTCTAAAGAAAGGACACCCCCATTTTTCTTTAAGATGTTCATTACAGCATTAGTCATAACAGTAAGTGTTTAAAAGCACCCCAAGTATCCAACAGTGTGAAATGTTTATGACACATTTATTATTATTCTATAGTCATTAAAGTGAATATTAAAAAGACTATATCTTGATGGGAAAAGGGTTCATGCTAAATGAAAAGAACAATAAAAAGTTTGATACTTTGGTTTTAGCTAGACCTTGAATACCTCTGAAATTTGAGCTCTTCAAATGTGGGAATCTTAATTTACCTCCAAACCCCAAGCCTAGACAGTGACTGGTATATGATTGATTCTCAATAAATGTTTGCTGAATGAATTGGATAAAGCTAGTTTTTATGTGGGCAAAGATTGGAAGGAAATAGAGAAATATGATGAGTTAATTGTTAGGGTAATGAGATGGTAGGTGATTTTATTGCCCCCTTTTATATTATGTTCATATAGTTAATAGAAGTCAGGAGGGAAAACTGCTTAGATATTTGGGAACTATTTGGAATTTTTACAAGATGTTTTTCTTTGAAGAGATGATTATTTTAATTTCATAACTCTGTGCTGTAGGATGGTTGGGCCCTTAATGTTCTTCTGAAAAGAAAATGGGAGTATAGAGAGATTGAAATCCCTTATGTTATTCTAGAGGCAGCTAGTAATAAGATATTCACATTAAAAGCTATGTTTCTTTTTAGTGTAACTCATTGTTTAATTTCTTTAGCTAGTTTACTTTTTCCATTTTGAAAATAGGGCAAGGAGAGTGCAGGATTCAGCCTGAAGAAACTCAGATACTTATGTTGTCTTAAATACAATTGCTGCTCTTGGTGGTTGTCTGAAAGATCTTATCTCACTTTTGCAGCTGACTCCAGGCCTGTATGAATTCAGAGTGATCGTAGATGGTCAAAATGCCCACGGGGAAGGCTATGTGAACGTTACAGTAAAGCCAGGTTTGTGTTTCAAGCCACAGCTCTGTCCCATTTCTCTCTCTCAAAGACTCCTGAGGAGGAGAAAATTTGACTTTTGGGTTTTTAATACCATCCTTTTTTTCATGAAATATTTATTGGACATTTCCTAGGTCAGTGTAGTAAAAGGTTATGGCAGCAAAGTATATGTGTGTTCCAAGTGTTCTAATTGGAACACTGGACTGGGCAGGGAAACATTAGTCACAGCATCCACAGTGCAATGTGGCCTAAGCAATAACCTACCTACCAAAGAACTACTTCTCCAAGTGGGCTATGCTGAAAGAGGAAGCCAGGAGCCCAGGAGAAGCATGCAGAAGAACCCGTCAAGTGACCAGCTCTTTCTTATCTTTCCAGAGATGTGGGTCTCTGTACACAGTTTCTCATTTAGACCTGCTGGTCTCTTTCACTTTAGAAACCAAATCCATCATGTCATTCTTTTAAATCGAGCCATTGTTGGCAGATTGTAGTACAATAGCAAGGTATAAGGGATCTTGTTTTGCATTTTCAGAGAAATTTGGGAGAAGTTGGAGAGTAGCACATGTACTAGCACAAATTAGTACTGTTTCCTGTCTTTTTTGGTAGTAGATTTTCTTTTCATTTCTTGAGTTTTGTAGCCAATGTAATCTTTTCACCTTCTTTAAAATATGGTCAGTAGGCCTGGAATGTAGCTCAGTGGTAGGGCCCTTATCTAGCATGAGCAAGTCCCTGGTTGTGTCCTCAACATGGGGATCAACATGTAGACTGTTTGATCATTTCCCAAAGAAAAGGCCACTGGGTTTGTAGGTCACAATCATTCAGGTGGACCAGAGTGGTTTGTGACCTTCCCTTACACAGCCATAGTCACCCCCTACACCATCAGCTCTCATTATCTTTTCAGTATAGTCTGTGCCAAGGGATGGTTTGTTTGCCAGTGTTTTTATTACACAAAGCTTGTTTGTTGTGCACCTCTCAGGTTGTCCTGAAAGTAGCCACTGACTGCTATAGTACTTTTCATGAGCTGGATACACAAGAGCATTAAGAGAATGCACAGGGCACAGTCTTAGGAGTGGTCACGTTTTTTTTTTTTTGTTTGTTTGTTTTTTAAGAGAGAGAGAATGATTTTCTTTTTAATATTTATTTTTAGTTTTTCGGCGGACACAACATCTTTGTTTGTATGTGGTGCTGAGGATCGAACCCGGGCCACATGCATGCCAGGCGAGCGCGCTACCTCTTGAGCCACATCCCCAGCCCAGGAGTGGTCAGGTTTGAAAGAGGCCCATACATTCCCAGGTTTCTTATGTTAAAATGGAAATCTGGTCTGGCTGGGGTTGTGGCTCAGTGGCAGAGCACTCGCCTAGCATGTGTGAGGAGGCACTGGGTTGAGCCTCAGCATCACATAAAAATAAATAAATAAAAATAAAGGTATTATATCCAACCACAACTAAAAAAAATTTAAAAGAAAAGATAAAATGGAAACCTGGTCTTGTGACTTTACCATCTGGTGATGCTTCAGCTGTCAATTATGTAATGGAAACTGATTTGTAATCCACTCAGCTATGACCTGCCCTTCTTACAATTTATAAAGTTCCCCTCCCAGTCTCTTCTGGGTCACTTTCTTTCAGAACCCCGTAAGAATCGGCCTCCTGTTGCTATCGTGTCACCCCAGTTCCAGGAGATCTCTTTGCCAACCACATCTACAGTCATTGATGGCAGCCGTGAGTACTTGTCTAAATGTGACAGAGTGCACTCACAGCGTACTCCTGTAGAAATCTCTGGTAGAAGGTTCAGGGCCCACTGCATTCTGCTTGGAGCAGTCTTCTTGACTGTGTTATGGGTCTGAAGCAGCTGACTGAGAAGTAGGTGACAGGACAGGCCCTAGTTAAAATTCCCACATGACTTGTTTAAAGTGATATTCCTGCTCTGAGATGGCAAGAAAGTGGTATTATGCATGTATTTAGAATTATTTTAGTTGGAACTGTCTGTTTTTCAGATTTACTTTGATGGAATTTCCTTTCCGGGTTTTGGAAACAATGTTTCTTGCTCTCATGCTGGATAAGTAACTGAGAGGCATGACCCTGAGGTCTGACTCTACCATCAGTGCCTAACCAGATTGTCCTCTCTTCCCAGGGAGACTCAGAATGCCCTCCACAACCTGCCTGGGCTCACTACCATTTTACTCATCAGAGTAGCGTCACCTGATGGGTGACAGGAGAGGATTTTTGAATCTTAGTTCTTTTTTTTTTTTTTTTTAAGAGAGAGAGAGAGAGAATTTTTTTTAAATATTTATTTCTTAGTTTTTGGCGGACACAACATCTTTGTTTGTATGTGGTGCTGAGGATCGAACCCGGGCCACACACATGCCAGGCGAGCGTGCTACCGCTTGAGCCACATCTCCAGCCCTGAATCTTAGTTCTTGATCCTTGCAGTGTGTGTGCAGAGGTTTCAGTCCCATCTTCTCAGTGGTATTCACTTGGTTTCTTTTGAGACCCATTAAGGCCCCATTACCCTGTCTTGGCACCAACAATTGTTTTTGGCAGATGCATTCAGTGCTTGGCAGAGGACCCTCTAGCAAGGTTAAGCATTTCTTGTCATTGGTTTGGCAAGAGGAGTAGAAGGATAGAAGCCAAGGGGAAAGAGAACAGGAAGAAGTGCTTATCATAGAAAGTATTCACATAGCACTGTTATTGTATAGTTTTAAATAGGTCAAAATAATACATAAAGGTACTCAGTGAGAAGAATCATACCATCCATGTCTCCCAACTATTCAGTTTCCTCCAGACAACCAATGGTATTGTTTTATGTATCCTTCCAGAAATTTTTTATGTACATATAAGAAAATATGTATATAGTGTTATCCCCTTGTTTACACACAACACATCATGTGTGAACATTGATAGCACATTAGGTGTGCTGTTACATATGTTTATGCTTGTTTCTCTGTGAGGGAATTTTTCTCAATCAGTGCGTGAAAGGCTTATTCATTCTTTTAGCAGTTAGAGTGTTTCATTATATGTATGTATATGATTTCATTGTGTGACTATATTCTTGTTTTTGATCTCTATTGTTGACCATTTAGACGACTTTCATTCTTTCGCTGTTACAACAACATATCATAAATAATCTTGTCAACATGCTCCTTAATGTATATGTTATGTAGGATAAATTCCTAGACAGATATATTCCTAGAATATTATTTCGTTGTATGATTACAAACTTTTATTAATCTCTAGCAATGACCATTTAGATTACTTTGATTCTTTTGCTATTACAAACAACGTTATAATAAATAATCTTATCAACATGATGTTTAACCCATGTGTAGTGTGTCTGTAGAATAAATTCCTAGAAGAATTGCAGGAACAAAGATAAATATTGCCAAAGTACTAGTTGTAGGATAACTAATTGTATCAATTTATGCTTCCACCATGACTAATGAAAGGGCCTTTTTCCAACCTTTACCTATATAATGTGTCATGAAGCTTTTTTTAAAAATAATTTGATAAGTTTAAAAGTGATATCTCAAGTGTAATTTTAATTTACACTTCTTTTTTTTTTTAGTGAAGTTCAGTATGTTTTCACGTGTTTAAGAATTGCTGATTTTCATCTGGGCATGGAGGCACATACCTATATTCCTGGTGACTTGGGAGTCTGAGGCAGAAGGATCACAAGTTTGAGGCCAGGCTGTCTCAAAATAAAAAATAAAAGGGGTTGGAGGTGTAGCTCAGTGGTAGAGTACCCCTGATTCGATTCTCACTACTGGGTCTCAGGGGGAAATTTTTTATTTTCTTTTTCATACGGTAGTATTTTAGTCAGAGGTGTCCTATGTTTCTTGGGAAACAATGCAGTAGAATATTCATAGAGAGGCAGAATGACCCAATATTTCTGGGGAAGAAACACTCTAGAGAGATAAGTCTATAATTTCATGAGGTTTTCCTAGCTTGAAATCTCTGAGGTAGTTGTCCTGGTTTATATAAACTGGTCCGTCCTGGGACCCAGCATTTTCATGTTGTAAACGATGTTCTTTGTGGTCCAGAAAGCACTGATGATGATAAAATCGTCCAGTATCATTGGGAGGAACTTAAGGGGCCTCTGAGAGAAGAGAAGATTTCTGAAGATACAGCCATATTAAAACTAAGCAAGCTGGTCCCTGGGAACTACACCTTCAGGTAAGTCAGGGTTCAGTGTCAGATTGGCCAGAGGCTACCCTTTTCCTTCCTGTATCTGGCATTTTGGTTTTACTTCCTTGAATGTCTTCTCAAACTGTTGAAGGTTCTGCTCATGAGGAGAGACTATGACTCTCTTCTTTCCCTCCATGCCTCACCAGCACCTGCCATAATGTGACAACTTATTCTTGGGCATCTGTCTTCCTGTCGGTCTGATATTTATCAAGTTTTAGACTCTGCTGGGGTCACAGAGATGATTGTCCTAGCACAACATTTACCATACCATATCTTTACCATCAATTTGCAAATTTGGACTTAGTAGCATTCTCTAACTGGAAGGTAGCTTCCTGAACAATAAGATTTGGGCCTTCTTGTTAGCTTAAAATGAAAAGTTGATTTGGTTTTTATTAGATTTGTAAAAAAGCAAATTTCCCATTTATAGAATTTAGCCTGGTCTGGGTTAATCCTTTATTTAAATAGTGACAATAATAGCTAATGTTTTTGAACATTTACTGTATGCCAAGTACTGTTCTGAGCTCTTTGCTTATAGTATCTCATTTATTCCTTTTAACTGGCTTCATGGTTACTCTCATTAACACATTTGGAAGTTTTGGCACAAAGAGGTTAAATAATTTGACCAAGGTCACACAGCAGTCTGATTCTAGAGTCTGGGCTTTTAGCCACAGTGGTAAACCAAGTTTGTTGGGTATGTGGGACACTGAGAGCAACTTTTTTTTTTCCTAGCCCTTTATGTCTTTTTAATCTATGAGATGATGGGTTTGGATTTGATTAGCATTAAGGCTCAATCTGGTTGTGGTTCGCTTGCCTTCTCCTCTCTCCCAGTCGTTTCTTTCCCTGGCCCTATATTCAGCTTGCTCTTCGACCACAGGGTCTATGCAGACAGACCAGGGACGGTTTAGGGTGAAAAGCAGAGCAATGGGCAGCAGCCATTTTGCCTGTGACCCCTTTCTGTTGTCACACGGAGATGGGTAGGTATGCTAACAACATCACACCTGTGAAAACAACAGGGAAACTGGGAAAAGAGGCCAAACACTGGACTTCTCTTTTCCAGTGCTTGCTGATTTGTACATGTGTGCATGTCCCGTGTTTTTGTGCTTTTTTCCTTAAGGCTGTACTATCAGAAATCCCCTTCAGACCACAGGTAAAAGTGAGATTGTGGGATAAAAACCCCAGAGATGTCTGACTCTTTCTGAGGCTGGTGAGAATTAAATAAATCGCATGTCTTTCCTATGCTTTTCCTCTTTCTGTCAGCAAAATGGAAGGATCCCAAACCTCTTTGCTTGCTTATACTCACATTTTGAGGTGGCATGAGAAGCTCTAGGCTGTTCAGCTGGAAGGCATCATTTAGGTAAAAGCCTGCTCTTATAAAAGAACATTTTTTTCCTTGCAAATCCCGTTTCTCACTGGCACAAACTGTGGGCCTGTTGCGTGGGAGAATTCATTTCCATCTCAAACTCCTCCCTTACCAGAGCCAGCCCTCCTGGTCTGTCCCAAAGACTCTGTGCCCAGGATGGCCATTCTTATGATATGCACACAGCTAAAACAGGATGATGGGGACAATCTGCTGCAGACAGAGTGTGCTCTATATAGTGTGGTATCTTTGAACTAGGGGCCGGGGATTATCTCTTTTTAAAACTAGGTTTCTGAGCTTTGGAATCAGAGAACTGGGCTTGCATCTTGGCTCATCATGAAGCCCTGGGCAAATTGCTTCTCTTCTCTAAGCCTCCTGTGGAGTGCACTGACGAAACCTACTCTATATGGTTATCGTGTGAATTGTATTACAGTGCATATAAGGTCTTAGCACACAGATTGTCATAGGCAGCAGAGCAAACTGGTTGCTGGAGACATACTTCCTGTCAGATCCTGAGTCTACTGCTGTCCAGCTGCATGACCTTGAGTAAGTTACTTTTCCTCTTTTCGCCTTGGGCTCCTTGTGTATGTAAGGAATAATACAAGGATAATACTTTCTAGAGCTTTTAGATGAATCCAATGAGATATAAAGGTTTGGAACAGTGCCTGTCACATAGTAAAACCCTCAGTCACTGTTAGCTTCTAGTGTTACTCCGCTTTTCCAGTAGGAAAAATCAGAAGAGGTAATCCTGCCACCTTGGGGTTTCATAGTCTTGATTTTTAGTTCTCTAGTTTTTTTCCTCCTCCCTAATACTCATCCTTTGTTGCACTCCTGTCTCTTCCCTGATAGCTTGACTGTAGTAGACTCTGATGGAGCTACCAGCTCCACCACTGCAAGTCTGACAGTGAACAAAGCTGTGGATTATCCCCCTGTGGCCAACGCGGGCCCCAACCAAGTGATCACCCTGCCTCAAAATTCCATCACTCTCTTTGGGAACCAGAGCACTGATGATCATGGCATCAGCAGCTATGAGTGGTCACTCAGCCCAAGCAGCAAGGGGAAAGTGGTAGAGATGCAGGTAGGAGGGAATGCTTTCTGTCTTCTCTTGTCCAGGGGATAAAGAACTGCTGGATTGGGTCACCATTCAAGGTTTATTTCTTTTCCATTTCAATTACCAAAATCAGATTTGTACATTTATATTTAAAAAAGAAAACCCAAAACAAATCCAGAAAGTTTTATGGGCCTTTTGTTGACAGGTTAGCAATAATCTTTAACTTAAACCTTTAGTATCAGGCGGGGGATAAAAAGACTGATGAGAAACGTAGTTGTTCTGGGTGACCCCAGAGAGTCAGACTACTTAGAGGCCACAAGGGTTCAAATCTTGGTGTGCTCTGTTCCCAGTTGGAGTAGATTATCTGACTCAAGGGTGTCTTATCTGGAGATACCTAAAAAGAGATTAGATCTGTCACCAGGCAAGTCACATAAGTAAATAAAGAATACTGTGTGGGGCTCTGGTGAGCCAGAGAACTTAAGTCTCTGAATGCAGGGGTCCTCTGCTCTTTGGGTCCAGCTGGCTGTTGCCATGTGGAAGTGTGGTTCCAGTATTGCTGGATAGTCCAGCTTTTCAGGAGCAGACAGAAACTAATTTCTCATAAATGTCAAAAATTCCAACTTTTAAGAAACTCCAGACCAAACAAAATGTCTGCAAGTGGACCCAGCCCACAGGCTGCTTATTTTGCCCATTGTTCTTCCCACAGGAAGCTCCTGTGTTGGAAGTTTGCCCTGAATTATTTCTAATGATATTTAAGATGCTATTTCTAGCCAGGCACAGTGTCATGCTAATCCCAGCTATGTGGGAGACTGAGGCAGGAGAATCACAAGTTTGAGGCCAGCCATGGCAACTTAGGGAAGCCCTCAGGAACTTAGCAAGACTTCTTCTCAAAATAAACAAGAAAAAGGACTAGGGATGTAGCACAATGGTAAAGCATACTTGGGTTCAATCCCAAATACTGGCGGGGAGAAAAACTCTGTGTTTTTAGATTAGAGGCCTGACTTAAAGCCCACATTTACTTGGCTTTAAGTTCATGTAGTGTGTTAAGTTTTGCTGCTGTTGCAGAATGTGTGCAATCTCTTTTCAGCAGGATATCACATGATGTCTGATTCAACAGTTACTAATTACACTGAACTGGGAGATATCAGCCCATTACCAACTTAGGTTTAGAAAACTGGGTAAATCATTTCTATCAGAGTAAGAATTATTGTGGGATGTTGTGATTCTAGGAGCCCACTTTTCTACTCCTGAATTTCTGTGTGTAGGGTGTTAGAACACCAACTCTGCAACTCTCTGCAATGCAAGAAGGAGACTATACCTACCAACTCACGGTGACTGACACAATAGGACAGCAAGCTACTGCTCAAGTGACTGTTATTGTGCAGCCTGGTAAGTTCCATCCTTGGGGTTCAGACTCTTCTGATGGTTGGTCCCTTTGACCTTGGGGGAGAGGAAGGTTTGGATTCTGAGCCTGCATGAGGGTAGACGCAGAAAGCACCAACCCATGGAGCCTCAAAAGCAACTTCTTTCATCCATTTCCCTCACATTTTCTTCATGGCTAGAGATGAGGGTACTTCCCAGCCTCAGCTTGTGCCCTTACCTTGGCTAGTTACTGTGCTTTTATGTGGACCTAGGAAGTAGAGGTGACACCATCCCAAATCCTACCATGTTTCATAAGGATCAGCTTAAAACTCACTTCTCAGGAGAGCCCCCTCTTGTCACTCAAACCTTATAGCATTAGATTTCAGATTTAGCATGGCTTTATAACTGTGTTGTGTTCTGCCATGTTTCTTTCAGAATTGTTGATATATTTCAGTCTTATACTCTTCCTTTTTAGCTCCCTGGTGGTATCCATCTCTCCCACGTATCTGACATTTTTGTGGGCTAAGAGGCAGAGTTCCCATGTCTACCAGAACATGTCTCATTAGGTCCTCTTCTATCCCACCTGGACTAGCTGCTTTTGACCTCCATGTTTCTCTGTCTCTAGAAAACAACAAGCCCCCTCAGGCAGATGCGGGCCCAGATAAAGAATTGACCCTGCCTGTGGACAGCACAACCCTGGATGGCAGCAAGAGCTCAGATGATCAGAGAATTATCTCCTATCTCTGGGAAAAAACACAGTGAGTGTTGACACAGAATCCTGATGTATGCAAACAAAGGCTCTAGGCCATGGAAGAGCAAAGTTTTATGTGCTTTTAAGAGTTAACTTTTTTTTTTTTTGGTGGTCCTAGGGATTGAACCCAGTGCCTTGTACATGTGAGGCAAGCACTCTATCAGCTGACCTATATCCCCAGCCCTAAGAGTTGACTTATTTTTGTTGGCTCATTCAGGAGGGTCACTGAGAAAGAAATGTTTATAATTCCAAACGTCATCTCTTAAGAAAATAATGCTACAAATAGTTTTTATAAGGAAAAAAGAATGCTTACCATTAGTCAGTCCCCAGGTGGTACCGTATGGTCATGGTGCTTTTGTAGGTACAGTCCATTTGCTGAAATGCAGTTTAATTACATTTGAGAGGCAGACTAAAAGGGGTAATGGAGCAGAAAATACCATTGTTCAAAATTAACTGGGTAAGGCTGATGGGGGATGGAGCAAGAAGTTACCCAGAGAATTAAAGATCATCTATCAAATGAAGGCATTTCTCTGTTGCTTTCTTGGAAGACACCATATACCAGTTAATTTAACTAGAGGCAAAGGCCATAGCCAAAATAATACTAATTAAGCTGAAATTACCTAATTGAACTATTCTTGGTTCTCATAGTTTGTTTTAGCTTCTTTAAACTGTAACAAATGGAGCATAGATTTTATGCAGGATCCCACAGGAAGCAAAAGAATTAAAAGAGTTAAAAACATTCTTAATTTTCCAAGACAGAAACCATAGGACAGACTTCTTTTTAAAATTTATACAACAGACACACACTTACACATATTATTATTATTATTATTTTTTTAGGGCTTCTTTGTTTTTTTTAATTGGTTGTTCAAAACATTACAAAGCTCTTGACATATCATATTTCATACATTAGATTCAAGTTGGTTATGAACTCCCAATTTTACCCCAAATACAGATTGCAGAATCACATCGGTTACACATCCACGTTTTTACATAATGTCCTATTAGTAACTGTTGTATTCTGCTACCTTTCCTATCCTCTACTATCCCCCCTCCCCTCCCCTCCCATCTTCTCTCTCTACCCCATCTACTGTAATTCATTTCTCTCCTTGTTTATTTTCCCATTCCCCTCACAACCTCTTATATGTATACTTTCAGGGATCATTTCTATAGTATATTATTATTATTATTATTTTTAAAGCTAGGTATTGGAGATGGTTGGAAAGGGGCTTTAGTTTCACCACAGAATCTACTTGACTTGTGATTGCTGAGTTGAATGCTAGAAATTATTTCACTCAGCTCTTATTTCTGATTTTGGATAACCCAGTCTTCCTCAGCTTGCCATGTTTTCTCTTTAATTATTTATTGAAGATAGGCCTGATGAACCTTTGAGCTGAATTTTAGTAGTATTTGTTGCAGAGAATACTTAGTAGAGTTTCATGGAGGAGAATCTGTTTCAGGAAAGGCTATGAGGGTCAGAGGTAATAAGTTTAAAAAGCAAAATGAACCAAAGCTGACTCTGAAGTCTGCAGGTTTCTCTGGTTTGTCCTTAATTTGAAGGAAGCTTGGGGGTGTTCAGGGCTCCAGCTCTGTGCAGCCCTGGGCCTGGATGTTGGCACACAGGTCACTCCCCTGCTGCAGGCTGCTCACTGAGCAGGATGCGAGAAGGCAGGATGCAGTTGTGCTGGTCCTCTGTAGCCCTGTCCTGGAGGTGGAGGAAGCTTTGCTGATAGAACCTCTATGAAGAAGTTGCTTTGTCCTGAGAGGTCCCCTGCAGCCTGGGCTGTTTCCTTTCCTTGACTTTTCCTCAGGAGGGTCTTGGGCATGTGGTTAAGAAATGCATTTTGCTTATTTGCTGGCAAGAGATGAACCAATTCATGGGCCAGAAATACTTTTTTAGAAACCTTATTCTTAAAGCATTTTGATCACAGACCTGCTTAGAGAACTTCATTCCTTTTATAAACTGGAGCAGTAAAGAGTTTGAATGCTCTAGAAACTCAGAAAGGATAAAACTAGAAGTGTTTGAAAGCTGGTGAGTAGAATTTTCTGACCAGCAGGTAGCCTGTATTTTGGGGACAAATGACACTTTGTCCAAATGGAATATTTTTAAACATGTCCTGTCAAGGTCTGGGAAATAATTGTTTGTGTCTCAGCTGAGGCATTAATGGTCCCCTCCTGCTGTGTCAGGGACAGGAGAGCGGCAGACAGATCCAACTCCACCCACAAATATTCTTTTTTTCCAGAGGACCTGACGGGGTGCAGCTGGAGAATGCTAACAGCAGTGTTGCCACTGTGAGTGGGCTGCAAGTGGGGACCTACGTGTTCACCTTGACTGTCAAAGATGAGAGGAACCTACAAAGCCAGAGCTCTGTGAACGTCATTGTCAAAGAAGGTATCTATCTCTCTGCCTCAGGTTTGTACAGTACCCTCTTTGGGTCAGATGGCTGAGAAATCTGCCATGTCTTGTTTGGCTGCAGACATTGATTAGTGATAAGAGGTGGGGAATAAATTGGGGTGAGGGTAGCTACCATTTGCTTTTCTAAAGCAGCCTTTAATTGAGAGTGGGTGAAATATGAATTTTAACTTCCTTTCCTCCCATGCTGCCCTCCTTCCCTTTTTTGTCCAATTGAATAGGACAAGAATTAGGGTTCAGCATTTTGATTTCGCTGCTAAGACCTGGGGTTTCCATGATTCTCTGGCAAACTACAGTGACACCTGCTGTCAGGCCTTAGAATGACTGTGCTGTACTGCAGCATCCTGCGCCTGTCCTTTGAGCCCACAAGCTGAGGCCAATGTGAGGCAGGAGTTGGTTGAGCTGCCCTGAATTGGCAGGCACAGTGACCAAGAGGGACTCTCAGCTGATGGTAGAAAAACCCACCATCCATGGAGGGGTGGTCCTAGTGTGGTCTGTTGTGCTGAGTCCCTACTGAGTTATACCCGAGTTACACCCAAGCTGCTTGGTGGCCCAGGAACAGAGAGGTCACTGTCTTTTCTCTGCTGTAAAGTACCAAGGAAGGAATGAGAAAGATACTCAGAGAATAACATTTTAAGATATTTTAAAGAAGAATTTGTGATGTCAGCTGAATGAAACCTAGCCTAAGGCTTTAAGCCTCATTGGGCCTTTGTTTCCAATTATCATATAACTCCAAGATGGGGAAGTGGCTTCTTCTCAGGAAAGTTGCTATGAGACCACAGGAAGAAAGTACACTTGTTCCCTGCTCTGGGTAGGAATGGAGCTTCTGCAGCTCTGGTGGCTTTAAATTTGCATTACTGGTTGCTGACACAGACAGGCATTAAGACGACTCCCTGCTTAAGATGCTCATTTAATTTCCCCATAAGTACCATGAAGCAGCATTCCTTCTTTTCCAGAAGGTCTCATTAATTCAATGACTTATCTTTGGTTAGAAATGAACAAACCACCCATAGCCAAGATATTGGGGAATGTGGTGATTACCTTACCCATGAACACAGCAGAGCTGGATGGCTCCAAGTCCTCAGATGACAAGGGAATAGTCAGCTACCTCTGGACTCGAGATGAAGGGAGCCCAGCAGCTGGGGTAAGTGTGCCAGGAACTGAGGAGCTGCAAAGTTTAAGTAGCAGCTGGTAAGGAGAAACCAACACTCCAGGGTCTGTTTTAACAGGCTCGTGGTATCAAACCTGGATTGTTCTCTGAAATCCAGGGAGGTTAAGTGACTTATTCTGAGTTTCTCTGCAACTAGTGTGGCACAGAATGATTTCTGTCCCTTGATCCTAGTAGCTGTGGGTGGCAGTGCTGTGATGGATCAGGAACTGACACAGGTGGAAACAGTCCCGCCTAGATAGAGCCTCGTTATGGCAAAAGCAGCAGCTGACTCCAAGAAAGGAGTGGTGTTTTGTTCTGCAACATAGCTGTGTTGTTCAACCCCACAGGAAGTGTTAAATCACTCTGACCATCATCCTGTCCTCTTTCTTTCCAACCTGGTTGAGGGAACCTACACATTCCACCTGAAAGTGACTGATGCAAAGGGTGAGAGTGACACAGACAGGACAACTGTGGAGGTGAAGCCTGGTGAGTTCACTTAGTGATAACTGAGTGGAATTGCCAGATGTCTTGAGATGCCTTTCTGTCTAGCATGGCATGCCCAGTTTGAAAAACAGTCTAGAGCCAGGTGCCATGGTACATGCCTGTAATCCTAGCGGCTCGGGAGACTGAAGCAGGAGGATCCCAAGTCCAACACCATCCTTAGCAAATCAGCGAGGCCCTAAGCAACTCAGAGAGACCTGGTCTCTAAATAAATTAAATATAAAAAAGGGCCAAGGATGTGGCTCAGTGGTAAAGCACCCCTGGCTTCAATTCCTGGTACAAAAAAAAAAAAAAAAAAAAAAGGAAAAAAGAGGAAAAAAAAAAAAAAGGGAAAGCAGTCTAGAAATCCCATGCTGAAAAATCCTTAGAAACTTCTTATTCAGACAGTACCCCTCCTACCTATGCAGGAATGTAGACCTCCCCTTGCTTATCTCAGATGGAGAAACCAAAACTCAGACAGGGCAAGGCTTGCTCAGTGTCACACAGCAGTTGTGCCAGAGCCAGGCTTTTGTGCCCTGGCCCAGCACTTTGTCCTCTGTGGCTGAGGAGATAGGGCTCAGGTGCACTGGGAACCTGAGCACAGGAGTAGCTCAAGTCATGATGTTGCATCAGCACCAGATGCAGAAAACTATTTTTACAAGTTGAGCCTCAGACTTTATCTGACAGCTCAGGGAAGATAATGTGACTTGTGTCCTGTATACTTTTGAGATTTCCAGAAATAAAATTTCCTTCTTAAATAGAACCACATTTTTGTTTTGTTTTGAGACTAATTTGGTGGAACTGAATGTGGAGGTGGGGCAGAGCTTTGTAAGTCCCGGGGCTTTTGATGAGCAGGTATTAACTTTAAGCCTACTCTTGCCTAGGTCAAGCTCATGCATGGATGTCTCAGATGGGAAGGGATCTTGGGAAGTCTTCCAGGCCTTGTCCTGCCTCTGGGAAGGACAACAGCCAAGACACCATAGAGTTTCTTCTGTGTTCCAAGTCAGATCAGAACAGGCAAATGGTGCATCTAAGTGTTTGTGAATAAGGTATTCTGAACAATTCACTTTAACTTGTAAATGTGGAATAGTCTTTAGGACATGTTCAGAAGTAAAGTGTGGTAGTCTTTCAGTTCTGAACTTGTAAAAAGACAGTGTAGCTGTGGGGTTGCTCTAAGGAAATCCTTCCTTCTCAGCTACCTGGATTTTCTTTATTTTTCATGTATTTAAACCTATAGAGATGGATGCATTCACATTATTGAAAATAACCAATGAGACTGAGATGAACATTTTTCCTCCTGTTGTCACAAAGTACAGCAAGTCTCTGAAAGTAAGATGGGGTCAGGAGAGACGGCAGGCTCCCCGCTTGGCCTGGAGAGCTCAGCAGTGCCATAGGGACACTGCAGTGTACTTTCCTCCCCTGTCCCTTCACTAAGCCTTTGCCTCCCTGCTTAGCCTTGCCCCCAGCACACATGTGGCCATTCTCAGGTTGGTATAAAGCTTTCCACGCCAGCCCCAGATTGCCTTGTGAGGAATTTGCTGTCATCCCTTACCACTGACTAAATGCGGTCACTACTTCCCCTCCTGTGACTAAGCAAATGCACAGTGGCAGGTCTGTGTTAACTCTCCTACTTCCAAAGCCATGACCAATCCACATGCTTTCCAGATCCCAGGAAAAACAACCTGGTGGAGATCATCTTGGATGTCAACGTCAGTCAGCTAACTGAGAGGCTGAAGGGGATGTTCATCCGCCAGATTGGGGTCCTCCTGGGGGTGCTGGATTCCGACATCATTGTGCAAAAGATTCAGCCGTACACGGAGCAGAGGTAGCTGGGCAATGATTGGGGGGAGAAAAGGAAAGATCAGGGGGTAGATGGAGAAGGGTGGGCTCTCTAATCAGGAACCACTCATGGTGTCCATCTCATTAATGAGCTGTTTTCTGGCACAGGTCGCATGCTCTGTACTACATAGCAGCCAGTTGCTAGGGCACAATAAGGTCTGAGGGGGGCCCTTTACTTTGCAGGCTACAATCTGGGAAAGGAGGTAACCAAGTAAATATCTCATCTTAATATGGGGCAGATTTGACACAATATGAGCTATCAGGGAACTCAGAGGCAAGGGCAGTCCATTCTGGAGAATTCCAGGAGAGCCCAAAGATTTTCCAGAAGTAGAACATGCTTTGACCAGCACAGGAAAACTAGAAGGAAGTTCAGAAGAGAGGAGCACCATGAATCGTGACCTTGAGGTGGGAAAGTGCCGGGTTTCTTCTGGAAGAAGTCATTTGGTTCAGAGTGTAGTGGGCCCCAGGATATGGTCAAAGAAGGGCTGCCTGTGGAGCCTGAGAAGGAGTTGAGTGTGATAGTTTGGGTGGGAGAACCCAAGTAGTTTGTTTTATGTGTGTGGGGTTTTGTTTGCTGTTAAAGCAAGGATATAACATATTTAGATTTTTTAAAAAGTCAAATCAGTAGGGTGGAGGTTAAACTACAATGAAAAGAGACAGAGCCTGGGAGGCTAATCAGAGGCCTTCTGGACTAGCCCAGTGAAAAGGTGGTGACCCTGAATTCAGTGGTGGAAGCAGAGACAAATGAAAAGACAGCAGAGGCAAACTAGCAGGCCTTGGGGGTCCTAGGAGATGGAGGATCTGTGGGATGCTTTTGGCTTGGAGGTCTGGATGGATGGTTCAGGCCATTAACTGAGGTTAGGGAGGAAGGAGGAACCCACTTTGACTATTGAATTTGGGGTGTCTTATGGGCTACATGGGGAGATGTTCCATATGGTCCTAAGTATAGGCAGGAAGTCAGGGTGGAAGGAGAGCCGGGGTCACCAGTGTCTAGGCAGAAGTCAAACCATGAGGATGGATGAGTCACACCGGGGCGTGACAAGAGGGCAAGGACAGAATTCTAGAGAACACTGGTATTTAAGGAAGAGGCAGAGGAAGTCGAGGCAGCAGAGGAACTCAAAAGAATAGCCAGGGAGGTAGGAGGAAGCCAGGTGACAGTGATCTGCTGGAAGTTGAGGTACAGTCTGGCATTGGGGGCTACTGTAGCTTCGGAGGCTGGTGGTGAAGTGATAATGTGGAACAGCTGGGGGTGGGTGTGCTCCCCACATCGCCAGTGACAGTAGAGGGAGGTGTCCCAGTCTGAGGTAGAGCTTCTAAATAGGAAACCTCTGCAGAAGCTGATGCTGGAAGTCCTATGGGGGATGGGATGAAAATAGACCTTTTCAAGACAGCAATTCCTGGAACTTCTATATCTATTGAGGGCAAAGTGCTGAGGAAAAGGGGGTGATGGAGGTGAGTGGAGGGGACTGGTGTGGTAGATCCGGAGGAAGTGGAGGAAGGGGAGGTACTGTAGTGGGAAATTGGAGTGTTGATGCCAAGTCTCATGTTTTGTCTGTGGCAGGGGCAGGGCCATCTGCCTAGTGGAGGGGAGAGTGAGGTGGGAGGCAGGGGAACGGGGAAAGTCTGGAGCAGCTCTGCAGAGGGTGCCAGCTTTGAGCAGCACTGGGGTCTCGGTCCGAGTTAGAGACGTGAGGGGAGAGCAGTACTTCCCACTTCTGGCTGAGCACAAGAATGACCTGGAACTTTATGAAGGTACATTGCCCAAGCCTCATTCCTGGAGAGGAGCATTCGCTGGAGTGGGACTTGGACTCCTAAGGTTTAAAAGCGTCCCAGGATCTGATGTGCAGTCAGGGTAGACTACGTAAACTAGAGGCAGTTTGATTAGGACTCACTCTTTCACTCCTTCCTTCGTTATTATTATTCCTTCTTCTTTCTTCTTCTTTTTTCCTCCTTCTCCTCTTCTTGGTATGCTCAGCCACCAAGAGTAGCAATAAGGCAAAATCCAAGTTGGTGGGAATTTGGTGGGTAGAAGCAGTGAGGAAAGGTTTTAGCCACAGTGCTAGGAACAGCATTGTTGGTGAGTGTGCTTTGACTTGCCATCACTGCATATGGGGCACAGGGAAGAGAGAGGCATCTGGATTTCTCTGGGTTCCTGGCTTGGACTAGGTTGACTGAGTTGAGAATTTAGGAGGAGCATGTGCTTGGGGAGTGGGGTGTTATAGCCCCTGCGCACCAGTGTGAGCCCTGATGTGCACAGGCCACTTCACCTCTCGGAACCTCTTTATCACCTGTGAAAATGCTAGTACCTGTTTTATAAGATTGATATTGAAGATTGAATAACATGATATTTACATAAATCCCTAACATAGCATTCAATGAATGGTTTTTACCATGAGTTTATTTCGAGACATGCTGGGTTCAAGGTTCCCGAGAGATCTGGAGTAGATATTCTTGCAAGCATTTGCAGGTATAGAGTGGTCGCTATTGGTCCTGTTGGGAACGGAGATAAAGATGTGAGGATTATTAGCATTCTAGCAGAAATCGAAGCTGTAAGTATAGAGTAGGTAACTGGGAGAAAATAATGGGAAATGGACCATATATATCTTTTAAGGTGTGTTTTCTTGATTTTGGAATCTGCAAGACTTCATTGTTATTCTCACTGTGTAGCAAGCTTTTAGTTGATGATGGTTCTTCCCAAAATTTATGTTATTTCATGCATACAAAATGATGAGTGTCTGCACTGACACCTTGGGAAAAATATAAAGGCTGTTTATACTGGCAGCAACTGGTCCAGGGCCTATGGGATACCTGGGTCCTCCTAGCCAACCTACATGCTGAGGGGGTCAGTATCTTGGGTTTAACCCAGTGTGACCCACTGATTATGGAAGGTTTGATTTATGGAGTTCAAGAAGCATACTATCAAAAATTAAGGCTAACGCTGGGGTTGTGACTCAGTGGCAGAGAGCTTGCCTAGCACGTGTGAGGCACTGGGTTCGATCCTCAGCATCACATTAAAAATAAATAAATAAACAAACAAACTAATTAATTAATTAATTAAAGATAATGTGTCTATGTACAACTAAAAAAAAATTTTTAAAAACAAAGGCTAAGACACAGAGAACAGAATTTGTGTTACCCATATACGGGTTCAGACATGGTTCATCTTGAATAGAAATTGACACTCAGAAAGCAAAGAGATTCTGGGCATGGAGTAACAGTGTTTGTACCAGCCACACCATCTTATTTTTGCTGTTATAGTAACAGTCGTTTTGGCTTTTGGGGCCTGTGGATAATCTTTGATACTTTCCAACAGTTTACATTTTATAAAGCACCGTGGTTGGTTTAATCAGTAACCAAGCCACAAACCCAGCAGCACCACTGTCGGGTGTGAAAGGCTGCCGACAGGTATATTGCCATGACCAAACCCCCAATCTTCTCTTCCTCATGTTACCTGTTTGAAATGGGTGATCCTGTTAGTTGGGGCATTGTTAAAGTATAGGCTTTGGAGTTCAGACATGACAGGGTGAGGATCTGGCTCTGTCATAATTAACTGTGTGACCTTGGGCAAGTTACTCAACCCCTCTGAGCCCCATAGTTGTCCTCTTGAGAAATGAAGATGGCACTGATAACACCTTTCTGTGACAGAATGCATGTGATCCTCAGCAGTGTTGGGCACAGCAGAAGGTGCTTAGTAATTAGTGCTAGCTCCTGCTGCCTGGTGGATCTCTCATGTTCATCATACTGTCACATGTCTCCGCAGCACCAAGATGGTATTTTTTGTTCAGAATGAGCCTCCGCACCAGATCTTCAAAGGCCACGAGGTGGCAGCAATGCTCAAGAGTGAGCTGCGAAAGCAAAAAGCAGACTTCCTTATATTCGGAGCCCTGGAGATCAACACTGTCAGTGAGTAATCCCGGGACCGGACGGGATGAGAGCCTGCCCCTCTGCAGCTTTCCTCCTCCTGGCTGTGCTCATCTCCTTTCTGTGGGAACTTTCAGTTGTTTTCCTTCACCACCATTATGGCAAGGAGTCCCCATTCACCTAGGGGTCCTTACCTTGTGCCCCATGCCCATGTGCCTAAGGTGGTGTGCAGGGAGGCTGCAAGCTTGAGTGAAAAAATTACATCTTTATTTTCACTATCCTCAGGTTGAAATTCATGCTCTCCCTCAGTTGCACAGGTGGGCACTGTTAGCAGCACCTGTGTCTGAAGGCAGCAGAAATCACAAATCATCTCCTATCACATTACATGACAGAGTACCATTTTTACTCATCACTACTTCAACATTACAATAGTAATTAGACCCACTAATACATCTTATTACTTAATGTTTAATAAAGGCACTTTATTTTGAAAATTTGTGTTCTTAAGTATTTCAAAACCATATTCACTATAACTATTTCCTTTGTAATACTATATATATTGTCCTATTGGTTTTATTGTTCTGAGAAGGGGGTGTATGGGACACAAAAGATGAACAGTCTCTTACAGAACAAGGAAGACCAACTGGAGCTGTCTCTGGGGGCCTTGGTGACCCCTGTCTCGTGCAGCGTTCCCCAGCCATGCTGGGAAAGCTCCTGGGTCTGGGCTGCAGGAAATGGCACCACACGGCACTGAGCAGGCCTTGCCTGAGTGTCTTCACAGCCTGCATGCTGGGTGTTGGTTGTCTCCTGGGCTCTGACTGTCAACGTTTTCCCTCTCCTGCCACCTTCAGCATGTCAACTGAACTGTTCTGAGCATGGCCACTGTGATTCATTCACCAAAAAATGTATCTGTGACCCTTTTTGGATGGAGAATTTCATCAAGGTGCAGCTGAGAGATGGAGACAGCAATTGTGGTGAGTCTATGTAGCCCAGATTGGTTGCTTTGGCTATAGTGTGGATCTGCACCAAGGGTCAGGTGTTTCTGAGAAGAAGAGCAGGCGAGGAAAGAACTCTTGTGTTTTCTGTTTGTAGGGGGCTTTTCCCTTTTTCTTCACACTTGCTCAACTTTAGTGGAAAATCTGGGCATAGTGTATATGCCTGTAATCCTAGCATCTTGGGAGGTTAAGGCAGGAGGATAGCAAGGTTGAGGCCAGACTGGGAAACTTAGTGAGATCCTGTCTCAGAATAAAAAATAAAAAGAGCTAGAGATGTAGCTTAGTGGTAGGGTGCCTCTAGGTTCAACCCTCAGTATTAGGGGGGGAAAAATAAAACTGGAGTACTCATGGAAGAAGAATGAGGCTTATGTCGGACCAGCTGCACACGGCAGCCCATGTCCTTTTGGAGCACATGCATGCTGTCGCCTGATGGAAGCCTGCAGTTCGTCATGTAGAGCTCTGTGCCTGCACACTACTGCAGGACCTCAGGGCACTCATGGAGCAGGGCCTGAGATGCAGGGGCCTTTCAGAAGCATGCAGCTGTCCTGGATTCCAGGGTCTTGCCTTTCCATGTGTACAGTTGGAAGCCCACGGGGGACAACTCATTTCTGCTTTCCAGGCTGTCTCTTCCCAGCCCTCACTATTTTGATTTTCTTGGCAGAGTGGAGTGTGTTGTACGTTATCATTGCTACCTTTGTTATTGTTGTTGCCTTGGGGATCCTGTCTTGGACCACAATCTGTTGTTGTAAGAGGTAGGATGGATTCTCCTTTGAAACTCATTTGGGGGGCTTGTCATTTGGTACCTTCCACATGGAAGAACCACAGTCATGGTTGGAGGGGTTTGGGTCACTCAAGGTCTGTGCAGAAAGTTCCTCACCCTCAAACCCTGCTGAGGGCAGGTGCAGTTGCCTTTGGTCAGGTGGGGAGACTGCCACTGTGGAGATCTGCAACCTCAGAACCCTGGGGTAGGGGAGAGTGGAGCAGATCCCACCCAAGTGCATGTCCTTGGATGCTCCACACCCAGCCTTACACTAGAACACAGGAGTTTTTACTCTGCATCCTCCCTAGTTGAGAATTATATGTATGTCTGATTTCACACAATTGTAGACTTGGATTTTCGATGATGAGTGGTCTAGGTTTCTTCGTTTTATATAGCCTTACAACATTTCATAGTTACATTTATTATATGTTTTTCATTATTAGTATAATTTTTGTGTTTACTGTGTTATGACATTTGGTAGGTAATATCTTTTTTATAACCATAGCAGCCTTTTCTTGTTTTATGAATAAGGAAACTTAGGTTCAGAAAACCATGTCACCTGACTGAGAATCAGTAAGTGACAGGGCTGGGATTTATCCCACAATGTTACCTCATGTAGGACTTAGAAAGTTAAAAGAATTTAAAAAATCCCACAGCCTGAGACAACCACCATGAGCCAGCTCAGTTAACCAGGAGACATGCTGCTCCCTCCGCCCACACTGCTAGTCAGGTTCCTTTTCTGTGCATTTTCACCAGTGGTCCTTGTTGATCTGTGGAGTGACGAGGCCACACAGCTCCCTTGCCGCAGTCTGGCTGGGCACAATCAGGAGCCACTTGTCAAAAGAAACTAACTTTATTTTTAGAACCACACACGCCAAACAAAACAGCCTCTCAGGAAAAACCCTCAGAGCCTCAACTGCCACCACCGGCTTTCCACAAGCCTCTCTCTCCCACACCAGCTTCTCTCCACCTCCCACAATCCTCCTGCTCTTGAGGCCGATTGGCTGGGTCATGTGGGCGGAGCCAGAAAAGTCCCCCAATGAGCAGCTCTGTGGTCTGAAAGGGCAGGGAAACAGCCCAATGAGCATCACCGCAGAGGAGCCAATCAGCTAGATGTTGCTGGGGCCGCTGTGAGCCAATCATCAGCCGGCAGCTGGAAGTTTGCTGGGGCCCCTTCGGCTGTGGCTCTCAACATCTCCCCCTCTCTGTTTAAACAACAAGCATGTGGCTTAGGGACCGTGTCTGTTAGGCAGTCCAATTCAACATATGGTCCTTACCCATCATCGGATGATCTGACCTCTAGGCGTCAGCCTCCTGTCTTAGGTTGGTACCACTGCAATTGGATCATACCCGTCACTGACTACCGGTCCAGCATACAGCTATACTTGTGGATAGGCCTTTGCACCAGTGGGGGAGTGAGGTTCTTTGCCTCACCTCTGTTGGCCCCCAAATTTTAGACCATCACTAGTAGAGGAGGATGCAAAATGCCATGACATTAAGCCAATTGAGGGCTCCTTTGAAAAATTGTACCACCGGTGACACCATCAGCAAAAATACTCCAGCACTACCACAATTCACTGTACCAACAGATAGTTCACAATGCATACAGGTGAGCTCACAATGTGTCCAGGCAAGTTCTGCAAGCAGTTCAGTGATGGCTATTGTAGAAGCTGTAGATTGGTTTTATCTTTGACTTCACCAGCACTGGGATGAAGATAGGAATTCTGGCAATAATGGCTAAAGAAAAAATTATGTAACATTCCAGAAGGCACTAAAAGAAAACAATTTTCTTAACAATTTACCTTGTCTTCACCGGCACTGGGATGAAGATAGGAATTCTGGCAATAATGGCTAAAGAAAAAATTATGTAACATTACAGAAGGCACTAAAAGAAAACAATTTTCTTAACAATTTACATTGTCTTCACCAGCACTGTCAATATACATTGTCTTCACTTCCCAAGGCTGTGAGGAACATTTTATGAGGAACAAATTACAGTTACCACCTTCCCTGGCTGCAAAGTGAGGAGAGCCACCCCCACAGGGACACCCTGCATGCACTGGCCCTTGTCCTGAGCCTCAAGAGAACCTCTTTCCTGAGCAGATGGGAATTGTGTGTTTTAGGCAAAAAGGAAAACCCAAGAGGAAAAGCAGGTACAGGATCCTGGATGCCACTGATCAGGAGAGCCTGGAGCTGAAGCCGACCTCCCGAGCAGGTAGGGCCCGGAAGCTGGTGCCGTCATCGCTAGCTCATTGCTCCACAGCTATGTGCTGCACAAGCATATTGTTCCCTTGCCTGCTGAAGGTCCCCTGGGTGGCAGAAGCCACATGCAGGATAGGCTGTTTCCTGGGCTGACATCTCAGTGCTCCTTTTGCTCTGCAGAGATGCCAGGCCTCCTGGTTCCTTTGCCTCCCATGTGGTGAGGGTTAGGGTCCTTGGCCCCTTAAGCCTGTCCTTTGTGGACAGACAGCAGATCAGAACAAGTGTATGCTGGCTTACTTCCTTCTCAGTCACCTCCTTCCGCCTTCCTCTCTCCATCATCTGTGGGTCCACAGCTGCCATCTTTGTCTTAGGGTCAGTGGGCAGGCAGCTGCCCTGCTGGCTGTAGGTGTTTCAAACACTGTCACATGCTTCCCACAGAAGGAAGGATTTCCTACTGCACCAGACTGAGTGGTGGCACTGGGGATTTAGGTGGGTTGCGGGCCTCCCTTCTTTGCCAGGCCTGGTTACTTGGTGGGGTCCCCTTCATCATGTATGCCACAGAACAGGTGCCATTGGCTTATGGGAGCTGTGCTCCATATAAATTATTCCAAACCCTCTGCAAGTGGAACCGTTTTTATAGAAAGCGTTTTTTAAACACCCCTCCTGCTTCAGGCTTTGTGTTAGAGGAGGCTGCAGGGGGTAGTCCTGACAGGCTCTGCCCTCAGAGAACTTCGGCCTGGTTGGGGAGACGCATCTGCAAAGAGAAAGTGTTCTTGGGCAGGCAGCCTGGGCCCTGAGCCTGAGCAGCTCTGTCTGAGCACTGGGTGGCGGGGCCTGCTGTAATCCCAGCACACCAGGGAGCAGACGACTGAGGAAAACCACAGTGCCCACCCCTGCAGTGGCATTACTCTTAAGACTGTTTTTCTCCCTCTTGGAGTCTTTTCATGACTTACTATTTCCAGCACAAAAAGCTACAGGGCGAGAGGTTCACCAGGGCCCTTCTCTTGTGGGCAGCCTCTGGCCAGGGAAGCAGGAGACCCACCAAAGGGTCTGAGCAGCCAGAAGGGCTAGCTTGGGCTCTGGCTCTGTGGAGGACCAGGTCCAGCAAGGGCACAGCCGCTGCAGGATGCCGTTTGGGATTCAGCGACACATTGTATGGTGTGGAGCTGCAGAAGTTCAGCTTGAAGAGGAGGAGTGTGGGCATGTGGCACAGAGAAGGGAGTGTGTGGCATTGAGCCCGAACAGAGGCACATCAGGTGTCGGCTGTGAAAGCAGGGCAGCTGCGTGGAGCCTCTGAGGGTTACAGGGAGCACAGAGATGCCCGTCCTCAGGAGACCAGGTCTGCAGTCAGCAATTCTGGTTTTGTTATTCTATTGATTTTTATCAGACTTGTATTAAAGTATAGTAGATTGAACCATATAAAATTACTGGTATTTGACTTTTTTGACCTACCAAATGATAGTTTGTGTTTCAACTTATTTTGGTCAGAAAATCGTAAGGTATAGCAGTGCTCTTGGTCTCCACAGGTGAATGAGCTCATGTAATTAGCTCTCCAGGTCCCCCCTTTGTGCTTCTGTCCTGTCAGTGCTCTTCTCCCAGTTCACACTGGTGTCTTGGAGTAGTTTATATGAAAGGAATCATCATGTGTTTGGCACCTTTCACTCACCATCAAATTGATGAAATTTATCCGTCTAATTCATTCACATTGCTGTCTAATTTCTATTGTGTGACCCACATGCTCCTCATGGTCCCTGGTTTGTGTTCTAATGAAATGGCTGCTTGGGACTTCAAAAGTCCCCACTCCTGCCATGTGCCTGCTATCTCACCTCCAGTGCCCACCCAGTGAAGCCAGAGTCAACCCAGAACCACGGAGCCAGCACTGACACGGAGTGAGGCTGCATCCTCACACTGTGTTGGGGACTCTGTGTCCACACTGAGCCAGAAGATGGCTGGAGGCTCATTCTCCAGGGTCTGTGTTCTCTGGCTTTTCTGTCTTCCACCTCATTCCACTACCCTATTCAGAAAGGGATGTGATAAAACACCCCAGATCTAGAAAGAAAGAAGAGTACTGGGTGGCACTAACAGAGCTCAGGGACACTGGGGGTGAGGACCCAGCAACAGAGCCCAGGTTTGATCCCCAGTCTGTGCTTTCTGTGACTTCCCTTAGTGGACTGTCTCAGCCAACTGAGACAGGGAGGATGTGTCCTTGTATCTGCCTGGCCTAGAGAGGGGGCCTTGGCTCTCCCTGTTCCTTGGCCCCTGTTTGGGCTGGGGTGAGGGTGCAGGGTGTGGCTCAGGCCTGGACAGGGCTGTCTCCTGACCCCGGGGTTCCTCATCTTCCTTGCAGGTGTCAAACACAAAGGCCCCATGCTGAGCAGCAGCCTGATGCACTCTGAATCGGAACTGGACAGCGATGATGCCATTTTCACGTGGCCAGACCGGGAGAAGGGCAAGCTCCTACATGGTCAGAATGGCTCTGTTCCCAACGGGCAGACACCACTGAAGGCTAGGAGCCCACGGGAGGAGATCTTATAGCTATCTGGTCTGTCTCCTCAGAGTAGGGGTTGGTAGTGCCAGGGCCCAAGCACTGCCAGGTGGTTCCCTATCACCCAGGTCCGCGGGCAGCTGATCTCCCAGTATATGCTGGTCACTCCACCCCAACCCCCCACCCCAAAACTACTGGTACTTGAATCACAGACACTGTCCAGGAACCCATGAGCGAAGCTGTGAATGAAGAGATTTCCTCTTTGAACCTGTCTGGTAGGCCCCCAGAACATCCTCACCTCAGGGGCTCCTTTATTGCAAGTCCCTCTTCCCCACCCAAGGGCAAGTATGGCCTGCTTCAGCATCCTCTCCAGCTGCCCTGTGGTAGTGCTACTGGACCCAGGGTGCTACACAGAACCAAGAGCCAATAGCCTCCTGGCTCCAGGGGCTCAATGGAGGGTATGTTCTTTCTTCTCTTCTCTGGGGCATAGTGCGCCCCCTGGCAAGGCCAAGAGGATGTGGCATCCCTGCCTCACCACAGATACTAGAACACTAGTGAGAAACAACGCCTGGCCCTCGGCACTGGAGCCTGCTCCCTTCTCTGATCAGCACTATCAGGAGAGGACTGGCTGTCTGGGGGTGATGAGGGGCCCTGCCTTTGGGGGCTTTTGTGACACAGGCAGTGTCCCCCTTTCTTCCTCTGACTGGCAGCTGCTGCTTCCAGGCTCAGGCCACCACTCTGTGTACCTAGAGGAGATAGCCACAGACTGGAATGTTGTGGCATGAGAGTGCATGTGTGTGACTGTCCACTGTGGTCTCCCAGTCCCTCCATCTGTGTCTTTTCTCTGTGTCTGCTGCACATGTGTGTTGAGTGAACGCGTGCGTATCTTCTCACCGGGCTCTTGGCTGCTCAGAAGGAAACTTTGACTCAGTCTCTCAGCTCTGTGGAATCCCACTGATTTCTGTCACTGTTCCTCAGACCTACTAGCTGGGAATTGAGGAATGGGAGCTTTGGGGGAATGACTTCTAAAAAGAGATAATTTCTACTACTGCACTACTACTGTGTGTTGTAAGATGATTAAACATATATTTAATTTGTGTGCCTACATCTCTGACCTGTGTCACAGGGCTAACCACGATTGCAGCCTGCAAGGTCTTGCCCCTGGCAGGCAGTTTTGGACCTGCCATCAGCACATGTGACCCATGGTGCTGGGTCCTGCCTGCAATGGTGGGTGGGAATGCAGCACTCCTACCCTTTGGCTAAGGGAGGTGAGTTTTTTGTTCTTCCTTCTCATACCTTTTATTAACATTTAAATAATTCATGTCCCTCTATGTCTAAGCTAGGGGACAGAGTGTCCTAAGATCCAGAGTAAGACCTTAAGAAATTTTGGCCACTGCTATTCTCTTTTGTGTTGACCAGACTTAAGTGTGTGTACTCCTCATAGTTCACGGAGCCCTTTGCTGGATATGTGAGGGAGGGGAAGGGCTGGGCTAAGAAAGGGAGATGAGAGCAAAGGCCATTGAACCGTGCTTTGCCCAAGCTCTGTATAAAAACCAGCTGCAGGGGGGCAGCAGTGTCTCTGATCTTACAGGTCCAGAAGTTGAGCCATAGTGAGAAGTGGTTCAGTCCACACAAGCAGTGACTAAACTCGGGCTCAGCAGAGGCCCCTGCTCACACTGCTCAGGGCTTCTTCAGAAATAGTCCCTGGGTTAGGTCTGAGATGGAGCATGAGAATTTGCATAATGATGTCCTAGAAGATGCTGAGCCCCCCTGGTGCAGGGCCCCAATCCAAGGACCTCTAGGTGAGAAATGCATGGTCAGCCTCTTTCTCTCACGCATGCGCACACACGCACACAGAGCTGTAGCCTTTCCATTCCTGAAAGATGGTGGAGGGAGTAAGTACAGAGACCTCTATCTTGCCAAGTGGGGCCAATCTGCTCAGCTGGGAATGGTAGGGCTGGATGATGCAGTGCTCCAGTCTAAATAGCCACAGCAGGTGGGCTCAGGGCCCAGTGGGCCATAGTGGGAGGAACCTCACAGAAAACATTGAGCCTCTTCAGAGTAGAAACTATTCAATATTTCCAGTTTGGGCAACAGAACCAATGGAGCCGAGTGAGGCTCGCTGAGGTAGGTGAAGTGTTAGGAAGGTAAAGATCTGGTGAGGCTGGGGCACTGTGAGCAGCCTCAAGGCTCTACAGGGTGCTCTGGCTTTCTTTCCCCTGGCCTGTCTGGTAAGCAGCGGGAGCTGCAGAGATCCTCACACACACTGAGAGAAGATGCCTGCAGTCAGGCCACCAGTCTCCAAGATAGACTGAGGGAACAGCCTTGACACCTTTATGGATTTGTGTTGACTGGTTGGAGGGCCCCTATATATTTCTCTGGTCAAACTTGGCCACTGCTGTAATCTTCCACTCCTTAACTCCCCATCTGATGATGGTGGCTACCTAATGTCTATTAGTATTAGGCTGTGGCCATCCACTGTTGTGCCTCCTCTCCTACTTGGAGAGTACCCATAAGGCTCCCTTGGTCACAAGGAATGAAACTGAGGTTACCTCTCATGGGAACAAGGGAACTTTTATCCAGTTCTTCTGACTGCCAATACCCAGTACCTGTCTTGGCAAGTTATTGTGATGCCCTATTCCACCTTCCTGGCTGTGTTTTATTTACCCCAATTCTAATAAATCAACACATTCCTGTGCATTGACATTGGTGGTTCTCATGGACTTATTAGATCTTAACAGAATCACTTAGGAAACTTTTTAAAAGCACTCAATCCTAGAACCTAAACCCAGATTTTTAAGTATTTAACTGATTTTTATTAATTCCTTAGGTAATTTGTACAGGTATACCACGTCCATTTGAAGGGGGAAAAAAGCTCTTAGCGGGCTGGGGATGTGGCTCAAGTGGTAGCGTGCTCGTCTGGCATGCGTGCGGCCCGGGTTCGATCCTCAGCACCACATACAAACGAAGATGTTGTGTCTGCCAATAACTAAACAATAAATATTTAAAAAAAAAAAAAAGCTCTTAGCAGCTCAGCTTCAAAAGACTTGCAAACCAGTTGGAAGGAAGGTAACAGGCACCCAGTATCCCCTGATCAGCCCAGGAAAAGGCCCTTGAGATTGGGTGTGGCAGAGGTTGCTATTCATCAAACCCCAGAGCTTGTCATGTCCCCCACAACTGCTGACATGAGGTGATACATCTTGTAGCCCAGAAAACCAATCTCACTTTAAATGCCCATTTCTGTGATCTTGCTTAAACAGCTAGGTCAAAACCAACGCAAAAGGTGGTTAGTTCAAGCTTTGTGCTATAAATGGCTGCAGCATTTCAGGATTCTTCAACTGAAGTATAGCTGCACTTGAGAAGTTATTTTTGCCATATGCAATAGTCACCCACACCCAAATCTTTGAGAACCTAGTGTCCTTAATGAATATTTTAAAAGATTCCCCTCAAATATTGAGCCTCCCTCCCCAAGGATATGGACAGTTACCATATACCGGGAGGGGCTGGTAAGACATGAGAAGAGACGTGTGCTATTGCTGAATGGAGGACAATTGGTCAAGTCACTGGTATCACTGAGACCCTATCAAGGCAGCCAAAGGTTCTGCCAGGATGGACAGGAGTGGGCTGGTGGATTGTGCCTCTCCCTGTTACTGCTGCTTCCCAAAGACCTGAATCAGGTTAATCTCTAAGCAGTTGCTGGGCGATTGGTCAATCTCAACTCTAAGGTACCTGGAAGTCAAGACTTTCCCCTAGTTAAGCTTACTGGCAGGGCAGCACAGAGGTAACAGGCTAAAATACCCAGATGCCACATGAGGAGTATGACCTCTGAGTCCCAAACAGCAACTAACATGGACTATCCAAACCAAGAATTTAAAATAAGGCAATATAATTAGGGAAATCCTAGCAATGTGAAACAGGAACATGAACCAAGTGGAAACATTAAGTGTGAAAACACAGTGAATGGGTTGGAGGTGGCTCAGTGATAGAGCGCTTGCCTAGCACATGAGGCACTGGGTTCCAACCTCAGCACCATGTCAAAATAAAAAAATGAAGATATTGTACAACTAAAAAAAAAAAAAAAGCGAATGGGATAAAGAACAGATGAGAGTCAAAAACAGTGAGCTAGAGCATAATCTGGTGAAAATATGGGGTCACATGGTCTCACACATATATGACAGTTTTAACTCAGTAATAAACACAAGTCTAAGGCATTTCTATGGAGAAGTGGCGGAGTCCAAGAGTGGGGCACTGAAAGGGTAAGGGGAACTAACAAATGCAAAAGAAAGAAACATGTCAAGTCAGAAAGACAAGCCTACCAGAAGAGGAGCTTCTTTTGGCTAAATCTAAAACAATATGAGTTATCAAAATAAATAATCAAAGCTCCAGATTATAACTTTAAAAAAATATTTTTAGTTGTAAATGGATACAATACCTTTATTTTTATGCTGACGTTCGATCAGTGACTACCGATGATCCACAACCCCAGTTCCCTGATTATAATTAAAAAAAAAACTTTTTTAGTTGTAGATGGACACAATTTATTTTTTATGTGGTGCTGAGGATCAAACCCAGTACCCCACATACGCTAGGCAAGTGCCCTACCACTGAGCCACAAACCCAGGCCCACCAGATTATAACTTAATGAGTAAAATAGGAATCCATTATGTATATATGTACATATATGCCTACATGCATGTAATTTGTGTGTGTGTGTGTGTGTGTGTGTAAGTATTTTTGTTTCTCCAGTACTGGGAACTGAACCCAGGGATACTCTAGTACTTGATCTACATCTCCAGCACTTTTTTATTTTGAAACAGAGTCTTGCTAAGCTGTCCATGCTAGCCTGGAAGTTGTAATCTTCCTTTCTCAGCTTCCTGAGTCCCTGGGATTATAAGTTTGCCATTTAACCTAGTTTCAGTGTACTTTTTTTTTTTAAAAAGATCTAAATTCTAGAGCAAAAATGATGGGGAAAACACCCTATCAGATAAATATTAATTAAGAGAAACTGCAAAAGCAATGAAAAAAAAAAACAAAACAAAAAACAAAATAAGACTCAATGGGGGGTGGGGTGTGGGTGATTATCTACAGAAAAGAAAAAAAGAACAAGAAAAGGTAAAGAGGATGGATATTATTATCTCCAACACAGTCTGAAAACAAAACAAAATTGCAGGTAGGAAAAGGGAGAATGGACAACTTCATTTTTTAAAAAAATGAAATGAGAAAACACCTATAACAGACTAATAGTATCATCCTGTCTGAACCTGGACACAGTCAAAGCATGCTGACACAGAAAAATTCAGAAGTGAAATCATTTTGGGAAACAGAAGATTAACCATGAAGGAAGCAATCACTTGATTCACTTTTTTAAAGAATGAACAACATGAGGGAAAAAAACAAAACAAGAAAAACGTCGAGAAAGCCAGAAAAACATGATGAAATAATTTACACTGACAAAATCAAATGCTGGCACTTTCAAGACATAAAAACTTGAGTAGACCAATAAACATTGTGTAAATAAAAAGGCAAAGACTTTCTTTGGGGGAATTAGAAAAAATTAAAAGGTTTACGGTTTTCCAACACTTAAGAAGTTTTATGTAAGTTCTTTCACCAAATGAAAAAAAACTAAAACCTGCCCAGATCTTTAACAGTGATTCCAAAACCAATTAAGAATTCAAGAGAAAAAAAAAAATTTACTCCTGACTGTGGGTGCAAAAGCACAATTATTAACTATCTAAACCTAACAGTATATATTTTTTAAAAAAATCAAGGAGGGTTTATTAAAGGAATTCAAGAACGACTTCAACATTAGCATATTAATTCACATGCTTTAACAACAATAGAGGAGAAAAAGAACTATTATTATAATAGATGCTCTCCCAAAGCATTTGATAAATTCATCACTTATTAAAAAAGAAAGACCCATAGCAAACCAGGAATAGGAGGGAATATCCCTAACTTGATAAAGGTTATGTATCAATTAGTGTGTATACATGTAGAGATACATATAAAATATGTCATGATCAATTATAATTAGGACTTAATCAAGGAACACAGGCTTAATATTAGAAAAATCCACTAACATAATTCACTGAATAAAAACTACGATCTTATAAAGAAATAAGTGTTTGATAATGTTCACATTTTATCTGATGAGGGGTAGGGTGGAGATGTAGAAAGCAATCAGACTTAACTTGATAATAATGAAAATTGCTTTCCAGGTGGATATATAAGTCTATATTTACTTTTGCCCTGTGTAAGGTTTTGTAATTTCTCTTTACCACAAACACATTGACATTATGCATTATTCTATTTTAGGCCAGTTTTTACGGTATAAAATGACAGCTCAAAAAACTCCGGTAGAGCGCTCGCCTAGCACATGCAAGGCCCACATAAAAATAAATAAAATAAAGGTATTGTGTTCAACTACAACTAAAAAATAAAAATTTAAAAGCAGCAGCAGCAACAACAACAACAAACTCCAGCAAACTCTCCATTATGGAGTTTTGAGCATCTCTTCATGAACTGTTAACCCTTTTAGACTTCATATATAAACTATCATTATCCTTTGTTCGTTCAATATTCTTGGATTCAGTATATTTTTTGTATATGCTAGATATAAATCCACGGGTTGCTTTCAACATGGCAAGATCCTAAGTCTTTACCCTTTACTGAATAAGAATCTTTAATTTTGACATAATAAAATTAATTTTATTTTCCATATGTGGTTTGTGCTTTGGGGAATTTACTGTTTGTTGATGCATCTAGATCACAATAATATTCTATATTTCCTAATATTTTTTAAATTTACATTCCACTTTTAAGTCTTTAATTCATCCCACACTTTTGCATATGATGCCAGAAAGGGATTTTGTTTTATTTTCCTCCATGTAAATGCTAGCTTTCAAACACCATCTACTAAAACTCAGGGAATTCTTGTGTATTATTAAAACTACGTATTACTGTAACTAAGGTACTTTTATACTTTTACCTTTTGTTTCTACTGTGAATAGTTTCAATTATATTACCTAATAAGGTTACTGCTCTTATAGAAAAATGCTTGAAACGCTTATGAATCTATTTTCTATTTAATGAAGGTAACTTGAACTGAACTTGAATAGCTTGTGGATTCTCCTCTTTTTTGTCATAAACATCTAAAAAACGCTGATTTTAAAATAATGAGTTTTATTCCTCACCTTTCAATATTGATAATCTTTTTTCATTTATTTTTTTCTTACACTTATCAGAACTTCCCATTCTGTGAAGCAGTTATGGGACAGCGAGCATAGTGGATATATTAGGACACTGGTTTGGCTACTTTTGAGACCAAATAACAATGGCTTAAGTAAAATGAAAAGTTTCTTACGTGAAGGCCTGACCTCACAGTCAGTTCAGGAGAGAAGTGGCTCTGTCCATGAGGTGAATGTGCTTCTGGTACACATCCCTTTCCTTTGTGGAAAAAAAACTGGTCTGTTACAGCTATAGTCATATTCTAGCCTACGGAAAAGGGGAAATGCAACACGACTACATGCATCTTCCTTTAAAGATGTAGCCTGGTAGTTGTAAATTCACTTCTGCTTCCATTCCACTGGTCAAAACTAAGTCCAGCAGTCAATGTTTATCATAAATTTCTTCCTTTTTTGCAATATAATGAAGTACATCAATGGATTTTTGAGATGCTGATCAATACTGATGTGCATACAAGCACATGAGTAAGTACTTTTATTACAATATTTATTACAGTATTTAATTATGCTTAATATTTGATTTAAAATATGTAGAACTGATCATATAGAGTATTAAGTTTGCAGAATCCACAGTACTGAACTTAATGAAAGACTGCAATATGGGAACTAACATTTAATTGAAGTCTTAGATTTTTTTTATTTTAACATACAAATTGCATTACATATTGATATTTTAAAGCCTACCATGAACCAAGCAAAACCAAAGGAGTTGTTATTATTTACCCTATAAATGAGAAAACTGAGGCAGCACAAATTGTATACAATTTACCTAACATTGTATACAACCAGCAAGTGGAAAAACTAGATTCCAAAAGCCTGTGATTGTTCCACTACGTAACAATGCCTCACAATTAAAATTTTCTTCAATGATGGTAGTAACACAGTGTGATGGTAAGACATGAATAATATAGAGGAATTGGAGGTATTATTTCTCAATGCTTTTTCTAAAATTTTTGTATATGCTAGATATAAATCCACTGGTTGCTTTCAACATTGCAAGATCCTAAGTCTTTATCCTTTACTGAATAAGAATCTTTAATTTTGACATAATAAAATTAATCTTATTTTATTCAACTCAGCATTGTAAGGGAACTTTTTATTCACTAAAATAAAACTAAAAATCTGAATTTAATTGAAAACTGTGATTCCTTTATAAAAATTCATTTACTTTAGACTTTTTTGGGGGAAAACTCCCATTTTACAAAACTGGAATGTCACAAGGCAGATAGAAATGGTCTACATGCAATTTGGAGGCATAATTGTAGTTACAAGAATACCATTAGTTTTTCATTCTCATATTAAGTGTTTTTATTTTTACTTAGGAATGGATAAATTCCTAATTCTAATCTCGCAATTTCAAAATCACTGAAGTTGACTGATGAAAGTTTTGTATTCATCTAAAAAAAGAGAGAAAAAAAGGCAGAAGTGAAATATATGCATACCTCATATTTGTAGATGTTGGGGTTTTGAATACAGCCAATAAATAAACTAAAAAATGGAAACAAGTCTTTTGATGGAAAAACGTGCAACATTATTTGTGAACTAAATAAAACTCAAATAATTTCTGAAAATTGCTCTTTTTCTTGGTGGTTTTACTATCTGTTGGGTCACAACAATACGGTCAAATACAAAAATGTACTTAAAGTTGCTTGAAGACAAAGAAAAAGAATTCATCCGCCAAATACAAATATACTGTTTTATTCTAAGGGAATATTTCTGTGGTTTCTGCAAAGGGAAAACCCAAAAGTGGTTAAAAGGCAAAAGAACAGAAAGGATGCTTGAGATGTTTCTTTTTTTGTTTGATGTTTTTTTTTTCTCTCCTGAGGGGAAAATGTAATTTTAATAAAATAAGCAAATAATTGGACATATCAACAGCTATGCTTATGAGCAATGACCAATAATTAATCATATTTTCTTTACGAATTAGTTTAGGGTTCTGAGTGACTCTGTACTAACATGCAGTTGAAATCCTGATACAGTCATTTATCTGGGTATTATTGGTTGTTTTCAGTTAAAAGATACAGATTTTTTCTGATACAGATTTTTTCCCTTTGGGTATTACAATTTATCTACTATGTGTTAACAGTATTTGTTTTTCATACAACTACAGAGACAGGGAAAATGTTAGTGTTTATACAAACCATAAAATTCGTATAGTGGGACTATTACACCTGATGTTTCTGGATGGTTTTATTGGCAGACTTATCAGACAATCCAATTGTTTTCCTCAAGTCGAACAAGGTCTAGAAGTAGGAAGTTTTCCAGTCAGAAATGACACACACAGATGTAATTAATCATACAGAATCAGGGCAGATTTACTTCTTTCACACAGTTCTTAGTAACAAAAGTGAGATTTGTTACAGGCAGGGGGATAGAACCATCAAGTACATAATGTCAAAAGGCCCACTTTTAATTCTGTTATAGTTAAATGACTTTCATTTATTAAAAAAAATACACCTGCCATCCCCACCTAAAATATGGGACATACTGAAAAGGATTTCAAGATTAAACTTTCTAAGAAGATTTTTTTGACTTCTCCCAGTTTTATCATAAGGTCAAATAAACCTTGGCTAAAGATGTTCTATTGACTGGCCAACATCATAAAAGCTTTGATTTCAAAATTTTGTAGCAAAGAACTGAGAATTGTGATGAGGGACATAGACTGATATGGCCACACACGCCTATGACTTGCAATCCTCATAGAACTACTAAAACAGCTAGAGTTTGGAATAATGCTATAAGAAGACAGTCAATGTCTGAATCCTAACCCCAGAATTCCTATTTTCAAGTTTCCTAGGGCAACAAGGTCATCTTTTAAATGTTTTACACAAGAACCTACCGAGACCTTTTCTACCATAATTCGGATAGCTAAGTAATACTGTGTCTCTGGAACTGCTCATGGGTTTGCCAAAGTTCAGGAGAGAGACTATACTTTTTGAAATGACAAGGGCCTCCAAAAACTGATGCAAAAGACAAAAAAAGAGGAATCATTTGGGAAATAGGAAGGTAAAACAATGGAAGAAAAGCTGCCACGGGGGGAAAAACAAAAACAAATGGAGAGCCCCATTTCTGTGTACCACAGCTCAAGCTATGAGACATCAGCAATAAAGGCCTGCACCCAGAGAAGTGGGCATTTTAGTGGGTTCTTTACAAACATTTCAAGACACTTGGGGTCTAATGGGCTCCACAGATCTTCTGTGTGCATAATTAGTTTGTGGAATATCATCCCCTTTACCTTCATTTACCCACCTTGAGACCCACAGATGAGAAAGCTAAACCCAGAAGGCGAAAGGGACACATCACTATTAATAGGAGTGAAGGTCATTTTCCCTGATATGAGGGGCCCCTGGTAAAAGCATCAGAGGCTTCTATCCTTCACATAATTGGCTTGTCAGTGAAAATCAAAATCAAGACCACTTCACTAACTTGGAAAAAAAGTTGTGTATTTTTATTGGGTCTTCAGGTCTGGGTCCCCCAGTCCCATCTGATGTCACTCTCAGCTTTGTATTGAATTCTCCCCTGACTTTACAAGGTCTTGCCCAAGTAGCCAAGGTCTCACTCCAAAGCTACCTCTCTAAGGTCTAAGGTTACTATGGTAGAGTTTTATACAACAGTTTTCCTTAAAAATATTCCACAATTTTGTTATTCCCAAACAAAATAAGATTATGCACCACTCAGAGAAATTGGTTAGTCATTCTGAAGATGTCTAAGAACTATATCACTGCCAAAGAACATTTCTCAGTTCAAATTCTTTCCTTCAGTTTTCATTTGTACATCCACACTGTGGATCATCTGTTTCCCATGTCTCATAATTGAGTCAAGAGGACTTGGGCTTAAACATTGCTTTCCAACAGCTGGATGCGTTCACAGTTTGGTGCATACCAATGTGTATGAAAATAGGAACCTCACTTCCATCTTAATCTGACAGTTCAACATCAGAGTCTTCAGATTTGGCTTTGGCAAGTTCTTCATGTACTTCCCTCACCATGAGAATACGTGTTAACATGGTGTCCAGGGTACCAGGGTCTATTGGGAATGTGGAGTACCACATAGGACTATTCGGAACACAGGAACGCTCAGGCTGAAGGTAAAACACATCATTCCTCTGCTTCACACTTTCAGAACTATTCACAGAGGGGGAGAAAAAACAAAGAAAATTAAAGATTAGAGTTCAAGAAATATGAACTATTCTTTAATAAAATGGCTCTCAACTTTTCCCCACTGTGACTCATATCATAAATAACTATCCAGAGGAATGAAAAGGTTTATAAGCATCTTCCTGCCAGAAGTAATCTGTAACTTCACGTCTTTTCTTGAACACTCAAGAAGTCTCACCAATTGGATGTTGAGTACATAAGACAAATGTAAATCACAAACTTGAGTCCTTAAGATATTGTTCGAAGCAACACAAGTCAACTCATATGTAACATTACAGCTGAGAATCACACATCCTAGGTGCCCAGTATCCTAAAATGAAACCCAAGGATACTTAATATCATAAGTCAAACAACAATTATTGTTTCTTTGAGAAAAAGTGCCTTAGTATGGTTTATAATCATAAGGTTTCTCTAAAACAAAGGGCCAAAAAAAATCTCAATCCCTTAAATATCATCTTTGTATTTATAGGTTTAGTAAAAGAAGCTCTCCTTAGAATTTCTTTCCTACATTAATAATAAATTACTATAGATTAGGTACCCCACAAAGATTGGGCAACACTTGTTAAGATCAAGTAACAGCAGTGATTCTTTTCAAGATTTTTTTTGGGGAAAAACATCAAAATAAGGTGGTTTATTTTTTGGTTCAAAATTATAACTATAAACTCTAGAATGGAGGGGGGGGGGGAACTGAGAAGTTAAATCTCCCCGCTTAAGGTTATAGGCCAGCTACGTTTCTGATGTTCAAGCATCTGAAATCCACACTGTCATCGGAGTTCTGAAGTGCGCTGTATGTAGTGCAGAGGAAGATCACTTACCATTTTGACAGGTAAAACTCATAAAGTCGGACTGGGCATCTTAGTGGGTTATCAGTATTCTCTGCCATCTCTACACCCACTGGGACCTCATCATCTTCATTTCGTTTCCTCTTGCCAACAGTTAGTTTATCTTGAGACAGAAAATAATAATCAAAAGATTACATTAGAAAAGTCTATTTTTCAAGACTCAACACATCCAATGAGCTATGCTTCACAGTCAGAACTTTGCTATTCTTTCCCTTTCACTCGTTCATTCAACAAGATTTATTCAGCTCCCATGGAAGTGCCAGGCATTATCTGAAGGGCAGGGTTTACAGCATTAAAACAAACAAAGTGCCTGTCTTGGGACAGTTAGGGTTCTCCAATTCACCAAAGTGGAGGCACTATGGGAAAAAAAGCATGGTGCTGGAAGATAAGTCTCTATTCTGAGCCTGGCTTATTAAAAAACTTGACTATGCGGGACTGGAGTTGTAGCTCAGTGGTAGAGTACTGGCCTCATATGTGGAAGGCAATGGGTTCGATCCTCAGCACCACGTAAAAATAAATAAAATAAAGGTATTGTGTCCATCTACAACTAAAAATATTAAAAAAAAAAAAAAAAAAAAAACTTGACTGTGCAGGGCTCCTAACCATAGCAAGATAGGCAGAAAAAAGGGGTTCCATGTGCTCTTCTATTATAGTAATAAACCTAGATAGAGACTGTCATTCCTTTATCTGAAAATATTTCTACTGTGGGGCACACCAGTGCCTAGTGGGGCACTTGTTCAAATTGCTTTTATTCTAGTATTGTGAAAAATGGTACTGTTCATAGGAAAAGAAATTCTCGGTTATCATTGGATAAGAAAAGAACAAATCTTTTCTCACCAATATGATTCTCCAGAGGCCAAAGGTTACTACAAAGATACCAGGATGAAGGCATGCAAAGTAAGCTGTTTCTTTCCCACTTTTCCTTTCAATTTTCAAGAGAACAGTAGGTAGACCTGAGAACCCAAGGTTTTCTTCTTCTAAAGCTGCTCTTAACCACTTGGTTTGGGACTTTACTCAGCTTCTTGTACTATTACTTCAAGAAAAATCAACCATTTTCTACTTACAGGTTGCCTACATATACTTCAGTATTTAGAAAACAAGTTGTATTTATTATCAACCTTGTCAAATACCTACTCAGAAAGTGAAAATATTACCTTACTGCCTCTCCTCTCCTCCAACTAGTATCAATTAAAAACACAAAGCAGGTTACATATAAACAAAACTAAGGAAACAGGATGTTCACATTAGGAGAAAGAGATAGTATAGTGAAGGAGCCAATGAAAAAAGTCCACACAAAATTGTATGCCACAATTATTTATAAATTTCAGTTTCAGAAATTTTAAATTTTTACATTCAAAAATTTCACTCTTAAAGTTTTATTCTGGTCAAAACTAATAAATTTAATTTCTAGTTCTATAATATAATATTTAATATTTTTTAAATATTAAAATAACTTATTTAACAGGGTGTTTGTCAACAAAAGATCATAAACTGTCTAATAAAACTGCCCCTGCTAGCCAGGCACAGTGGCACACACCTGTAATCCCAGAGGCTCTGGAGACTAAAGCAGGAGGATTGAGAGTTCAAAGCCAGCCTAATCAAAAGGGAAGTGCTAAGCAACTCAGTCAAACCCTGTCTCTAAATAAAATAATTAATAGGGTTGGGGAGGTGGTTCAGTGGTGGAGTGCCCCTGAGTTCAATTCCCAATACCCAAAACACAACCCTGTGCCTGCTGACTTTAGTCTATTGTGGATAAAAGCAGTGTGTATAGGCCAACTTTTAAAATCCTGTCAGAATTTCAGTGTTAACTAAAAAAAGGCACTGTGGTCAAAAAAAGATTTAGAAACAACAAGTTAAAAATTAAGGAGTCTTTTAACTAGGCGTCTTTTAACTAGCAAAAATTGACTTATTTGATACCTGTACATCAGTGATTCTCTATTCTAGTTGTATATGTAAATTCCCTGAGAAATTTTTAAATGTAGATTACTTGGGCTCTACTCAATTAAACCAGTATTTCTAATTTAAAAGCCAATAAAAATATACTGAAGCAAGTGATTCCTTATACTTTAAAGTAAGTCTTTAAGTTTCCCTCATGACAGAGAAAAACACTGAAATGTTAAAAAGAAAGCTACATTACACTCTCCTGTGTGTGTAACTTACCATCACCCCCCTGCGATAACTGTTTTAGTAATATGAGACTTCAAACAGAAGCCTCAGACACCACCACACACCTGGCTCTGACTCTTGCTTCTGTAAAGGTGGGAAGAACCTCAGATATGTCATCTTGGTACTGTACTTCAGAGTCCTGGTCCGCCTCATCACATGGGCAAAGGAAAGCTTCAAGTGCTCAGTAACATTCTTTAGTTGAAAGTATTTGGTATTAAAAAAAAGGAGGGTGTTTAAGAGGACGATTGGTGAGTAAGCGCCCAGCTGTTTGCACTCCCACAAATGCTCTTCTTCGATGCGAGAGAACATGTAACCTAGACAGAGGGGGAAGAAACAGTACTGAGCACCTGCTACATAGCACTACATAAACTCTCAAATTCTAGGACAGGAAGGTATGAAGGGAAAGACAGACTGCTCCTCTCTTTCCCCGTCTTCTTTATGTAGAAAAAAAGAAGACACACCATAAAGAAAAGGGAAGAGGGGCCAGGGGAATATTCAGTGGTAGAGTGCTTGCCTAGCATGGGCGAGGCCCTGGGTTCAACCCCCAGAAATACCAAAGCGGTGGGGGGCAGGGGGGATTCCATCAAAGTAGACACTGAGCACTCCACAGAAAATTATTCTAGCCTATTATTTTATCAGAGTGTAGGGCAATCTTCCCTGTGAAGGTTCAGAGACTATAAATATTTTAGGTTTGTGGGCCAGATAAGCTTTCAACATTTTTGCATCTTTGTCATTGTAAAAATTAAGAAGCCACAGATAATATATAAAACAAAAAGATGTGACTTCATGCCAGGTAAAATGTATTCATAGTCAAATCTGAATTTCATACAATTTTGATTATATAAAAATATTAATTTCTTAAACTTTTCTCCAACCATTAAAAAACATAAAAACATAATATTTATATTTGTAGCTCATTAACTACAAAAACAGGAATAATCCAGATTTGGCCCCTTGGTAAGTTTTACCAACTTCTGTTGAGATCACTAAACTTATTGCCAGCTGGCTCAGTCTTATTTAGACAATATTTGAAGGCAGATGACCTCCTCTCTGCCACCCCTCTCAATTTTATATTAAGAGTGGTTACATCCTAATGACTTAGCTAGTATTCGTCTTGAAAGATACAGGTCTTAAATAAGACTTTTTTATATACCCATATGGCCCCTTAAATTCAGGTTTTTCTTAATGTTCTCAATCCTCTTTGTTGCTATTTCTGCACTCTATTCTTGGGAGATTTTCCACAAAAATAACTACATTACTTCCAAATTCCTAGCCCCCTCTCTGAATGCATCAAATCATCATGTTGCTCTGAATGTCTCAATGGTGCTCAGCAGTCCAACCAACAGGGACATGTATTTCTGAGAATACCCAATGCTCTCTATTCTGTCAAGGCACCTGAGATGAAGAGTGAATTATGAACTTCTCTGATAACATAAAGACAATTCAAGGAGGAGACTGTAACTCTCTTAACCCAGTTCTGTGTAGACACAAATGACTGAAAAGATCCAATGTTAACAGGCAGAACATGTGTGAACTATGGATCAAATGTGTGGCTTCACTGATACCATCACATAAAAAAAGAATTTTTAAAAAAGTAAATTAAATCTCAGTTTAGTTTTCATTTTGAGCAATAGTATCCATACATGCATTGAGAGAAAGTTACAATTTTACTAAAATATTCCAAGAATAAATCAAAGACTTTCTTCTCAAAAGCTCCAATATTTTATGTCAGGATATACAAAACAATTTTACAAAAAGGTAATCACAAAATGTAAGCTATTTTAAAAAGTATATCATGAAAACAAGGAAAATTTAAAAAATCATCCTACCATTAGGAAGAATTGTAGGTTCCCATATTTTCAAGAGTTTGGTGAGTTCAATCATAAATCTTGAATAGGGTTCAGTAAAAATGTTATCTATTCTACCATTTTCAAACAGGTACTAAAAGAAAAAAGACATACACATATTGATAAAGAAAAAACACAAGATTAAAAATATTATTTTAAGGAAAATAGTTTTCCCTTAATTTTTATTCTTACAATAATGTAAATGATGTTTTTAATGATTCATTCTGAAATGCCAGAAATTCAAGTTAAAGGTCTCTTTCATGCTCAGCACTGAGGTAAAGTTTTTGCTTTCTTTTTAAAATATAAAATTATTATAAATAATAAACCTTTAGTCAGTTCATGACACTGATAAAACAAAAACTGGTTCTAATGCATACTTCCCAAATCATGTTTTTCTTATCTGCACATATGCTCTCAAAAATTTCTTATTTTTCACTCTAACTACAAGATTGTTTCCTAAAATAATACAGTTAGCTAATATCAGGTGACCCAAAGAAACCCAAGTAAAAAAACTATTTAGTGCCTTCTAGCCACAGCTCTCAGCTCTCTGTTCCACAACTAAGCCCTCAAAAAAGTTCAAGTTTAATTACAGGACATTAAACTATGCTAGTTGTAACCATCAACAGCTATATCACAGGATATAAAATAGGGGACAGCTTGAAGAAAATACTGTTTAAAAATGAATTTCCAGATAAAATTAACTTTTAAGTCAAATAAAATTACAGAACAATACAAGGCAGCACCTTTAGCATGTAATTATAATGCTATGTTATATAATTATAAATAGTATATACATATATCATATAACTATGGTATTTTGAATTTATCCATGGTTAAACATGGTTTCAAATCTGCATTTCTATCTATGTATGATCTGGAGAAGTTGTTGACAGACCTTTATTTATTTTTATGTGGTGCTGAGGATCGACCCTAATGCTTCACACATGCTAGGCAAGCGCTCTACCACTATGGCACAACCCCAGCCCTTCAATGTGCATTTTTATGAAGCCACTACAAAGGAAATTATTATCTTACTGCCAGATATTATATTTTTATTTATTTATATTTTGGTGGTTGGGGGATGGTGGTAACCAGGGATTGAACCCAGGTAACTCAACCTCTGAGACATATCCCCAGTCCTTTTTTGTATTTTATTTAGAGACAGGGTCTCACTGAGTTGCTTAGCACCGCCATGTTGCTGAGGATTGTAATCCTCCTGCCTCAGCCTCCGGAACCACTGGGATTAAAGGCATGTGCCACTATGCCTGACCACATTATAGTTTTGTTGTTGGACAATATTTGGTTTTCCCTTTTAATAAAGTCAATTTCCCAACTTAAAATATTTTATCATCATTTTGGAAAAAGTTTAAAATACAGAAAAAGTGGAAGAGAAGACTAAGCTCAGTTTACAAAGCCAACTACTAATACGCAGGGATATTTTAATCTTTAAAAAATTCCATTACAAATAGAGTTAAGGTTTATATACTTATACAAATACATCAGTACATATAATTTTTTTTTCTGTACCAGGGGTTGAACCCAGAGCTTTGTGCATGCAAGGCAATCACATTTCCAGATCTTGTAATTTTTTGATACAGAGTCTCATTAAGTCATTTAGGCTGGCCTGGAAAGCTTGCAATTCTCCCGCCTCAGCCTCCTGAGTTACCAGAATTATAGGCATGTGGCACTGCACCCAAGTTTAAAACACACACACACACAAAAAAAAAAAAAAACCCACCTCACCCCACTTAGATCAGGAATGAGAAAAAAAAAAAAAAGTTCTTGCTGCTTAACATTGTCCTGGAAGTCCTATGTAGAGCAACCACGTGTGAGATAGGAAAGGAAGAAATAAATATCTCTATTTGCAGATGACAAGAACCTATCTATAAGGAATCCCAGGAATCCACACACACACAAAAAAAAACTAGTAATTAGGGCTTATAAGTGAATTCAGCAAAGTTGCAGGAACAAGCAAGACACTCCCTCACCAAAAAAAAAATCGATTTTATTTCTATAAACTAACAATGAACAACACAATTAAAGGAAATTAAGAAAACAGGCCTATTTAAAGTAACAACAAAAAGAGAATAAAATACTTTAAAAATGTAAGGAGGTAAAAGACTTATACATAACAAAAAGGTGCTGAAAGTAAAAATTAAAGACCTAAGTAAATGAAAAGATCCTGTCTTCATGGATTACAAGATTTAATATTGTTAAGACAGCCATGTTCTCCAAAGCAATGGACAGATTCAATGCTACTGTATCAAAATTCCAGTGGCCTCTGTTTTTTTGTAGAAAAGGAAAAATCAATCCTAAAATTTATATGGAATTTCAATAGACCTTTGAACAGACAAAAGAATATTGAGGAATCTCACCTTCTGGTTTTAAAACTTAATACAAAGCACAGTATTCAACAGTGTGTACTGCCATAAAAACAATCATATCAACCAATGGATTAGAATTGAGGGTCCAAAATAAACATAGACATGTAGGGAGGCAGGCAGGCAGGCAGGCAGGCAAGCAGGCGCGCACACACACACACACACTTGGCCAAATGATTTCCTACAGTAGGGGTTTCAAGACAATTCAATGTATAAAGAGTAGCCTTATTAGAGAAATGAGCTAGGAGACATGGATATCTACATATAAAGGACAGTAGATCCTACCTCACATCAGATATAAAAGTTAACTCAAAATGGACCAATGATGTACATATAAGATCTAAAACTGTACAACTCTTAGAATATAAATGTTCATGACTTTGATTTGGCACAGTGACAACAAAACAGCAAACCTTTCACCCCCGCCTCCCCAAAAAGAAATTCAATTTAATCAAAATTTAAAAATTTTGATTCAGGGAACACTATCAAGACAATGAAAATAAAACCCAGAAAACAGGATAAAATGTTTTCAAATCACTATCTGCAAGAGTTTAATACCCAGAATATATAAATGATTCCTATTACTCATTAATAAAATTTTTTAAATAGACATGTTTCCAAAGATATAAAAATGTCCATTAATACATGAAAACATGCTTAATATCATTAGGGAAATGCCATTCAAAACCATGATAAGATATCACTATCCACCAGAAAGGTTATTTTAAAAAGGGGTTGCAGTGGGAATGTACTGCAGTGATAAAACAATGGCCTAGGACAAACTGTGTAAAGCCCTAGGACTGAACTTCAGCATGAGGTGGATGGGGGTGTATGGTTATTAGCAAGTATTAACAAGGATGCAGAAATATTAGAGTCCTCATACACTGTTGCTAGGAGTATAAAATGGGCAGCCACTATAGAAAAGTTAATCATAGATACCATATGACCCAGCAATCCTACTCCTGGCCATATACAAAACAGATGTCAAGTAAAAACTTGCAAATGAATGATCATGATCACCAAAGAAGTTAACAACTCAAATGTCCATAAATGGATAAACAAAATGTGGCACATCCATGCAATGGTGTACTATTCAGCATAAAGAGGAATTATGTTACAATATAAATAAACCTTGAAAATATTATGGTAAGGGAAAGCCAGACATAAAAGGCCACATTACACGAACATAGATATAAAATACCCAAAAGAAGCAAATATACAGAGACAGAAAACAGACTCTGATGCTAAATGGGTATGGAGTTTCCATTTCAGATGATAAAAAAGTTATGAAACTAGATAGAAGTGATTATTGCACCCACTAAATTGCACAATTTAAAGTGGTAAACTTTAATGATACATATATTTTCCCATAATTTATAAACAAATAAATGCCATATATATATAATTTTTGCAAGTTACTTTTTAACATGTATGTCTCTTAGAATTCCCTGTGTCAGGACATATAGAAGCAAGTCATTTCTTTTTAACTATTGTACAGTATTCCACAATACTGACATATTAAAGTTGATTGAACTATAACTCTTGATTAATACTTGGGGGGTTTCTAACTTATTACTGTTTAAAAAAATATTACAATAAAAATTAAAGAATATGTCTACATATGTATGTGTATTCCTCTGGAGACATATACTGATAGATAGATTTGCTAGGACAGAGTCTACATGCATTTAACATTTTAAATGCCACTGTTAACCTGCTTTCTGAAAAGACCAACAACAGTGTAGGTAAGTTATTTAACCTTCATATGCCTCAAGTTCATCAATGGAAAATGTGGTGAAACTTGCTACACTTCAAGGGATCGTTCAAATAATAATAATTACATGAGTTTATATATGAGTTATACAATGAGTTTACCTTAATGCACAGTTTATTAGTAATGATCATTAGGTGTTACCTGGTACATGTTGTCTATTAAGCCTTCTTCCCACTGTTCTTTCCTATCTTTGACAGTTTTCTCTATATTATTGTATGTTTTATTATTGTATATTTTATAAAGGTGTTTTTCATATCTATTGGCTAATAATTCTTGGTTATATATGGTAATACCATGAGCTAAGAAAGTACTCTCAATTTGTATGAAAATGTGGAAAACAGACCCAAAACAGATGGTTAACAGAAATATTAACTGAAAAATCATTTGGTAATATATAGCAAAAACATAAAATAAAAAGTTTATATCTTTGCCCCAGAAATTCAACTTTCAAGAATTTACCCTAAAGAAATAATTAAGCCAGGTATAAACATATATACAAAATGAAATTCAACAAAGCATCACATAACAGGAAAAAAATCTCATCAATTAAACATTATCAATGTATGTATCACAAACCTGATAAAAACCTGATTATGATATACCATTAATTTAAAAAATAGGTCATAGAAACATGGAAGAATAATTTTGTTGTTTAAACATTTTTCTTCATTGTCATCTTTTCCATCTAATGTTAAAAGTGATGGCCAAAGACTTGATTCTAAGTTGCGTTCAGTTTCTTTTTATATATTTTCTGTCTTCAAATTTTCTTGGAATTACCATTATTATTATTACCACTATTGTTATTATTATTATTACTACCATGGACTTAACATAGGGTGCTTTAACACTGAGCCACATCCCAAGCCCTTGTAAATTTTTATTATTTATTTATTTATTTTGTACCAGTGATTGAACCCAGGGGTACTTAACCACATCCCCCAGCCCTTTTTTATATTTTATTTAGAGACAGGGTCTCACCAAGTTGCTTAGGGTCTTACTAAGTTGCCTTGCAAATCAATGTGATTACAGGCGAGCGCCATTGTGCCCAGATATTTTTTTTTTTATTTTTGAGTCAGAGTATAACTAAATTGCTTATGGACTCTCTAAATTGCTGAGGCTGGCTTTGCTTTTTTTTAAGTTTTGATGGCCCTTTAATTAATTCATTAATTTCCAGTGCTGAGAATTGAACCCAGTGCCTTTCACATGCTAGGCAATCACTCAAACCCCAGTCCCTGAAGCTGGCTTTAAACTTGTACTCCTCCTGCCTCAGCCTCCCTCACTGGTGGGATTACAGGCATGTACAACCATGCCTAACTACCATAATTATTTTTAGAAAAAAGAGAGCAATCTGAGATATCAACATAAGTAACCTTTTAAAACTTTTAAAACACTGTTAAGCTTATTTTTTTTGAAAAAATTGATTTTAAATATTTTATGAAATTGATTTAAAAATATTTACTGCCTCTGATCATTTATTTGTTAAAGTATGGGCATTTTAATAGTACTGCTATATAAAGTCATTTATTAACATAAATAGAATGAATACTCAAGAAAAAAAAATCTTTCACAGGTTTATAATTGGCTTCACAAAATATATCTTATAGACAGCAAAATACCTGACATAATGTACTCAAGTATACTGATTGAAATCCCTGCAATAAACATATTTTGAATATAATTAAACCATTAGAATATTAATAATGAAAAGAACTAAAAATGAAAGAAACTAAAAATTCTCTGCTTCATTTAAATTTTTTTTTCTTTTTTTAGAGTTTAGAGACTAAATCAAAATAGAATGGGAACTTTTAAACAAACATGCCACTTCAATTCTGTGGGAAAATAAATGCTATCTGCATAACCAGGCTACCCATCAGAAACAAGGTCCATCAGAAATATCCTTATATCACATAAAAGAATGCATTTTAGATGGTTTAAAGATATTAATCTTTTTTAAAAAAAACAATTATTTGAGAAGTTAACATTTTCTATTTTAAGTAAAAAGACCATACTAAGAAACAGAGGAACCCCAGGAAACATAAAAGAAAATAAATACATATCAGCTACTTAAAAAGGAATACTTTTTTTTAAAAAAAAAAAAATGTTTTTAGTTGTTGATAGACCTTTTTTAAAAATTTACTTATATGAGGTGCTGACAATCGAACCCAGTGTTTCACATATGCCAGCCAAGTGCATTACCGCTGAGCACAGCCCCAGTACCAAAAAGGAATACTTTTGAATGATAAAATAGAACACAAAAATTAAAGACAAAAGTATATTTAGAGGGTTGGGACTGAGCATTTGCCTGGCATGTATGAGGCACTGGGTTCGATTCTCAGCACTGCATATAAATAAATAAAATAAAGTTTCTATCAACAACTAAAAATATATTAAAAAATATATTTCAAACAGTTATTTTACAGTTAATATCCTCAATTTACAACATAGCCTACAAAGAAAAAATCCAAACGACTACCCCCAAAAGACATACTGCTTTACAGAAATTAGAAAAATGCACACTAAAACTACAAGATGACATTTTTCATTTTACTCATTAGAATAATAAAAATTTAAAAAAGAGGAATACTAAAGATTCATGAATTGCGCACTTATACACATTGGTATGATTTTTAATAGTTATAAATAATCTGAAAATATATTAATAGTGGTAAATTAAATGCTTTATATGCATATATGCTTTGACCTAGAAATAAATACATCAGTTCAAAAGATATGTAAACAAAATATTTACTTAAGTGTTGCTTTGACAAGTAAAGATGTAGAGAAAACGGAATCTTTGTACACTGCTGGCTGGTAGAAATGTAAGCTGGTACAGCCATTAGGGAAAAATGTTTGGAGAGTCTTTGAAAAACTAACAATAGAAATACTAAAGGATCCAGCAATTTTGCTTCCAGGAATTTAGTCAAAAAAGCTAACATCAGTTTACCAATGAGATGTTTACACTTCCTGTGTACACTGCATCACTACACACAACAGTGAAATTATGGAGTGACAGATGGCATGGATAAAAAAAAATGTGGTACCTATATACACAATGGAATACTATTCAGTCTTTTAAAAGAAGGAAATTCTATTATTTATGATAGACAACAGAGATAGAATTGGAGAATATTATGCTGAGATATGCCAGGCAGAGAAAGACAAATGCCAAATGTTCTTACATATATGTCGCATCTACAACAACTCAAAACTGAACTAAGTTGCAGGTAGGAGCAAGAAGTTCTGGTATGCTATTCACAGTATGATGACGGTAGATAATAATTAACTGTGTACTTCAAAAAGCTAGAAAAAAGGGCTGGGGATGTGGCTCGAGAGGTAGCTCGCTCGCCTGGCATGCGTGCGGCCTGGGTTCGATCCTCAGCACCACATACAAAGATGTGTCCGCCGAAAACTAAAAAATAAATATTAAAATTCTCTCTCAAAAATAAATTAATAAAGCTAGAAGAAAAGATTTTGAAAGTTTTAATGGTTTGAATGTAATAGATCTTTGAGGAGATAAATATATTTAACCTCAATTAAACATTACATAATGTATATTACACCTGTATAAAAACATAGTACCCTGTTAATAGGCACAGTTTTTGAAGTTTTTTCTTTTTCCTTTTTTGGTATTTGGGATTGGACCAGGGCACTTCACCATTGAGTTACATCTTGAGTCCTTTTTAAAAATTTGGAGACAGGGTCTCACTAAGTTGCTGAGGGTCTTGCTAAATTGCTGAGGTTGGCCTCAAACTTGAGATCTTCCTGACTCAGCCTCCTAAATTGCTGGGATTACAGGTAACTACCATACCTACTTAATATGTACAATTTTTGTGTCAGTTAAAAAATAAATTCAGGGATGAAGCTATTGCTCAGTGGTAGTGTGCTTGCTTAATACACATGAGGCCCTGTGTCAATTCCTAGCACTGCAGAAAGAAAAAACAAAAACAAAAAATAGAAAAAATAAATTTAAAAGAACAAATATTTTTAAAAGGAACATACTACTTCATGAAGATAATTTACTTAACCACGCTGGTGGGCATTGTGGTTATGTCTTTTTTGGGGGGCAATGATGTGTGAACTTGAGAATATGAGTTTTGAAGAGACTTGCAAAAACTGACAAGCAAAAAATTTAAAAATATTTCCAGAAAATGTTCAAACTATTTTCTAAAAAGCCTGTATTAATTGCTTCCAACTACACAGGACCTCCATATCACAGCATAAGTGCTGTTACCTTTTGATCTTTATTGATGTGATAAACAATGAAGTATCTATTACATTTAATTTGCATTTAAAAAATTTACACCAAACTACATGATCAATACACACAAAACACATAGTCGTCTATGCTTCTTTAGGAAATTGCTATTTATGCCCCTTTTGTTCATTTACCTATGAATGCACTTTCCCCAATATCTGTTATCCTACTGTTTTAATTTAGCTTATAAAAGGCCACTACATGAATAAGACTTTTAAATCAGAGAGTGGTTCATTAATAAAGAACATAAGAGCAATATTAGATAACCAGTATATATTATAATTCTTTGGCTTAATTCACAGTTCTTTTAGAATTACTAAAAATTCAATTAATTTCATAACAGCCACTTAATATGATACCTGCTGAATTCCAAGGCACAAGTATAAGATACTGTCTGGATCATACTTTTCACCATTTGGTCTCCGCACCTCTTGGATAAACTGGCATAAGCCCAAACTCAATTCAGCAAAAGTGCAGGACAGAATATCTTCCTTCAGCTTTCCAGAGCGGACTGTGGAAAGGTAGAAAACATCTGAAACATTAACTTACAACAAACACAGTAATATTACTTGATTCACTGAAATAAACCCTGAGTACTATGGTGCTTAGGCATTGTGGTATAGACTATGGATTAAAAACAGATCCTGATCTCAACACTTTCAGTTAGGGAAATAAAGACAATGTAGTACATATACTGCTAATATAAAGATTTTGTTTGCACAGGATTCTGTGAAAGCAAAAGAGAAACATCTAATAGGGAAGAGTCAGATTAGATTCTGGAGGAAGTAACACAGGCAACACCTTAAAAAGTGAAGAGTTTAAAAGGTGAATAGGTAAAAATTCCAATGTGAGGATACAAAAAGATATCCCAACATATATTCTATAGAACTCTAGTTCTATGTGAACTTCCTCTGAAGAATTCCCAGTGCCTACTGGCACATTAAAGACTAAAAATATTTATAAAAAAGAATGCTGCTGAACTTTCTTTAACTCCGATTTGACTATAGAATATCACAAATACAGTAAAACATCTTCATGCCTTTAGAAATGATAGAACACAGTATTCTTATATCTGCAGGGCCAAAAAGGTGCAAAGATTCAGGGAATTTAGGTGTATAGAAGAAAAGCAATAAGGGCAAGTTAGGGCAGATCACGATGAGTCTCATGTATTGTATTAAGATGTTTGAAGAAAACCATTTTGAGTAGGGAAGTTACCAATTTGATTTGTATAAGTTCTATTGCAACAGGTTGATCCATGTTGTGAGGTTAGTACTAAAAAACACCCTTTCTAGTTCTTGCTCTTCTGCATTTAGCCAAGACTACACATTTTCAAAGATACACTTGGGTCTCTCCTGTGTGGTGTTTTTTTTGTTTTTGTTTTTGTTTTTTTGGTACTGGGTATTGAACTCAGGGGCACTTGACCACTAAGTCACATCCCCAGGCCTATTTTGTATTTTATTTAGAAACAGGGTCTCACTGAGTTGCTTAGTGCCTTTCCATTGCTAAGGCTGGCTTTGAACTTGAGATTCTCCTGCCTCAGCCTTCTAGGCTACTGGAATTACAGGCATGCACCACCACGCCTGGCTCCTGTGTTGGTTTTGCACAGGCAAGCAGAGGTTCATAAGGGCAAGGACTAAGCTTGATCTTTTTACCCCAGATCATAGCAATGAAGCTTGGTACATAATAAACATTCAACGAGTATTTTTCCCCTTGTTGCGCAGGTTGGTCTCGAATTTGTGAGCTCAAGTGATCCTCCCACCTCAGCCTCCCGAGTAGCTGGGGCTACTGCTGTGCCTGGCTTCCTTTCTTTTATGAGACAAAGAGTGCCGTGGTTCAAGTGGGTGGTCATCAGCCTAATAAATCCCCATAACAGGATAATATTTACAAAACCTTGGAGCATAAAGATTACACTTATCTGTAGGAATTCCAATGATGTCAGTCATAGCTAAGAGTAACAACTGACAGCTCCAACAAGGAAGGCTGAGATTTACCCAAGACCAACAGGACAGACCACTAGTGGATGAAGCCAAGAGTATATGCAATCAAACAGGTGTAAGAGAGAAGATATATTTGGAAAGTGACCCCCCCCCAAAAAAAATCTAGTTAAAATGATTACACTTATACATTTATACCCCACCTCATTTCATAAAGATTATATAGGTAGAAAACACAATAAAAAGAAAAATATAAATTGAAAATAAAATTCAGAGAGGCTAAGATGTAGCTCAGTAGTAGAGTACTTGTCTAGCATGTGTGAGCCCCTGGGTTTAATCTCTAGTACCTCAAAAAAAAGGACATCAAAACTAGTAAAAAATGCAGGCTAGAATTGTGGCTCAGTAACAAAGCTCTTGCCTTGCACCTGTGAGGCACTGGATTCGAGCCTCAGGACCACATAAAAATAAATAAACAAAATAAAGATATTAAAAAAAAACTAGTAAAAAATGAAAATTATTTGGCTCTTAAAATTATAATATTGCTTTATTTGAACAATTTTTAAACTATTTTATTTGATTCCAAGTTTCCTGGCAGCCGAAGTGAAACAAATATTGTCAGTTATAAATGGATATAATTTTAGGAACAATTCTTATCAAAGCAAGGCTTTTTTTATTTCCAGATATTTTTCATAAAAATATGAAAAAAAAAAATCACACTGCATTACATATGGGTTACTATATAGAAAAGAGGATAAAGAAAACTTTTTGATGCATTTGTCTGGTGTTAGAAAAAAAATTCCTCATATTTGTGTAATAAATTCTACACCAGAAGACACAATCTTACCTTTACACCTTTATAATAACCTTTAAAATTGAGGTTTTCCATCTTAAGAATCAAAAATTAAAAACTTTAGACATTCAACTTACAAATTTATATCAACAAATTATGAATAATTTAAAACGAATGCAGAGGAAAGAAACAAGTTTTACCTCTACAGCCGGACTCTGAGGACTCTTGAGAGAGGACCTGGTCTTGAGCACTTCCTAAGTGGTCAGAACATGGGCTGGATGAGGCATGTTCACCTCCTTGGAGAGAAAAAGAAAATTGAAAGAGTTAATTAAGTAAAGCCAAACTCAGTTTTATAGTTTCTGATAAAAGAACTATCCCTTTTGAGTTAATTTATGGCTTTGCTTATTTATATTTCCCTTGCCTAAATCAAGACACAAATTCATGCTGTTAACGTTTACCTCCACACTTTAGATCCCCCTGCTCTTCCTTGGCATTTTTCCACTGAACCCAATTCTTCCAGGCATTCACCCCATACATATATTTCAGGGTCATTCCAGACACTGAACACCCTTGAAAGGCTCCTTGAATAAGACTCCTGGGCTCCATAGCCACTATAGACTTCTTCCGTCCCTGTAAGAATTCCAAAAATTTACAGAATATAAAAATGCAGTTTTGGATCTTTAAGAATCAGAGTTCTCAAAGCCAGAAAGGGCATAAACCTATAGGATATGAAATTTAGTTTTATATCATTAAGATTTAGAGTTCTAAATGGGCATGGTGACACATGCCTGTAATCCTAGCAGTTTGGGAGCCTGAGGCAGGAGAATGCAAGTTCAAAGCCAAATTTAGCATGTGTCAAAATAAAAAATAAAAAAGAGATGGAGATGTGCTCAGTGATTATTAAGCACTCCTGGGTTAATCTCTGGTCCCCTCCCTCCAAAAAAGATTCAGAATTCTTAGAGCTGAATAGAGCTTTACAGATTATTTAAACCAACTCATATTAAAAGGAAAAAAAATGCATAAATATAGAAAAATCACCTTGTACTAATTACCAACATTTGAGTACTTAGTGTGTTCCAAACACTGGCTCCACCCAATGAGAGATAGATATCACTATTATTACCAGTTGGGCCTATTTAATAGAACATATTTTTAGTAATTAAAAAAAAAGGCCTTTAAAAATTCTCTAACCACACTGGAACTGAATTAGAACCCTCTGATGGAAATATGCTAAGAAAATTCTCCAAAATCATAAATTAATAGTATACTTATAAATATTCCATGGGTCAAAGAAGAAATTACAAATGGACATGCAGCTCAATGGTAGTAGTGCACTTGCCTCACATGCACAAGGGTGGTGGGTTCAATCCCTAATACCACAAGGGGGACAAAAAAAAAAAAAAAGTAAAGAAGGAATTTTAAATGCAATTAGAAAACATTGTGAACATAAATGAAAACAAAATGTCATCAAAATTTCTGTGATGGAGTTAAGACTTTAAATGCTTTTATGAAAAAATGATATAAAAATTATAATATATATTCTAAGCTTTATTTTTTTTAGTTGTAGATGGTCATAATGCCTTTATATTATTTATTTAATTATTTATTTATTTTTATGTGGTGCTGAGGATCAAACCCAGTTCCTCACATGTGTCAGGCAAGCACTCTACAATTGAGCCACAACCCCAGCCCCTAAGCTTCAATCTTAATATAACCAGAAAAGAGGACCAGAGTATAACCCAAACTAAGAAGGAAATGTTTAAAATAAGAGCAAAAATCAGTAGGGAATAAAAAGAGACAGAAAAATTAATGAAATGAAACTGATGATCTGAATAGCTATAGAAACTAAATTTACAATTTAAAACCTTCTCCACAAGAAACACCAGATCCAGAAGGGTTCACAGTTGAATTTCACTAGTTAAAGAAATTATACAAATTGTATTTCACATAACAAGAGAGAATTTGATATCACCAACACCCTGATACCAAAACCAAAATCATTACAAGAAAACCATGTGAATAATTCTTGAACAGAGACACTTAAAACCTTAATGAAATATTAGCAAACTGAATTCTGTAATATATAAAAAAACAAATAAATATATTATTTTTAAAAAGTAGGGTTTATTCTAGGAATGCAAGTTTAATCATTTGGATTTTTTTTTTAAAGTAATATATTTTGTCATTTAATAGACTCAAAAAAGGAAAACCGGATACTATCTCAAAAGAAGCAAGAAATCCACCAAACAAAACTCAACAGCCATGCCTTTGATGGGGATATTAAAGCAAGAAAATATGAAAAAAAAAAAAAAAAACTCAACAGCCAACCCTGGTAAGAATCTGCAGCAGATCAGGAAAAGGGAATGTCCTCAACCTGGTGGAGGGATACCTACAGGAAACAACACACTAAACGTTGCAAGACTAAACCCTTTTGCCTGAAGATTAGAAACAATGCAAAAAAGGTCATCTTAGTAATAATAACCAGGAGAGGTCTTAGCTAAGTTTGATACAGCAAGAAAAGAGGAAAATACATTCAGATTAGGAAGGAAAGAGTAAAACTAAAACTCTTTTTTTTTGCCACAAATAACATGATTGTCTAGGTAGAAAATCCTATGGAATTTAATGGCGCAAAGCTAAAGAACATAGACTAAACACACAAAAATCATTTGCATTCTTATATACTAATAAGGAATACAGAAATGAAATTTTAAAATATTACCACTTATAACAATTAAAACTAACTTACTATTTATTTATTTAGCAGTGCTGGGACTGAACCCAAGGGTGTCCTATCCCTAAACTATATTCCTGTCCCTTTTTTATTTTGAGACAGAGAGTGTTGCTAAGTTGCCTGGGCTGGCTTGCAAATAGTGATCCTCTTGCCTCAGCTTCCCAAGCCACTGGGGTTACCGACATGTGTTACTGTGCCCAGCACAGAAACAAATTTAACAGACTATAAAAAGAATGAAAGGTAAAAAACACTGCTGAGAAAGCCAGGCACAGTGGTGCATATCTATAATCCCAGCTACTTGGGAGGGCTGAGGCAGGAAGATCACATCTGCAAGGCCAGCCTCAACAACTTGGTGAGACAAAAAAGGACCGGGGATGTGGTTCAGTGGTAGAACATCCCTGATTTTAATCCCCAGTATTGCATACAAAACAAAAAGAAACAAACATAAGAGAATATCTTAGGTAACATGAGTTGGGTAAAGGCACAAAATGGCAAATATGCACATGAAAAGATGTTCAAAATCATCAAACACACAATCAGAATATACTCTACTACAAAGTCACTGGACTGGTAAAATTCAAACTCCACAATACCAAGTGTTTGCAAAGTCATGGAGCTTACAGACTCTCACACACTTTAAAAAAAATTTTTTTTTTTAGTTGTAGATGGACAAATATCTTTTATTTACTTTTATTTGGTGCTAAGGATCGAACCCAGTGCCTTATACATGCTACCACTGAACTACAATGTCAGCCCTTGTATGTTGGTAATTGGAATATGAAATAGTAAATTCACTTTTTTGTTTTCTTTCTTTTTTTTTTTTTTTTTTGTTGTTGCTGTTGTTGCAGTACTAGGGAAAGAACCCAGGGGTACTGTACCCCTAAGCTATATTCCTATGAACAATACCCCTTACTCCTGACCTTTATTTTAGGAGGAGGGTCTCACTAAATTGCTAAGGCTGGCCTCAAATTTACAATCCTTCTGCCTCAGCCCCCTGAGACACTAGGATTATTGGTATGTGCCACTATGTTTGGCAGTAGATCTATTTTCAAAAACAATGTGGCAGCTTTCCTATAAAGTTAGAAATATACTTAGTGTAAAACATAGCAATCCCATTTTCTAAATATTTTTCTTCTGAGAAATGAAAATATATGTTAACACCAAGGCTTATTCTAAAATATTCTTTAAAATATTATTCAAAATATTCCAGACTTACAATCCTAGCTATTTAGAAGACTGAGGCAAAGACTGCAAGTTTGAGGCCAGTCCTGGGCAACAAAATGAGACACTGTCTCAAAATAAAAAAATAAAAAGGTGCTGAGGAAGTAGCTCAGTGCTTGTCTAGCACAATGTGTTTAATCTCAGTACCAAAATAAAAAAGAACAATAACAACAAAAGGCCCCAAAATGGAAACAACACAAATTTCTATTACCTATTAAACAGTTGCACAAATTTTAGTATGTCCTTATTAAATGCTACTCAAAACTATAAAGAACAAACCACTGAGACATGAAACATGTATGAATCTCAAAAACACTATGCTAAGTGAAAGAACCTAGACATAGCAGACAATATACTTATGAGACTATTTTTATGAAATTTTAGAAAAGGTAGACATTTATATCAACTGACACAGCACACTGGCGGTGTCAGCACGTGGAGATGAGGCTGACGGCAAAAAGTTGTGAAAAACTTTCTGATTCTTTCAGGAAAAAAGAATTTTTCATAATTGTGGTAGACTGAACATACTACATACATGTGTCAAAGTCCATCACATTATATCTTTAGAATTTATTAAATCCAATTTTCATAAGTCAACAGAGCCAATTAAAAAAATAAGGTTAGTATTCATTTAACTTTGTTAGGGGAAAGCCCTTTTAGCACAAAAGATTGCACATATAACCTTCATCATTACACTTTACTATATAAAATAGTGATCTCAAGTATTAGAACATAAAAAAGTAGCTAAATTTAGAGTTCTTAAATGAGAAATATACATTAAAAAGAATTATGAAAACTTTTAAATATAATAAAACAAACCCTCAATTATAGAAAAGAAAAAGAAAGGAAGGAAGAGGGGGAGGGAAGGATGGAGGGAGGGTTGGTCTGTACTGAAAAAAAATGTAACAGAATGCCAGGTACAGTGTAATCCCAGCGACCTGGGAGGCTAAAGCAGAAAAGGATTGCAAGTTCAAGACGAGTTTCAGCAATTTAGTGAGGCCCTAAACAACTTAGCAAGACCCTGTCTCAAAAAAAAAAAAAAAAACAAACAGCACTAAAACAAAACGAAAAACCAGCTAGGAATAGATCAGTGGTAAAGCATGCCTGGATTCAATTAATTAAAATGAAACGTGGAAAAAAAAAAATAACGATACTGAACTTCAAGACATAAAAACAAAAGCACAAAAACATAAGGTTATAAAATAATGCACACAACTGCCCCATTCTGGCTATTACAGAGTTTTATAAACAACAGGAACTAATAAATACTGGTAGAATAAAGGAAAGAAAACTCTAGAAAAATTAAGTTGCTGCTTACTCTTCGTCTGGGCTGGGGGAAACCATCTCTGTGTCGTCTTCTTGTTCGGGAACGTGCCTGGATCCCCTGTCCTTTGTTAAGTGGGTCAAAGGATTCTATGATAATCAGCAGAAAGCATGATATATGTTAATTAACTTCCAGATTTAAATAAAGATTTAGACTGGGGAAATACTAAGTAATCATCACTATAGTCATTATTTTGTCATAAGAATTTACTTATATACTTAAGAGAAACGAGGGATATAGCACTTAAATGAAAACTTTACTAACAAGAAAATTTCATACAGAACAGTTACTGTGAAAAAGGTAAGATAATAATGTTCAAAAACCAATGTTCAAACCAGTGACTTGGGAGGCAAAGGCGGGAGGATAGCAAGTTAAAAGCCAGCCTCAGCAACTCAGTGAGCCCCTGTCTCAAAATAAAAATACAAACAACTGGGGATGTGACTCGATGGTTAAGAGTCCCTGGATTCAATCCCTGTTACCAAAACCCAAAAACAACAATAATAAAAAACACAAAATAATTTAACCACTTTTGAGAACAAAATTGCACAAACCAAAGCTAGAAAAGACAGGAACCACTTGTACCCTAGATTACCTCTAGTACATTTTAACTGATTTATAATGTCAATCTGGAGTTTTACCAATCTTCTAAAATAAAGGACTTTAAGTGAATAGGTTATATTGCACAAACCTGATGGAAAATCTGCTTCCAGATCCTGTTCGGTTTCCCCTTTTGAGAACTGTTTCAGTTCTGAATCGGCTTCTTGCACAGCATTTGTCTTTAAGGCATAATGATTCAATTCTTCTTCCCAGCTATGGGGAGTAGATACTGCCTCTGATTCAAGATCACCACTATATGTACTTCCTTGGTCTGAAATATTAAGAATATTTCAGAAAATAAGATAGTCTCAAAAATAAGAAACCCTCAAAATAAGATAGTCTCTTTACATGCTGAGAAACCTTCCTAAACTTCTGAACACCAAATCTGAAATACAACCAATGAATAATTATCTAGGTACACTTAGGAAAAAAGCAATTTGTTCACCTGTCTCACAGAACTGAATTCATATTCTTGGTAAGCACATTAAAGCTTAACTCCATCCTTAAAACAAATATTTGGGGCAGTTTTTATTATTCTCACTAAGGATTAGCATATACCACGGACACTTGATGCCCCTTAAAATAATTAAAATCACAAATATTACATGGAATTCTTTTCAGGCTTTAATTACTAACAACGGATAGGATTTCAAAGAACCAAAGTATATTTACAACTACAAACCTTTTTCAAATATTTTAGTGTCTAGAAAGAGTTCCTGTTCAGAAGTCTGAGATCCTAAAAGAAAAGAAAAGCATATAATAAAATGATTTATAAGTAAACAAAAAACAAACTGCATCTCAAATGAGATGACTATTATATACATGCACAATACCACGGAGTTCTAAGTAAACAGACTTTAGAACATAAAAACTCATTAAAATAATTAAACACTAGTGGCAAAAGCAATTAAATCATCATCACTATTAATAGTGGCTATACTTCTAGGAAGCAGTATAAAAAGTCATGGAGAGAGGAATTTTCACTTTTGATTTTATACTTTTCTGCTATATAAAATCCTTCTTTAAACCATACCCCCCAAATTTATTCAAAGATTAACAAATCTGCTTTAAGTTGTTTCCCCAAATATAATAATCCTTACTATCAAACTGAAAAAATAAATAAATAAACTTATAAATAAATGTTACATTAGCTGACCATGGTGGTGCACACTTGCAATTCTCAGTTATTCAGGAAAGCTAACATGGGAGGATGGCATGTTCAAGGACAGCCTTAGCAACCTGGCAAGCCCCTGTGTCAATATAAAAACTACAAAGAACCAGGAGGAGCACCCCTGGTTTTCAATACCCAGGAAAAAAAAAATAATAAGTTACATGAGCATACAGAACTAAACAGAACATAGTACAATCAACTCTAAAGTATGTGGAAAGTACAAAGCTAGAAGAGTCCAGTGGTGTTTTTGTTTTTTTTTTCCTTCCAGGTTACACAGAAACATTGGGATTTTCCCTAAAATCAAAGAGAAATTATAACCCCAGATCCCCTTAGCTGAAATTCATCTCTCCTACACTGTGTTTCTAAACCATTTCATTTCATACATATTACAGTGATTATCATTATGTCTCTTGAAAATTAGTTTTTCAAGCTTTTTTTTTTTTATCTGACTCAACTATAGACAAAGGCAAAAGTCACAGCATCTGCCCAGAGCAAAAACTTGACAAAGCTTCAATATTGATGTGAAAGGAGAAGTCAATTTAAAATGAGGTATATAATCAAAAATTGTCTGAATTTCCAAACTAAATATATTACCAGAGATTAGAAGATCAAGCACAGGGACATTTGGGACATTAAATTCCATATGTGTGCATCAGAATTTTGAGATTTTAACATTAAAAAGCAAAACAACAGAAGGAACACTGGAAAAACAATAAATAAGTTTCCATCAATCTCTCAAAATATATGTGACTCAGAAACTTACTGGCAATACAACAGAAAAGTTGACAGCAGTTTTTTCAAATCCTTCAGGGTTCAGAAAATCACCTAGCATTTACTATGCAAAATCAAAATCTACCACTGAATAAAAGAAAATCTTTCAAGAAAAGAGTAAGCTTATTGACTCATCAGTAATTTTGGAAAGGTCTTTGTGAAAACTCAGCTACATATTTCAAATATTATAAATGACAATTTCTCCACCTCTTTCTATATCCAAAAACCAAGGATGTGCTAATTAAGACTAGAAACCTTTCTGAAATATTATTATATTTGGTTAATATGTACTCTGGCATCAGACAGATCAGGTTCCACATTTGTTGACTACACAATCAGAGCAAATCTAATATTCTATTTTTCAGGTAAGAAATCTAAAGTAAATGATACCCTCCTCACAGGGCTGTTGTAAAAATTAAAATGAAATAGACAGGAGCTGGGGGTATAGCTCAGTGGAAGAGCGCTATATCTCGCACATGTGAGGCACTGGGTTTGATCCTCAGCACCACACAAAAATAAATAAAATAAAGTAAAGATATTGTATCCATTTTTCAAAAATCTTTAAAAAAATGAAATGACAATGCACATAACACAATGCTAAAGGAATGGGAAATATGGATGAATGTTACCATCATCCTTGTTCCAACCTATTAAAATAAGATTTATATATAGGCCATTTTGAGCCCAAAGGTTTTACATCTTAAGGTTCTGTTTACCCTTTATCAGCATGCTGGTTATTATATATCAGGAAGTCTTATATACAGATCATAGCTTTGAATATACAGATAAAATCAGAAAATGATCATAATTTAAGTTTAAAAATTACCTGAATTATGAGAAATTTTGTAGATTTTTTCTTTCTTTACTTTTCTTTGAAAATTTTTAGGGGGCTTAGGGGGAACCAAGTAAATCCAAGGGCACTTAATCATTGAGTCACACTGCCAGCCCTTTTTATTTTTTATTTAGAGACAGGTTCTTGCTAAGTTGCTTAGGGCCTCACTAAGTTGCTGAGGCTGGCTTTGAACTTGTGGTCCTCAGCCTCCCAAGCCACTGGGATTACAGGTGTGTGCCACCATGCCTGACTTCTTTCTTTACTTTTAAAGATTGTACCAACCTCCTTGGGATAGAGTCTTTTCCTTCTCTTCATCTTCTGCAATCATTTCTGCCATCTCAAGGAGATCAGCTTCAAATGGATGTGTAGGAAGTTTTTCCTTAATGTCTTCAATATTTTCGGGGACTTTATCTTCATTGTCCATTGAGGATGGAATAAGCATGGGGACAGGCATCTGAAAGACCATGGACAGACTGAAAAGTTTCTTATACAATAGATTTGTACTCAAAACCATTATTTACAAGATTATTTAAATATTAAAAACAATAAAGTCAATATTGTCACTGTTGATGATCATGTAGTCTTGACTGTTCATTTTTATAAGACTGGAACCATTAAAATAAAAGCTTAGTAAATGCTTTTCTGAACATTCAACAAAATATGTCTGAATCCTTCAAAATAGTAATTCTATAACTCAGTTTCATTTTTGTTTTGGCATACACTCCTTGCTAACATTTTCGCACAACTATTTTCCTTAAGGATTCAGTACAGGAAAAATAAATGTTCATATTAAAAAAAAAAATAGCTGGGCTGGGGTTGTGGCTCAGCGGTAGAGTGCTCACCTAGCTCATGTGAGGTCCTGGGTTTGATCCTCAGCACCACATAAAAATAAATATACAAAATAAAAGTATTGTGTACAAATAAAAAATAAATATTTTTTTTAAATAGCTTTCTTTAAAAAAAAAAAAAAACCTGAGAAATAAAAAATCACAGTATTCTTTTTACTCTGGCTAGAATCCCAAGATTCTAATGCATGCAGTTCCTGATCTTTTTCTGTTTGAGTGATCTTACATCATAACACTCTCCAAGAAGGCAGGGTATAAATAAAAGCAGTCCGCTACATACTCCAGATCCAACCAGAATCAGTTATACTTTACCAGTGAGTGAAAATTTTCTTTAGAGAGCTGTAAAATTTAAACTGAGGAAAAACACATGTTAAATTCGCCTTATCTCTACATGATTACTCACTGGAACAGGAATTCCGAAGGGGACTGGTGCATACTGAGTATAAAGATGAAGAGGTATCGGCACAAACACTGGCACAGGAACTGGCACCACAATAATCTGGGGCTGACTTGGAGTGTCTTCTAATGGAGGAAAAAATTGACAAAGGAAAAAGAAAGGAGAAATATTTTAATAAAATATCTTCTAAAAAAGGTTATGGAGATTTGTGTTTCAAAATGTTATCTCTAAGAAGATATGCTGGAGAAAAGACGTAAATACCTTCAATAAATAGTGCTGGAAAGACAAAATCCATATGCAGAAGAATGAACCTAGACTCCATATCTCTCATCACTTAAAAAAAAAAAAAAATCAACTCAAAATGGACTGAAGAATTAAATCCAACATGTGCAACTATGATTAGAAGAAACAAGAAAATACTTTAGGACACTACTTTGAGCAACATAAATAAAATGACAAATGGAAATAATTAGAAGAGTTAAGAGACAAGCTACAGACTAGCAACAAACATCTGACAAGGGATTAATGTCCAGAATGTATAAGAAATTCGAATAACAGCAAAAAAAACCCCACAAATAATCTGATTTTAAACTGGGCAAATGATCTGAACAGATATTTCTTCAAAGAATAAATAAAAATAAGGGACAAATGCTAAGGTCTGAATGTGTGTGCCCACAAGACTCCACTGTAATTAGGCTTGGCCCCCAGGTGGTACTGTTGGGAGATAGGGAAACCTTTAAGAGATAGAGTCTATTGGGAGGTCCTTAGATCATTGAAATGGACTGTGAGATGCTAGTCTCCTTGTGCTCATGGTTCAAGATGCAATTATTTGCTTGCTCCCATACATTCTCCTCCAATGCTGTCCATGCCATCAAGTAATGAGTGGGATACCCTGAGTTGATGCCAACTGGCCTTTGAACATTTAAAATTCTAAGATGAAGAAATCTATTTTCTTTTTTTTAAATATTTTTAGTTGTCAATGGACCTTTATTTATTTTTTTTAATATGGTGCTGAGAATTGAACCCAGTGCCTCACACATGCTAGGCAAGCACTCTACCACTGAGCCACAACCCCAGCCCCCAAATCTATTTTCTTTATAAGGTTAGTTGCCTTCATTTTATTTACAAAAACAAGTATGAAGAAATTTTCAACATCACTAATGATCAGGGAAACATAAATCAAAATCACAATGAGGGGCTGGGGTTGTGGCTCAGTGGCAAAGTGCTTGCCTAGCATGGGTGAGGCACTGTGTTCAATCCCCAGCACCACATAAAAACAAATAAAGGTATTGTGTCCATCTACAACAAAAAAGAAAGAACGAGTTAAAAAAAAATCACAGTGAGATATCATCTCAGAATGACTTATCAAAAAACAAAAAATAACAAATGCTAGCAATGATGTATATAAAGGGGAATTCTCCTATACTATTCATGGGAATATAAATTAATACACCTTTTATGGAAATAGTATCAAGAAACCACTGGGTGTTGTGGTGCATGCCTGTAAACCCAGAGACTTGGAAGTTTGAGGCAGGGAAACACTAGTTTGAGGACGGCCTTTGCAACTTAGTGAGATCCTGTCTCAAAATAAAAAATAGGGGCTTGAGTTGTAGCTCAGTGGTAGAGTGCTTGCCTAGCACATGTGAGGCACTGGGTTCAATCCTTGGCACCACATAAAAATAAATAAACAAAAAGGTATTGTGTCCATCTATAACTTAAAAAAATAAAAAATATAAGTAAATAAATAAAATCGGGGATGTGGTTAAGCTCCCCTGTGTTCATTTCAGGTGGGGGTGGGGGAAACATGATGAAAACATACGGCATTTGCCTTCTCAAGTAGCCACTTGGGAAGCTAAGTACATTCTGGACATTAATCCCTTGTCAGATGAATAGTTTACAAATGTTTGTTGCTAGTCTATAGCTTGTCTCTTAACTCTTCTAATTGTTTCCATTTGTCATTTTATTTATGTTGTCTCTGCTCTTTGGACCATATTCAAAAAAATCTTTGCTCAGACTAGTGTCCTAAAGCATTTTCTGGATCCTTCTAATAGTTTCATAGCTGCATATGTTGGATTTAATTCTTCAGTCCATCTTAAGTTTTTTTTTTTTAATGTGATGATTCTAACTCTCACTTTGGCCTGGAAGTTCAGGGCCAGCCAGGGCAACTTGGCAAAAACCAGTCTCTGAAAAACAACTGCAAAAACTAGAAAAAAAACTATCATTTAGAAAGAATACAGGATTCATTCTATTATTTAACAAAAAATATCTATAGAGAATTTTCTAAGTTCCAGAAAATGTTCTAAATAATTGTAAACTCATTGATGTAGGAGAATAAGTGACAAAAAGAGAAATGCTAATAATCTGACTAGAGTTACAGGTGAGAAAGTTGTAAGGCATCAATTTTAGCATCAATTTTTAGACAAAAAATGCAGGAGACAAAAAATATTTTATTTGATTAGATAGGAAGTCAGTATTAACACAATAAAAAGAAATCACTAAATTAGCCATAGTTATTTTGTGTGGTCCATGGACCAGTAGCACTGACTTTACCTGGAAGTTTATAAAAGGTGTAAATTTTTAAAATCCACTGAATGGAATCTACTTAGTGAGATTCTCAGGCAGAGCATATTAATGTTTGAGAAGCACTGGCCTATAGGACTACCTTACCGATTTAGGAATCTAAGTTTCCTTTCTAGTTTAAAAATTCTGGGACTTTTGGATGGTAGCATAAGAAAACTATGCAGACCCATTCCCTAGTGAAACAAACAAAGTAGATGAAAACTACTAAAACTCTCTAGGAAACTGCTGAAAGGGCATAATAGCAAATGAAGAAACATTTCTTCAAGAAAAACTATTAAAATGCAGTAAGAATTGTGAATCTATGATATATTCCAGCCCCTACCTGCTCTATCACCCAAGTTCAACTCAGTTCAACTTGACATAAGCTCCATTCTCAGTCACTACAGCAAGGAAGAGCAAACTTCTCTCCCCAATAAAGGATTACCAAACTCACCAGTATCAGGTAAGGATTACTAAACTCATCAGCATTTCTCACTCCCTCCAACTCAGGGCTGAAGAAACTAAATTGCTGGTGTGTGTGGCCACACTTTAGCCAACTTTCATTTACAGGATGAAGGATCTAAAATAGGAACAGGAGGCTAAAAACACTGGGGTCCTGATCACCCTCACCCTAGCTCACTTATAGAGCTGAAGTTACATGCCAGGAGAGGCCAACTAATGGATTTCATAGAAGAGGCCCAGAGATTTTTTCCTATGGAGAGAGGCAGTTTATAAGGAAATAAAACTCTTCTTCAAAAAGAAGCTTTTCTGGGCTGGGATTGTGGGTCAGTGGTAGAGTGCTCGCTTAGCATGCACGAGGCACTGGGTTCTATCCTCATCACCACATAAATATAAAGAATGAAGAGATACAAAATAAAGAGATTGTGTCCACCTAAAACTTAAAAATATATATATATATTTTTTAAAAAGAAGCTTTTCTGAAGTTCTCCCCAAGGCAACTGACTTTATTTAAAACAGTGTGACGGGCTGGGGGTATAGAGAGTTAAAAGGAAAGAGGAAAGGAAGGGTGGGAGAACAAACGAGAGTTGTGGTAGATCAAACTTGAATAGCCCCCCCCCCTTTTTTTTTTGGTACCAGGGATTGAACTCAGGGGCATTCAACCACTAACGCACATCCCCAGCCCAATTTTGTATATTATTTAGAGACAGGGTCTCATTGAATTGCTTAATGACTTGCCATTGCTGAGGCTGGCTTTGAACTTGCAATCCTCTGGCCTTAGCCTCCCAAGCTTCAGGGATCACAGGCATGCACCACCAAGCCCAGCATTAAATAGCCCCTCTTTAGAGCCTGCCTATATTACTCTAAAGCTTATTCTTATTCCTCAATACAACCATCAATAAGGAAATTAAACAAAGTGTTTGTTCACAGAATGCTATTATCAATCAACTTTCTTCCCTTCGACCTAACTTGTTAAGGCCCAGGGAAAATAACTTTACTCATAGAGATGGTGTAAGAATTAAAATGGCAATATATAAGCAACCCAAGACATTACACTGGAAAAAAATATGTACTTAAGGTAAACAGATCCCACATACCTTTCCCATAAAAAAATAAAGTCCAAGGAACATACCTGTCTGGCATTCTTTATTTTGGGTATGTGGTTTGCAGGAAGTGGCTTTAGTCTGTGTGATAGGTTTGCACAATAAAGCTTTATTCTTCAAAAGTCTTGGAGGCTGGCAAGGTGGCAGTTTCAGGGCATCTGTTTGTGTACTTGCCTAGTAAAAATTAAATCAGAAAGCAAAGAAGTGTTCAAAATATTATCATTAATTACAAGAAATATTATAATTTTAAAAGAAATACCAGGGGAGCAATATTGGCCAAATTATATTGTTATATTGTGTGTACGTACAAATATAACAACAGATCCCATCATTATGTACAACTACAGTGTACCAATAAAAAAATGTGGCAAGAGAAAAACAAAAGCAATTATTATATGGGAATTATGCAGAAGACAGAGCAGTATTTCTGAATCATTAATAGTAATCAATGAGTAATAAGTATATACTGACTCAATGTATTTAGTTACCGCTTCTGTACACCAAGTAAAATGCTAATCCTATTTTATACACTGTTGATCAGTAAAAATACTAGCTGGGTTTGAAATTAGACCTGTTATACCTTAAACAAGTTAGAATTACAGAATCATTGTTAGAGGACTTAAGTAGGAACAACAGAATCAAGTATGATCATAAAACTACTTGAATAAAGATGATATGAATTATTCCAGAAACCAGTAAACACTTTAGAAATGTCACTGTTCCAGACATGAGTTTTGTTCACTATTATTTTCTTCTTCTTTTAAGGGATATAGTAGAAAATATTAATTAGTTTAAAAACATGTATGGTTATTTACAGTATAATCTTCATGGGATAGGGTGGAGAATAAGCTACGTTTTAAAAATATTTTATTGACAATCTAAGTATGTTACACATCATCTGAAAGTCTAAAAAATAAAATGCTTAAATTCTTTTTTTTTAATATATATATTTTTTTAGTTATAGTTGGACATAATACCTTTATTTCATTTATTTATTTTTATGTGGTGCTGAGGATCAAACTCAGGGCCTCCTGTGTGCAAGGCGAACACTCTACCACTGAGCCACAACCCCAGCCCTAAAATGCCTAAATTCTGTAAAATTTAACTCTTGTACAATTAAAAAAAAAAATTTCATCAACAGCATAATTGTAGCGAGCATTCAAAGAAATTATACAAAAGACCCAGTTAAATAGCCAGGAAATCCTATTCCTAAACAAAGATTAAAAGAAATGAAATTTATTTATTAAATGAGGGTAAATTAGATTGTATTGTTCTGTATTGCATAAGAACAGAAAATAAATACAGTGACAATACCAACAAAAATTTTTTGAAAACTTACATCTCCAATGATTTTTGCGGTTACCGTTGGAACTGCACCTTGATATAAATGAAAACATAAATTTAGGATCTCTCACAATTAAATATTAGTTTTAAAAGCTGATTATCTGTCTATAAGCACCAAGTCTCAAACTAAGAGCATGTTTATCTTCATTCAATTCAGTGGAAGAAACTAGCAGTTCTAAAGTAAGCATAGGATGAGAGACATGGAAATACTTTTCAGTGGCCCACTCATAGTGAGCCATTATTCCTAATATGAATGTGTCAAACATACGAAAATGATCACATAAGAGAAAGGTAGAGAATCACTGTATTTAACTCAAAAAGGCAACATAAATCCTTTCAAATCCAGCCATACCTTGTAAGACACTGTTAGAATTCACTGTGGGTTGAGCAGCAGGAGCACTTGCCAATGACACCACGTTAGCTATAACTGGAGTTGAATCTTTTCTGAGAGATGGGGGCCCTGCAGAAGCAGCTTGAACCATGGAAATACTTGCTGGTTAAAATAAAAATAGAGAAACCTCATGTAATTTATATGTTCTCACATAGAAACCAGCATCTCAAAGAGGTTAAGCAGTGCTTTCTTTTAGGTTTGAATAATTTCTGTTGGAGCAGCGTCTCTTCAGGATTAACAGGGTTTTGGATTTCTAGTTTTTAAATAATGAAACCTGAAAGTGTTCCATATTGCTTTATAAAAAAGCACCAAATACTCACACTTAAAAACCAACAATAAAAATCCCAAAAGCACTGAAAATCACAGGGTAGATTTAATGGACATTTAACATTTGAAGGATTTCTTCAGTTTATACAATAGCCTTTTATACTTCTTACTTATAAAGGTACTATACAAATTAAACTATCTTTCAGGATGGAATTAGTTTTGTGTTTTTAAACCACAAAGCTTCTGAGATTAAATGGCTTAAATAGTAGTTTGTGGTATATTTAAAAGGCATGTGATTTAGGCTTTATGTCTTTTGTTATAAATAGTCTCAAATCTTTTTTTAAGGAATCAAAGTGTATTTACAAAAAACTTAACTGTCATCCTTTCCCATAAACGTAAATACTTGTAGAGTTTGATTAATCTGATATACTGAGAAATGCTTTTTTAATTAAAAAAAAAAAAGAAAAAAAACGTCATTTGCCTGGCTTTAATTTGAAATGTTTAACAAAATAGGATGTAAATGTTTTTTATAAAGCAACATTTATTTGACTACAATGAAATTTGTAGAAGAAATGTAGTTCTTGGCACTGACCAAAGACTCCACCTATTACCTGAATTGTTTTGTGAAGGTGGGTCACATACACTTTGCTGATTGCAGAACATCAAGATACAAAGCAGGTTACAAAAATGTTTTATTTCCCCTCGCCATTTTAAGGACTCACTGAGTTTACCCTGTCGTTTACAACCATCACATTTGGCCATCTGAAACCAAAATAAAAGATAATAATGAAGAAACAAACTATCTGAGGTCTGACAGAATAAAAACATCACACATATAATAAGTGAGGATATTAACTTAGAATATAAATCATGAAACTAAAGACTGTTCTAAAATGGTAAATATTTACTTATTTTATTAATGATTTTAATTTTTAATTAAAAAGCCATGTTGTAAAGAGCCTCCCCCCAAAGTAGCAGTTATAAAAACAAAGTGGGCATGATGGTGCTTGCCTGTAATTACAGCAGCTTGACAGGCTGAGGTAGGAGGATCCCGAATTCAAAACCAGCTTCAGCAACTCAGCGGGACCCTAAACAACTCAGTGAGACCCTGTCTCTAAATAAAATATTAAAAAGGGCTAGGGATGTGGCTCAGTGGTTAAGTGCGCATGGGTTCAATTCCCAGTATCAAAAAAAATAAATAAATAAAAAACAAAGAGAAGTTTAAATTTAAATAAGGAATATCTTCCTCAGACTTCAAAATGAAAATTTATTTTATTTAAGTAATAAAAATTAGGTCTGGGGTTGTGACTCAGTGCTTGAGTGCTTTCCTGGCACATGTGAGGCACTGGGTTCAATCCTCAGCACCACATAAAAAAAAATAAATAAAAGTATTTTGTCCCTCTACAACTAAAAAATATTTATAAATAAATAATAAAATTATAATTTTAAATACGTTTATGTCTTATGACTGATGTGACTTCTACAAAAATTAAAAATGAAAAGGGATAAAATTCAATGACATTAAAGTCTTCCCTAATCTTAAAGAGTTTTAAATCATTAAGTTATTCTTCATTCTACATAAAATTTGAAAAGAGAATGATTCAAGCTAAAACTCCAAAAACCTGGTAATATGAATTATAGATTACCTGATAGAATAAAACTGTATATTTGGACATGCATTCTTCACAACAAAAATCTTCCACCTTTCCTCCCAAATTATTCTGTACTAATTTGGGAGATGTCTGTAAACAATAACTGCACATTTTACAATGACTTCCCCAGCGTTTTCCCAAGTCATGTTTGTAAAGCAGTTTGCAACCTAAAAATTAGGAAAGATAAAGTTAACATTCTGAAGAAATATTAATTATCTACATCTTTAAATTAATTTCCCTAGAACAAAGTTCTCTCACTTGGGTCCTGACCTATTAGCACATCAAGAGATCAATTAAGAGGATAAAAACTAGCATTTTTTTTTTTTAAGTGAAAGAAGATAGAGGACAGGATTGAAAACATTACATGGCATCCCATATATGAAGTTTTATTTCATGAAATTATTTTTATTTGGGTATGTGAAAATACACTAGGTCACAATGTAAGATGTAATTCTTTTGTGCTGTGACCAAAAGATTTGAAAGCCATGGGTCTAAAAATGATAATCCTGTGAAATTTTAGGGTCAAACAAAAGAGTCATCTAAAAAATGAAAAAAATCTACTTTGTAGTAATTTGCATATTCAGACCACTTATATTCAAAAACAGTGGCTGTTTAAAACAATTAAAGTATAAACTAGGATGCTACTAAAATTTAAGGATTTCTATTTAGAAATTAGTATAAGAACTACAATATATTTTAGTTCCTCACCAATCTAATAATGTAAAATGTTTTCAAATCACCATCTTCTGCATTATATAAGACTTCTGACTTTGTTGTATTACCCATATAATATGAAAGACTAGATTTAAAAAGAGTAAACTATGTGTAAACCAATCAAAAAGGCTTTGGAAATAAAGAGAAGATAAAACAGCCAAATTTACATAGTAATACCTTAAATCACCAACTACTTTTAAAACAACCAACATGTGCAGTAGGTAAGATTATCTTCTGCCTTTACCTTCACTACAGAATGACTTGTCAGCACCTGAGAATCGCACAGTCTCCTTCACAATTTTCTCAATTTTACAATATTCACACATTGCCATAACATTATTTATTTTCTTATATTCGTCAGAACAATTCTTGCCACAGAACTGAAACATTTTACCCTGCAAAGAAATAATTATTAAGTACTAATTAAGCATTTGGTTTCCTCTATGGAAATCCTTATTCCTCTTACTTTCAAAACAACTGGTATAAGACTGAGAGATGAAAAACTTTAAATAATTTTACAGACAGACCCATCTATACTCAAACCCTTGACATGAACCTATACTTTACCTTATAGTCAAGAAGCTCTGGTTTTGTGGCAAAAAGACGATTACAGTGTTGACACCTGAGTTTCACAACACTCCGGGCAAACCCAACATGCTGGGATTGGGCAGCAAGACGCTGGAGACCAGCAGCAGCAGAGCTACTGATGGAGGTGGGAGAAACAGCAGAGGTGTTACTGCCTCCTGCTGACACTGTTGAACCTGTGGGGATGCTTACAATTACTTGGCCCTGAGACAAGGGCACTACTGAAGAATTCATTCCAGTTGGTTTGTTGAACAAATTCTGAAAATAAATAAATAAATAAAGATCAACTTAAACCATTTATTCACAAAAGCAAGAACTGTGAACCTACGTGTGCCAAGCAGTTTTAGGGATGTAAGACCCATCAGTGAATGGCAAAATACTCTGCCTCGGAACAGCTTATAAATTGAATGGAGAAAATTCACTTATTTCCAAAAATAAAATAATTTAACTAATAATGTTAAAAAAATAATACTCTCTCAATACATAATATGGTGATAATGATGCCACTTAATTTTATAGAAAGTGGTTTAATAACATGCCTCAAATATAGAAATGAATTACAAATCTAAGTTTATAGGACTGAGACAGAAATTAGGGAATCCAGACACTAGCAAAACAATAAGTTTATATTACTTCAGTAGGTGACTCACTGACTGATGAAGAAGAAGATTCCTGAAGCCATACCTGGAAAGCTACCACACAACTGTAGCTGCAGAAGTTGCGTATACTTCCATCTGACATGGCTAGGTGATACTGAGGGATTGCTGAGGTTTTACAACTGTTACACTGAACTTGTACACCTTAGCAAATCAAAATAAAAACTGAGTAAATTATACAAATCTATGAGAAATTAAATAAGTGCTATACAATAAACAGAAATTTAAGGGCCAGGTTAAGTTACAGGAACTGACTAAACTCATGTCACATCAAGACAGAAACTAATGTCTAACAGTAAAATCTTTTTATATCACAGTCTACACTGAAACTACAATATAAATGAATGCTAGAATAAATAAGGTGTGGACAAACCTGAAATATCTTAAATTTGCCTTAAAAAAATCAACAAAACACTGTACTAAAAGCAAAGTAAGTATAATTTTCAACTATTACATTCTATAGTTTATGAAAGCAGTATTACCTGCAGAAGTAACCATTTTAACTCTGTAAGCAGATAAGCAATTAACAGAACAGAAAAGCTCTGTCTTCCCCAAGCTATTGGTATTTTCAATCATTTCTGCTGAGGATCTCAATGATTTGCAAAGCGCACATGGTGTAATTTTGGCTGATTTCTATTAAGAGAATAAAACAACATTCTTTTTACCAAATTCCTAGTAAAAGCACAATTCTTTGAACTGTTTATACTTAATACTGTTGAAATACTTTAAGTCAGTGGTTTTTAAGCTTCCACTATTACAATCCTCAGTAAGAAGTTTTACAAAACAAGTCACGCATACTTCTGAGATTTTGCATTTGTGTATTATGTATCTATGTATGTACATAAAACTAAAGTTTCATAGAGCAATATATATCAAAATATATGATGTACTCTGATATTTTCCATTCTATTCTATTTCACTGGAAAACAATACTAGTTATATCCTAACAATTAATTTCCATATCTATTAATCGGCTGTTTTTAAAAACAATAAATAATCACATACCAATGAGCTCATGCTCCTATGCTACACTATCCTAAAAATTTGAAGAACTTTCCCCCAAAGGTGTCATACGTAGCAAAAAAGTGTAAATTTAAGAAAACTAATGAACTTATTAAAAGTTCGAATATTCTACCACCAAAATAACAATGTACATCATAAGCAGTAAAACGGGAGATTTTGCACATCACAAGTGTCCAAATATAAACAACGAACAGTCTGTCATCTTATGATCTCAATTAGGAATTCAACAGCAAATAATGTTAAATGCTATTAACATGTCACACTCTCCAAACAACATAAGCAGGACCAAGCAGGAGATTTTATTTATTTATTTATTTATTTTATTTATTTATTTTTTAATTTTTAATATTTATTTTTCAGTTTTCGGCGGACACAACATCTTTGTTTGTATGTGGTGCTGAGGATCGAACCCAGGCCGCACGCATGCCAGGCGAGCGCGCTACTGCTTGAGCCACATCCCCAGCCCAAGCAGGAGATTTTAAGACCTCTCTTCCCTCTTAAAGAATACATTTCCTGGGGGGAAAGGAAGGACAGCAGAATAAAACAGACATTATTATTGCTGTGTGTATATACGTGACTGCATGACCAATGTGATTCTGCAACCTGTACACTCAGAAAAATGAGAAATTATACCCCATCTGATTCAAATGTATGATATGTCAAGATCATTGTACTGTCATGTGTAACTAATTAAAAAAAAAAAAAAAAAAAAAACGTATCCTGGGGCTGGGTTGTAGCTCAGTAGTAAAGTTTGCCTGGCACATGTGGGGCACTGGGTTCGATCCTCAGCACAACAAAAAGTAAGCAAGCAAATAAATAAATAAATAAATAAATAAATAGATGGATAGATGGATAAGTGTATGTATCTATATAGAACTAAAAATTAAATAAGAATACATTTCTGGGTGCAGTGACAAAACGAATGTCTGTAATCCCAGAAGCTCAGGAGGCTGAGGGAGAAGGATTTCAAAGCCAGTCTCAGCAATTTAGCAAGACCCTAAGCAACTCAGTGAGACCATGTCTCTAAATAAAAGCTGGGGATGTGGCTCTGTGGTTAAGCACCCCTGGATTTAATCCCTGGTATCAAAAAAAAAAAAAAAAAAAAAAGGAGGAATGCATTTTTGAGCATTGATATTAAAATAGAAACATGAAAAGAAAGGTATGCCTGAATTCTGCAATGTCTTCTAAATCTTAAAACCTTCCTTTCCCCATTTATGACTACAAACTTAAATAAGGCTTATGTCAAGAGTTATTTTCTGTGAAGCTTTTGTCGACACATCTTGTCCTACTGAATATCGATGACTATGTTTTCTTTATAACCCACCCTACCCCATAACATATCCACATATCCCATATGTATTTACTCATGTACATGTCAGGAGACATGCTGTCCCTCAAAATAAGAATTGCATTTTCAATAATGTACTCAAGAATTTCAGTTAAGAAAGAAAGTAACAAAAATAGCCATCAACAATGTGACAGGCTCTATACTAGGTTCTCATTATTCTTTCTTTATATAATCCCAACGACATCTCTGTGACACAGGTGGTATCATAGCCATATGGTACATACCACAGCCATTAAAACACAGTAAAAGTGGGATTCAGGTAGTTTAACTGTTTTCCACAAAGTAAAATTGTATATGAACACAAGGCATGGGAATAAAATCTAGATCTGCTTTAATACTAAATTCTAATTTTTCCCTACCACAGTATATACACTAAAATATGTGAGAAGCTGAATAGGTATTGACTGAATTAAAATTAATTAGTAAGGCCTGGATGTAGATTAGTGGTAGAACACTTTCCTAGCTATATGTGAGGCCGTAGGTTCAATCCCCAGCACTACAAAAATATAAAATAAACATCTTTTTATTTTTTAAGTCATGAATAAATGAAAAGTTAAGGTATTTCATCCTATTTTTTCCTTCTCTTGTGGAATATGAACCATCTTTCAGGGAACTGAGCCCAATAATAGTATCTGATACAATATCAAGAAAACAAAAAGCCTTTTTAATAAGGAAAAGAGAAAGTAGTAATGAAGCTAAGCCCTTTCAATGTGCTGTACATTAACAAGAAATAAACTGAAAATTGTCTTTTACAAGTAAAATTGCAAAATCACAGTAGTTTTTATAGGAAATTCCCAGACACTATTAAATTCACCAATTTTTGTGGGTTGTGTAACAACAAAAAAAAAAATCATTATCTTAAAAAAAAATTAGTAAATGACCTGTTGATGTAGCACAGTGGTAAAGTATTTATCTGTTATGCTTGAGGCCCTCTGTTCAATACCCAGTACCACAAAAATAAAGATTAACTGAATATTTAATTAAAAATAAAAAGCAATTAACTATTCTTTTAGTTTACTTTTTGTTTGTTTATTTTTTTAAAGCTGAAGTACCAGGTATTAAACCCAGAGGCATCCCTAGCACTTTTTATGTTTTATCTGACACAGGGTCTTGCTAAATTGCTTAGGGCCTCACTAAATTGATGAGGCTTTGAACTTGCAATCCTCCTGCCTCAGCCTCCAAGGCTGCTGATATTACAAGCGTAAGCCACTGTACTCAGCTAGGTTTACCAATTTTTTTTTATTTTTCTTTTTTTTGAGTACTGGGGATTGAACTCAGGGGCACTCAACCACTGAGCCACATCCCCAGCATATTTTGTATTTTCTTTAGAGACAGGGTCTCACTTGAGTTCCTTAGTGCCTCACTGTTACTGAGGCTGGCTTTGAACTTGAGATCCTCCTGTCTCACCCAACTGAGCCATTGAGATTCCAAGCATGAGCCACCCAGGCCCAGCTTAGGTTTACCAATTTTAAAATTAGTATTTGATCAAAAAATATTACTAACAAAATGTAAATCTAATACACACAAAACTGCATCAAAGACATCTGTCATGTAGAGTTTATGCAGTTTATCTGCAAACCTTATCAATTCACAAAATACATATATCCATTTATTCTTTCCTATTTCATGAAGTAAAAATCCCTTTAGCAATTAAGACTTTGAATTTCTGTTGCAATTTTAATTATATGGCTCCAATTTCAAAAAATGTAACTTGACCCTTTCTTGTCAAATTAAAAAGTATACATGCAAATCAAAATGTATTTCAAAGATTATGATCCTACACACCAAAAGGACAGGACTGAATAGCTCTGGAAGATAAACTGTATTTCTTCTTCATGCTTTTCTGCATTTAAACAATATTGTTCAAAAATATGAATAACATCTGAAATAAAAACCCATACTCTAAAAACACCTACACTAAATGCATGAACAAAAATTCTTATTACAGGATTTTTAACACACATTCATTCAACAAAACCATAAAATTTTTAAAAAACTTTTAATATTTTCAGTATTTCATAAATAATTTCTACCAAAAATTTGTATTCCCTTGAAATGAACAAAGACATCAGGATTAAATATGGAAAAGTACCTGTTTGTATGCTGTGATACATGCTGAACTACAAAACTTCTTAGACTGTCCTTCTATCTGAAGCATGTGGCACTGTCCAGAGCCACTGTAACAGTAACCCCCACAGTTCTCACAACAGTTCATAGTGAGGTTGTTAGCAGATCTAAACTTAGAGAAACACGCATCACTGCAAAGTTTGTGTACCACATTCTGATAATTCACTTCATGTCGAATCTAGGAATTGAAAAACATACAAACAAAACAAGTAGAGACCATCAAAAGTTGTTCTTTAAGCAAGCATTAAACTCATTCCCCCAATAAATTTAAAAGGTAACTTACAACTGCATTCTTTTGACACATGCTGCATTTAGTTGAAATGCTATTTGTATTAATGGTAACAATAGGTTTTTTTTTCAGTTCATATGTTGACAAACATGACTGACTGCAAAAATCTTTACTGGTGGTGGTATTTTCAAACTGTGCACTGATCACATCCTTTGGATTTAAAATATCTCTAGAAATGATAACAAAGACAAAATAAGCCACAATATAATTCTTACTTTTTTCTTTTTGTGAATTAAAGTAAACAAATAAAACAGAGGCAATTATAGTGAAGGGAAAAGGCACTGGAATTTATATTTTGAATAAACTTATAAATTGTTCTGATCCTTACATTCTTTTCAATAAAACAGAATAACCATGTGCTTCACAGAATTGTTGTTGAGTATTAGTATAATGTTTCAAAGATTAAAAAGAAATACACTGAATGATTAGCATTCACTATTTCTAGAAGTAGGATTATAGATTTTCATTTTCTTCTTCAGAATCATCTGTATTTTCAAAATATTCTTTAAAAATAATATTGCATTTGAAATTCTTCAAAACAATTTTTTTTTTTTTTAAGCAAATAAAAGGGCTGAAGCTATGGCTCAGTGGTAGAGTGCTCGCCTGGCACACATGAGGCACCGTGGGTGCGATCCTCAGCACCACATAAAAATAAAATAAAGGTATTATGTCTACCTACGACTGAAAAAATAAATTTACAAAAAAGCAAATAAACATTTTAAATTACACAATATGTATTCCAACATGGATTTAAAAAATCTAGTATTTCCTCAACAACAATCTGATTCGTAAGCATCAATAGCAAAAAGCAATAGACTATAAACCCTAATGAATAAGGAAGGCTCCCTATCACTCCAACCCTAATTCTACCACCAAAGTCTTCCTACAATAATTTACCAGTTTAACTGTAAAACATTTAATAATTCTTACTCAAGTTGGTGAAATTTTGTAAACACTCTCTCTCATGAGCATACACCGAAAAAATAAACTATTATACCCAGTTCTGCATCTTTAGCAGACTACACTAGCAGGACACTTTTTTAGGAAAATAATTATTATTTCTGTTTTAATGAAAGAGCACAGTAAACATAAAGGAAAATTACCATAAGAAATAGTTAACCCTGTACTATTCTACATAACTCCATATTTTGTGTCTTTCTTCCATACTTATAGTAGAGTTTTCGTTTCTTTTTTTTTTTTGCCTTTAATTATATTTTAGTGTGTTTCACAGAGGAGTATTTTACTGAACTGATATATTGAGCCAGAAATTAGCTAAGCCCAGAGTGAAGACATGGTCCATACATGTGCTAGCTCACAGTTATTGTGACAAACTATCTATTTATTTATTTACTCATTTATTTAATTATTCATTTATTTAGCTACCAGGGACTGAACCAAGGGATGTTTAACAACAGAGCCACGTACCCACCCCTTTTTATTTTGAGACAAGATCTCACTAGATTGCCTAGAGCCTGGCTAAATTGCTGAGGCTGGCTTTGAACTTGCAATCCTCCTGCCACAGTCTCTCAGACTGCTGGGATTACAGACATGCACTACTGAGCCCAGCAAAGACATCAAATTTATAAAAGACTGTTACTGATGCAGTCTTAAAATTTGTAATATTATGATTAATTTTGAAATAGGTATAATGTACAACAGAAATATAAATGAAGAAATAATTATTTTAGATTGGACCAAACTTGATATTAAAGGCCTCCCAAAAGAAGGTGACATATTAGCTGAGAAACTTAGCTCTTAAACAGAAACTTTTTCTAGAAGGTTAAAGAGATGAAGGTTAAGTGCAACATGCATCAAGTATATGGAAGTACCTAAAAATAGATGTCTCCCTGGTTCAATAGACTTAGAACATAATTTAACTATGTTTTATGTAGTAGATGATATCACACACCAGAATGAGAAGCAGCAATCTCATTCTAGTTCGTGAAAATTCAGAAACGGTACAGACAACCCAAAAATGGTAACTTCTTTGAATATCATTATATCAAGAATCTGATCTAACAGAATTATCCTCTAAATTACTTTTTTAATATAGGATTTAAATAGCATTTTAAAATAAATAGTTTATTTCTTCTTACTAAAAGAAACCTAAAAATCATATGATGATTGACCAAAATATATTGAGAATTTAGGTAAATTCAAGAGGCTAAGAGAGATACTTAACAAAAAAATAAGAAGCAAGCAACAAACAAGTAGAGTGCTGTGTTGCATGCCTGTAATCCCAGTAGCTCAGGTGGCTCAGACAGGATGATCTCGAATTCAAAGCCAACCTCAGCAATGGCAAGGTGCTAAGCAACTCAGTGAGACCCTGTTTCTAAATAAAATATAAAATATGGCTGGGGATGTGGCTCAGCGGGTGAGTGCCCCTGCAAAAATTCAATCCCTAGTCCCCCCAAACAAACAAAACTACTACTGTGATGAACAGCTAATAAGTTTTTTAAAATATATACATATTTTTAGTTGTATTTTTAAATATATACGTATTTTGTTTGTATGTGGTGCTGAGGATCAAACCCAGCGCCTCATACATGCGAGGCAAGCACTCTACCCCTGAGTCAACACCAGCCCCATGAGTTTCTTTTAACCTAAGTGCTGCTGATCTAAAAAAATAGCAGTAGCTTTTAGGAGGAAAAAAATCTTTTCTATTTCTTAATACTTAAAAGTGAAATTCTAGGCTGGGGTTGTGGCTCGGCAGTACAGCGCTCGCCTCGCACGTGCCAGATCCTGGGCTCGATCCTCAGCACCACATAAAGATAAATAAGTAAAATAAAGGTACTATGTGTGTCCAACTACAACTAAAAAATAAATATTGAAAAAAAAAGTGAAATTCTTCCTACTGTAATTACTTTACAAATTAAACCTGTTTGACAATATGGGAAAAAATGCATATGCCAAAACTAAAGCTCCATGACACTACATGAATCTTTTAGCTTCTTTGAATTTAAATTTCCTCATATTTAAGGTACAACCAATTGGGCAATTATATAATCACATAAACCACACTATATCAAACTGTAGTAATGAATGTGTAATAAGGGGGGGAGAGAAAGAAAGGAAAAGTGGTGAATAGATATGAAAGAGTAGTCAAAAAGTAAAATGGAGTGCAAGGAAAAATAAGATTGATCAGTGGTTGAGGTCATAATAAGAGAAAAAGGTAGAAGAAAGGGGAAAAGTGAGTTAATACAGAAAATTAAAAAAAAAAAAAATAGCCAAGGAGATACGCAGGTAAGCAGTACACGAAAGAACAGAAAGTGGGGCAGAGATAAAGAGTAAGGGATAAAAAAAAAAGGCTAAAAGAATAAATGAATGAGGAAGTAGAAGAGTTAAGAGTCAGTAATAACAGGCTTAAAAAATGGAGAATCTCTGCATATGAATAAAACCAAACATGACAGGTGAAACACAATCTCAAAGAGAAACTGAATCTGTTAAGATCAATGTTAAGATATAAACAAGATGACTAAGTAGGTAAAAATTAACCATCTCCAAACAAAGCTATGAAAAACAACAGAGGCCAAAGTGACATGATGAATTTACATGAATATAACATAGATAGAAGCAAGACTATTACATATATTGTATAAATAAAATATAAATATATAAGAAAATGGGCACACATTTTTAAATATTGAGTTTTCTATGGTCACTTTGAAAATAACTGATGTCGGGGCTGGGATTATAGCTCAGTGGAAGAGTGCTTGCTTGGCAAGTGTGAGGTACTAGGTTCGATTCTCAGCACCACATATAAATAAATAAAATAAAGGCCCATCAACAACTAAAAAAAAAATTAAAAAAAAAAAAAAAAGAAAAAGAAAATAACTGATGTCTTTAAAAGAGGTATCTATTATAAAAGGGCAACTATCACTGAAATTTTAAACTCCTGACCGCTATAAGAAAAAGATGTCGAACAGGAAGTTATCACATCAAATTATTACATGGCAAAATAGGAAACAGGGAAAAAAATCTATAAAAATTACAATTTTCAATTTGACTGAATCTTAGGATCTGATACTACAGTGGAATACAGAAATTACAGACATACACTTAAATACTCATTTTTAAAATCATCTCTTATATCACAAACGAAAGTATAAAGAGGTCTGTTCTTGTTAAACTTGCCAAAGTTATTATATAGAAATCATTTAATAGTTATGTCACATAAGCTATAGCTATAAGAATAGCTTTTCCCTTCCAAAAGTTAGGATCATTAAATTATTCAATAAATATTTATTAAGCATCTAATATGCTGGCTATCTAGCAGTGGACACAACAGGCAAGTTCCTATCTTTGGGGCTCATGTGTTTTTCCTTTATATTAGAACACCAATACAAAGGAACACACAAAAACACCAATCTTATTATTTAATCAAATTTCATTTTTAAATAAAAATTGATATACTCCCAGGAAATAAAAATTTGATGCAACTGAAACATGAAAAAGAATGCATTTCAGGTTTTTCTTTTTCTTTTTTTGTAGTTATAGACGGAAAGAATACCTTTATTGTATTTGTTTATGTTTATGTGGTGCTAAGGATTGAACCCAGTGCCTCATGCATGCTAGGCAAGTGCTCTACCACTAAGCTACAGCCCCAGCCCCGTGTTTCATGTTTTAATGTCCTTTAATGTCTGAAATGCTGAGACCAAAAATATTTCAGATTTCAAGACTTTTCAGATTTTGAAATATTTGCATAGAATTTACTGGTCAAGCATCTCTAATCCAAAAATCTGAACTATTCCAAAATCCAAAACTTTTTCAGTACCATGTCAGTGGTCAAAAAGTTTTGGATTTTTGGATCATATCAGACTCAGATTTCTGGATTAGGGATGCTCGACCTGTATTACCTTAAAAGAGATAATTCCAGAACAAAAAGTTGCAGAATTTGTTTTTGTTGTTAATCTATACCTGGATATCTGAATTATAGTATATATTTAAACAGCTATTTTACTGCCCAAATATAAACAAAATTGTTTCAGGTTGTTTAAAAGAAATGAAGCATAAAAGGATGTACATATAACTAGATTCTGGCAAAAATCTAATAACCATATTAAAATTTAAGTCTCTTATCTAACTAAAGCACAAAAGGTCTATCTTTTCCCCTTTCTAGACGCAGAACAGATGCCATCATGTATCTATAAACACTAATAAAGTATTAATAAATTATGGTTTAAACAGAAGCCAATGTTTCAAGACAAAAAAAAAGTATTACTCCTCTTTTTGTAACATAATCATTAAAAATGTTTCTAACAATCACCTCACAAACTATATTAGGGTGGCCTTAGTATTTCTCAAATATACCAATTTGACCTTGCTAAGGTCATGGGGTCATATTTCTTTTTTGTTTTTAAACACTGCAATGGACTTTCTGGGATAGTTCAGAGGTACTAAGAAGATAAAAATATATACACTGGAAGCCATTTAAAGTTAAGAAAAAAAAAAAAAACAGTAAATAAATTCCAATTATATAATAGAATATGAAATATAACTTTTAATATTTTTGTACTATTATCTACAGCTACAAGATAAAATGTTGTGGTACAACAATACTCTTAAATGCATATTTTTTGTTATATAAAGTATCTCAGCTGACAAGTATGAAAGGCTGATTTCTTAAAACATAAAAGTCACATTATTTAAAGCTAAAAGAAAGCTGAGCACCTAGCACCCAGAAAGACTTATAGCAGCAACATGTTGGCACTAAAATGTGTGGTACTTCTAATAAAACACAGAAACATTGAAAATTAAACATAACATACAGGCTAAGACCAAAGTATGCTAAAAGACAAGAAAGAAGATAATTTAGAATTCTGCTATACTTTGAGCAACTTGAACAAGTTTTCTTGGTGAGAGGAGGCGGTAGGCGTGCAGGTGGAACTGTGTATCCAGTGAGGCACAGTGTGGAGCAGAAAAGCTGAGTAGATCCTTTCCTCTGATAAGCAGTTTGCCCTTTCTGGAGGATTTTTTTACAACCAGAACAGGAAACTCGAACAGCTGTGGCTGGAACTGAAGGAAGCATTTTATTCATGCCAGATGATGCCAGTGAAGGCTGAAAGCCAGTAGTCAACTGTGGAGCTTCAGAAAAAAATTGAAAGAAAAAAAATGCTTTACTTTTTACCAAGCATTTCAAGTATCCATTCTTTCTTACTTTTCTAGAATAAGTCTTAAAACCCAACAATAATGATACAAGAAATAATTTAAAGGCATTCTAAATGAGCAGAGAGAACTGTCTTATTAATAATACAAGTAGAAACTTCCTCTCATTCATGTTGGTCAGAATAAATATAATTCATTTATTCAGTTTTGTTTCTTACCAAGAGGACTGCCACTGACTGAAAACACAGCACTAATTTTCAGTTCCCCCTCTTGAGTTTTTTGCTGTTGGCCATGACTATACTCCTTTAAAAAGGAAAAAAATAAATAAACATTGAGAAAACAATAAATGCCTAAAGAAATCCAGACATTCAAGACATTTTAATGTTGCTATATCAGTGGAAAACATTTATATTAACATTAATAAGAAATAATAAAATACAAAACAGTAAGCAAACTAATAAGGCTTTGTATATACTGGGAGAATAAACGGGAAAAATGAAAGTTAGCTACCTAATGAGCCCGTGGTACTAGATATTTATAAATTAATTTTGAAACTGTTTAGTATTACAGTATTTTAAGTTATAGTTTATTATAAAAGTAATACACATTCTCTATAGAAAATTTAGAAAAGTAGAAATAAGAAAAAAATCTAATCATATTTCTATCACCCCAAAAGAACCCACTGTTGTTCTTTCGGTATATTTCTTTCCAGTCTTTTCCCCTCCACTATTCAAAGGTTTTCTTTCTTTACACAGTTGTGATTATTCTAAATAAACTATTCTTAAAAACTGATAATTTATTCACATGAATTTCAATTATTTGAATTTTTACATATTATTGCACAATACTCCAAATGACTCCTAATGGTTAAATACCAATGTTTCCAAGACTGAAGTCCAAGAAACCCTGTGGTTAAGGCAGTCTGAGAATTCTAAAGTAACATTTTTTAAATTGTTATTTAAATGATTTTTATATGCATATCAACATTTTAAGTCATGAATAACCATCACTTAAATGAAGTCTAATACAACTGAGTACTGTTGTTTGCTTTTATAATTATATTGTTGCATCATGATACCATTAAGTGTCAGACTGAACTTTTAAGATATTGTTTATCACATTGAAGTTCAAATTACTGCAAAGATCCCTTATTATTGGAATTCTGGGGTATCTCAGACATACTCCCTGTGTGTGTGTGTGTGTGTGTGTGTGTGGTAAGGAGGGTGTCAGTACGTTATTAAAGTTTGAGAAATATCAAAACATACTACTTAACAGACATAAGATTACACAGGGACATGACACAAGTACAGTGGGTACACATGCCTCAGGCACAAAATTAAAGGCACCAAAATGTTCAGCAATTTAGATAGTATTTTAATGTAGTATTTTGAAAAACCAAAATTTATGCAAAAATCTTTGATGAACAAAATAGCAAATTTTTAAATAAAGACATCAACTTTTTTCCTTTTGCCTCAGGCTCCAATATGGCCCTGCATGGTACTGAGATTATATAACCCAATGTTGGTTCATTTAATGAATGTTTCCACACATTTAATACAATCAATAATTCAATGATTAGTATCTTTTGTGAATACCCGTAACTTGATTCTAAAAATGGAATTACTAGATAAAAAGGTACATAATAAAGGCTTTTGATACTCAGTGACAGATTGTTTCCCCAACAAAACTATTCTTTTTTTTTTTGATACTGGTGATTGAACCCAGGGATACTTTACCACTGAGCTACATCCCCAGTCCTTTTTATTTTTGAGACAGGGTCTCACCAAATTGCTTGGGGCCTCGCTGAGTTACTGAGGCTGGTCTTGAACTTGCGATTCTCCTGTCTCAGCCTCCTGAGTCACTGGGATTACAGACATGCGCCACCATGCCCAGCTCTAAGCTGATCTTAATTATATTTATTCCAGCTATTAATTTTTAAAAAAGCCAATTCAAAGAGTATTTTCCCATTGTTTCAATTTGCAATTATTTTTAGTGTTCATTTACAAGGTACATTATAATTTACAGAATTAACCTTCTGTAGCATCTTATCAATATTCCCTCAATATGTACTTTGAATTAAAATTTTATGTTTGAGGTTTCCATTTTTATGCCAAAAATCTAACAATCTTTACCTTTGTGATTTCTTCTATCTCTTACAAAGTTTTACTTCCATAATAAAATAATAAGACAGTGGTTTCATTGTTTATTATACAGTCCTTTAATCCAGGGGTCAGCAAACTTTATCTGCAAAGGGCCAGATAGTAAATATTTTTGACTTTGCAGGCCATACGGTCTCTGTCACAACTACTCAACTCTGCCTTGGTACAGCAAAAACACCCACAGATAAAATGGAAAAAAATGACCGTGGCGACATTCCAATAAAACTTTATTATAAAAGCAGTGGGTTAGGGTAAAAAAAACACACACAAACAAGGTGGATTGGATTTGGCTAGACACTGATAATTTGCCAACCCTAGCTTTGTTTCTTTCCCTAAATACCTAGTGAATTCCTTCCCACTTGCTATTAATAATAATATATTAAGTTCATGACAATAATGTCTACCTCGGGACTATCTATGCTGTATCATTATCAGCCTAACTAATCTTATACCATACTATTCTAATCAAACAAAATTGTAGGATAAACCATTTAACATGATTTTGCCACTCTCAACCTCCCCAACTATTTTTTAGAATACGTAAGTACATAGCTCAGTGGTAGAGTGCATGCATAGCATGCATGAGGACCTGGGTTTAAACCCCACCCCAGTATAATTTTAAAAAGGTAAAAAGATAGAACATATATGCAACATGTTTATATATGCACAACTATTATTCTTCAAAACCTGGGGCCTAACCATTTACATTTCCCTCAGAATTACATCAAACACGCATCTTAAGAATAACTAACATAATATCTCTTACATTTCTTTAAAAAGTGGTGTCTCCATTCAAGTTGTCTTTCATATGACATAAGTACATATTAGATGCTGCTGGGAATACCTATCTTTCTTGTTGTATCATCTAACTTTGGAAAAGTGATATATAGAAATATTACTAACTTTTATATAACTATAATTCAACTAGGTACTCCACTAAACTTTCAAAAGTTCTATTAATTCTCTAACAAAGATCCTTACCAGCAAATGATGATCATTTAATCTCCTTTTTTCCATTACTTTTTCTTCTAATTTCCTTAACATCTACTGGGCCAAAAATCCAGTAAGAGTTAAATAATACTGTTGACATCAATAAGCTGTAGTCTTTTAACAGAGTATCTATTATAAGAAATGTATAATGAATTACATGAGATGTCTTTTGGCATCTAAGAAAGTGACTATAACAAATACTCTTTACTTATGCTGCTGATGAAATGTATATATTAAATTTTTTCATATACTGACATCCTGACATTCCTATATTACATAGCATGTTAAAACAAATTTTCAGTGGGAAAATCTCAGAAAACTACAAAAATAATCAGTGCTCATTAGCTCACATCAGTGGTCTCCAGCAAGCTCTCTGTGATGGCAATTCCAAACTTCTGATGCATTCTTCAACCAACTAGCCTATCTTACTTATACTTATATTACTAATAGTAAAATAAGTATATTTGTTAAGTTCTCTGTTTGAATATACCATTTATATTACTAATAGTAAAATAAGTATATTTGTTAAGTTCTCTATTTGAATACACCATATCTTCAAGGCAGAATATCTGGTTTATCTGTATTCCTCCACAATGAGTACTTTTAAGAAATGAATGAGTGAGTAGAAAATAATTGTTAAATGTATTTGAGAACTGATTGATGACCCAAAAGCTTTTAAAGGAAAAAAACACAGGTGTCTGACCACAATCATTTACCAATACCCTTACTTTGTTTACCACAGAAAGATCCATATTAATATCCCAGGACAGTATTTTAGACATGAAGAACACAGTTTCCGCAGCCAAATTAAATTGTTAAGGCTAAAACAAAGTCCTAAGATTTGAATGACTGAATGACTGTATTAAACGTTCCAAGACTATGTGAATCACTATCATGAAAATCAGTTAAATTTGCTTTCCCATCTTAATTTATTTATTTCAATGAGAGATTATAGATTAGTTCTCCCTAATCAGGCAAAATAGCACATTCCTGTACTCACAGCAGCTCAGGGGACTGAGGCAGGAAGATTCTGAGTATGTGACGCCAAGCCTTAGCAACTTGCAACTTAGTGAGACTGTGTCTTAAAATTAAAAATAAAAATAAATGGAAAAAAATTAAAAATAAAAAAAAAAACCTGTGGCTGTAGCTCAGTGATGAGCATCTCTGAGTTAAATCCCTAATACCAAGAAAGGAAGAGGGTTGGAGAAAGCTCTCCATCTATTTTTATGAGAAAGAAGAAAAGAATCATGATTTTCACATAGGTGTCTCGTTTTCAGAACCAATGGAAAAAAAGGATAAGAAAATGTGAGGTCTCTGGCCCTCCTTAAAATTTCTATTTTAAAACCTTCTCTTGGCATTTTAAGAAATGAAGCAACTTTTACTTACAGGAAGATTGGTAAACTATCAAAAACAAGACTTTGATTATGACCCCACTCTGGCTCTTTCCTGGACATAAGACCTTCAGTAAATAACAATCTCTAGAAATGGAACTACCCCATTCAAAAGTGGTAAATATCCTTTACTCTGGCCATCTTCCAGAGTGTTGTTGAGTGGATGAAATACCATAGTACATATAAAAGCATCTGTACTTATTTAAAAAAAAACTATAGAAAATACTATAGTAACATGAAATGGGATTAGAATGAAGAAATGAAACTGGAAAATCAAATGAAGTTATGCCAATAACAGAACCAGGAGGAAGTGACTAACAAACCCAGAAATTTATAACTGAAGAAATAACCAAGAGCAAACGGGTAGAAGTTAAACATACATACACACATTTCAGTAACTTTGCAATTTATATATAAGTGAAGAAATTAAAACCAAAAGGAGAATTAAGAAGTGAACTGAGAGTAAAAACTACAAAATTAAGCACAAAGAAAACCAAGGGAAGTTTTGAAAATGTGTCATGAGCTCAAATTATGATTTTATTAAATCATGAAAAAAGTTATTAGTAAATGATAGTCAAAAGTAAAGGTTGACCAACTGTAAAGTCTATCAGTATTTATAAGAAGGTTAAAGTAATATTTTTGAGACTATGAAAATAACACATAGGAATTCCCTTTTTTAGTCTATGGGAAATTAATAAGATTAATAAAGCATTATGCAGTACTGAAAAGCAAATAATATAGATTTCTAAGGGTCATGGGGGAGAAATACCTAAAAGAACAGGACAATGAAGAGGGAGAAGGAGGGGGTCAGGAAGGGAAGAGAGAGGAAGAAGGAGAGGGAAAGACAAGGAAGAGCAAAGAACATGAGTCCCCTGGGGGATTCCAAAAGAATTATCAGAGGTCTGGTTCAACAGGATTAGTGTGGCTGACAATACAGAAGACTGCTCAAGGAAAACCTACCTTTATCTACTCACATCCTGGGACTGCTTTATTACGGGGGTCAGGGTAAAGAATGCTTTTGGATCTTATGCCTCGGACCTACTCATATTACTGCTTCATTCTTAAGAATCCAACCATGTGATGAGCCTTTGGGATAATTCTTCCCCATAATCAGGATAAAACTTCGAGTTCAACATTTTATAGCACATTTTATAATTTTGAGTAAGTGTGTAAAAAACAGGCATTTCTATCCATCCATCCTATTTATATGCTCCAGCCACGAATGCCCTCTACCCCCACTATATTTGGTCTTTCCTAAAACTGTTTTTTGTCCCAATGAAATGTCACTGGATCATGTACAAGAGAAACAGATGTCTTTGGTGTCCTGCCAAAACTATGAATTCTTATGACTTTCCCATGTCCACACTGTGGAGCATGTAAGATTTGAGATCTACCCATAGTTGAGATCTACAGCCATAGTTGTTATCTTCTGAGGCATATACTATCACATGAGCTTTCCCTGGGTGTCAGGACATTTATCTCTAATCCAAAAATCTACAAACATGTTCACTCTACTTTCTATTCAATATTTCATATTCTTTTTACTGTCTTCTTCTAGAACCACACTCATATCAATCCAACTCCTATAGCTTTATTGTCACTACCCTAATGCATATATACCTCCTCTTGGGCACCATGAAATTCTGGCTTCATTGGGCATCAATCTGACAAATACAAAACACCTACCTCCATAATCACCTATTCTTCCATGGATTTACTCTAGAACAGTGGTTCTCAATAGAACATGATTTTGTTCCCCAGGGGACATTTGGCAATATCTGGAGACATTTCTAGTTGTTACAAATATAGAGAGAAGTAGAAGCCAAGGATGCTGGTAAACATTCTGCAATGCATAGGGCAGCCCCTACTAATAGAGAATCTGGCCCAAAATGCCAATGGTGCTGAGATTTGAGAAATTCTGCTCAAGGAGACCTGAATAAAAAAATTATCTGCCACAGAAGTCCTACATTCTTAAGTCCTCTAATAAAACAGAAAGATAGGAAAAGATATGCCAGTCATGGTGGCACATGCCTGTAATCCCAGCGACTCAGGAAGCTTAGGCAGGAGGACACCAAGTTCAAAACCACTTAGCAAGGTTCTGAGCTACTTAGTGAGACCTTGTATCAAAAAAATAAAAATGGGTTGGGGATGTGACTCAGTGGTTAGGTGCCCCTGGGTTCAATCCACAGAACCAAAAAATAAAAACTAAAACTTTCCCCAGATCAAATATAATTTCAGAAAAATAGCTAAGTCATGCTATGTTCACTTCTTATCCTCTGAATTCATGTCATCTGTACAAAATAGACACCTTCAAATAATTGTTACTACTGTATATTCATCCCTTAGACCCCTTCCTATATTTAAAAATGATGATGGCATCTGATATAACTTACTTCTACCATTCCAACTGCTGAAAGTCATGAACTGGATATCTTAGTTGACTTCAGAACTTCACAGTTACAGGACACCTATGACTTTTACCTCCACAGCAACTTAAAATAGCAAAGCTCCATGCTTACCCTCAGTACTCAAAATCTCAAACTTGGAAACATGTATCATTCACCAAAGCTTCCTTTACTTTCTACCCATTACTCCAATAAACTGGTTCTTTGCTCAATTAACCCTTCCAAAGATACTCTGCTCATTAACCCCAACCTGAAAGACAATAAATCCATATCTAACCTGTACTTCATTAGCAGTAACTGCAAAGAATTACTATTCTGTATGCAATCACACCACAAACCCATAATCTACCATAAGCCTTCATCAATATCTACTCTATCAATCTCAAATCCTTAAAGACTCACTGTTTCCCTAATCCTGCACTGAAATGCTTTACAAAAATCACAGTGGTATTAACAAACAAAGATAATTAAAAGCCTTAATTACTACTTGGGAAATTTTTCATTTAACTCTTGTTAATGCCTTGCAAGACAATTTGAATCACCTCAACCTCCTTTAACAGTCTCCTTTCACCTTGTCAACAAACAACTTCACTTCTTAAACACTTCCTCTCTCAAATGAATAATTCAATGTGTGGAACAAAAAGAAGGGGGGAAAACAAAAAGGTGAAATGTTTACTTGAGCATTTTCAGGTTCATCTTTAATTTTGTCTAGTAGTCCCTGCTGTGGTGCCATTGCTTTGTCATACTCATCATCCAAAGGTTCTTCTTTAATTCTAATATTTGATGCAAAGGAATTCCCCAGTTCCGAACCAATGGATTCTTTATTGGCAAATGGGTAGCTGGAATCCTAAAACACAATATAAAGGATTAATAAATATTCAAATTTAAAAATTATTCCTCTTCAGGTTTAACACCCAAAGAAAAGCTTATTGGAAATGAAGAACTGTGGACATTCATCAGGCTCCCTATACCTAAAAGTAAATGTGCTATAGGTCTAAATATCAAATATAAAGCTGAGGCTTCTTAGAATGTCTCCAAATATGTCCTTACCCAAATAATAAAGCAAATAAAAAAAAAAAATCAGTGTTCTACCTGACACATATAGTTAGAGTAGAAAGTGACATACAGAAAAGTTTGACACTTGCCACAGTTAACAGCAATCTACATACACACTGAAAACTTACCCTAAAGTTTGTTTCTGGGGTTTGTGGTAAATGGGTATGTAATGTTTCTTCAACTTGATTAGCTATTGAAAGAAAAACAAACAAACAAATACATGTATATGAATAACAAATCTTATTAAAAATGACCCCAAAAGCTATCATTTGATAATCGCCTCTCTTTTCTAACAGATATGCTCAATAGAGTGAACTGGGTCCCCAAAGAACACCCAAAAGGAAGTTTCACTCAAAATTATTTACAACCTAGCCTCACCTACCTTTTAGCATTACTTCATACCTTTTCCTTGCTGCAACATAAAGTGGCTACTTTATTCACTGTGCTCTGAAAATAATACTTGTGTTTGTTCTACAACTCATTTCTGCTAATTCTACTCCAAAGTCTCCTCTGTCTATCCTAATATTTATAATTTTCCAGATTATGCTTAGTTCAAAATTCACCTCTCCTCTATAAAACACTCCCTATTCACTAAGTTAAAAATTATCTCTCTCCTAAGAATCCTTAAAACAGAGTGTTTCAGCTATTTGAAACAAATCTTATATTGCCTTATGATAGACTCTTCTAATATTGCCTTTAATTATAAATTAAATCTTATGCTATTCAACTAGTCAGCTATTTCATGTTTTTTCCCTTCTACTACTCCTAGACATTATGTTCCTTCAGAAAAAGGACTCCCACAATTTTCATTATCCTCTACAGGGATACTGAAATTATATACTGAATTACATAAATCAGTAACACCATATATCCTTACAGAACCTTGTACATAATAGTTGTCCTTATAAACAATATAACTTTGTTCTTTCTACTATATATTAACTAGCATTGTCAACAGAAATATAATGATTGGCATAATGCACTTGCTTTCCTTTGCGTCAGTTTAACATTGTGGAAGGATTACATTTTTCACTGCACATGCTCCAAGAATACAAAGATGAATACAATAAAATGCAGCTCTCAAAAAACTCTTACACTAGTGGGTAAAGCAAAAACAACAATAACAACAAAAAGAGAACTATAATATTGTTTGATAAGTACTATAAATGGGGCTGAAACAAAATGCTGTGAAAATACAGGTAAGAAAACAATTCATTCTTGATATAGAGCAGTTAGGAATAACTATAGAGTAGAAAAGGTTTATAAGTTAGGCACCATTCAAATACTTTTATGGGCACATGTACAAGACAGAAAATGACATGCAGGCAAATGGAACAGCAAGAAAGGTATAGAAGAAAATATATAGTATATTCAAGAATGGAACTGGAGCTAACATTTGTTACACTGGGCAAAGAGACTCAAAAGGAGCCTCGAGAAACTTCTCCAACATAAAATTGATTTTTTTTTTTTAAATCTTTCTATACTAATTGGTGGGACAGCAGTTTGAATGAGTGCTTACAGCACAAAGAAGTTAAATCCAACTTCAGGTTCCAATGCTCAATCAAAGAAAATGAACAGGTGATTCAAGTATCTTGTCTTCTCATCAAAATATTGCAAGCAAAGGGAAGGAGAAATGAGATTTAGAGCTATTTTTCAATCATTTATATCATTACCAAAAGTTACTGGGATAAATTCAGTCACTCTGCAAAGAACAAGGATAAAAGAAAAATGACAAACTTACAATGAATTTAACTGTTCATATTTACTTAACATTGAAAGTAATAAAAGCTATATTATTATCAATACTTTGTTACTGTGTTCATGGTGCTATTCCAACAATTATTACCTGCTTTATCAAAAAAACTGCTTTTCAACCTTGAATCCAAATCTTTATGGGGTTTATCCAATCGTTTTTCACGTTCATGATAAGTTAGGTCTCTATTTTTCTCCTTTCCAGAAAATGTCTCTTTGCTGTTTTCTCTTACTAGACTAAAATCTTTCCGTATTGATTTAAAGACAGAAACCTGATCAAACTGTTTAGGAAAGTCTTTTTTTAATTTATTCTGAATTTGTATTTCATTTTCATTGTCTGATTCATGCTGTGTGACTCTTCTCTCTACTTCCAAGCTATCATCAGTATGGATTGAAGAAACAAGATTGTCCTTTGAACTAAAATCCTGTTCATCCTCATTGTCACTACCAACGACTGGAATTCCTGCAAGATCCCCAGAGTTCAAAAAATAATCATCTTCATCCAGCAATGAATTTTCAGATCCTGTTTGATTCGGCATTCCATAAGACATGCTGTCAAGGGTAGGAGTTAAGTTGTGGTCTATATCTTCAGACATTTCTGTATCCATGATACCACCACCTTAAAAAGTAAAATACTGTTTAGACAAATGATAGTGCTAAAAATGACCACAATTATAAGGTCTGTCTGGTATTTAGCCAAACATATATATATATTTTTTTTTCTTTTCAAACAAAATAGATAATATAACCATAGTATTCATTTAACACTGGATATAGGTGTGACGGACATGATTACCCTCATCCAACAGTTAAAAGAAATAGAGAACCAAAACTTGAAAAACTACTTTGGTTAGAAAGGAAGACCACGTGACATAAAGAAAAGAGGACCAACTACAGAATCAGACTTATCTGGGTTGTAATCATAGTATAATCCTAAAAAATCTGTGATCCTAAAAAGTTAACTCAGAGTCTATAGATAAAACAGCATAATACTCACCTTGGAGATTAATTTATGGTGAGAATTAGTGATAAATAAAGGACTTACTGACATAGTGACTGAAACAGAAAAAGGAATATGAAGTGCTAACTTTAATTTTACAATTCTGGATTCAGCTACCCAGAATACTCACTATTATAGAACCCAGATTTCTGGTCCAAAGAGTTCAACTTACTTTCTTTCTTTTTTTTTGGTGTGTGTGTGTGGGGGGGCGGGTACTGGGGATTGAACTCACGGCTTTGTGCATGTGAGGCAAGCACTCTACCAACTGAGCTATGTCCCCAGCCCTTCCATTTTCTCTGTGTTAACACTAATTCAGACTTAACACAGTTAATATTTACAAAAGAAAATATTTAAACATGAAAATAAAATTTAACCATCCTAAGAGTAAAAAAAAGAGTTTACTCTTTATAACTATATGCTAAAATCTCTCCCATTCCAAAATTTTTTTAAAAAAAGAAGACCCCCAACCCTATACTGTCCTCAATTATCTTTCCTACATGAATTTATAGAAAAAAGTCTACATTAGTTCATTTCTACTTCACCTCCCAATCATCAGTCCTTTGAGCTTGATATAATCAGCTCCCAACTTTCCGCTGAAATTATTCTCACTAACAATATTAGAGTCAAGTCCAACTGATTATTTTCAAACCTTAAGTGGTATGTCCCTACTGAATAAAATTCCTTTGGTTTCTTTGACAATGAATTTCTTCTCACCTTTCTAACTGGCCTATTAACTTGTTTTATATTCCTTTTCCTGTTCATGTCTTCAATATTAGGTTTTCTCCAGAATTCCAGTTTCTTATTCCATACACTAAGATTAAAATATTTTATTCACCTGCATAGCCTTTTGCTACTGACTTTCTAATTAGATATCTATATTCAATTAGCTCCTTTGTATGTAAGTCCCTAAGGAATTCCAACTTAAAAACTGTAAATTCAAACTCATCATGTACCTAATCCAAGCTAACACTTCTTGTATTTCCCTCACTTGATTAATGACTTTGCTAAACCAGCAACTGTTCAAGATATAAGAATTGTTCCAATCTCCCTCTCCCCTGGCAACTTCTGTCAACTCTATTAGTTAATCTCTCTCAGACATTCAGCACCTAGTTCTAGTACTTCAAATTTCTTCCTGTACTACTGCAGTATCTTTGACAGTGCACTAATTCAGTCCACATAAACATTTAGGAAATAATTATATTCTTACAAACCCTGGGCCAAGAACACATTTAATTGGTCCACAAATAGGCAAACTAGAACTAATAAAAACAGTGAAACGAAGAATGAAAATATTACAACATTGGCATCCCTGTTTTTATCTGTTCCTGAAACCCAGATACAACTTCAGGTGATAGGACCATTCCTCAACAATTCCTTGGACTCGATGATTCAATATATTCCCCTTTTTACTTTAGGTATTTGTAATAAAGTCCAAATGATAGATTGATTTATTTTTTTATTTGTTCTTTATTTTTTATTTGTTCTTTTTAGTTACATGACAGTAAAATCTACTTTGATATATTTGTACAAACATGGAATATATCTTATTCTAATTAGGATCCCAGTTGTGTGGATATACTCAAATGAGAAGTTTTCCTCAAGTTATCCTCTCGTAGAGACACCAGAATTATCTAAAACATTAATCATTCCATATTATTCTCTCCCCTGAGATCCTTCAATAGTTCCCCTGGCTTAAGGAACTGACTAACTCATTCAGCACATAATCTACGGTAAACACTGTGCTAGGTACCAAGGATAAAAAGATGGTAATGATTTCTGTTCCTCAGAGCTAGAAAAACAGTAAAATGGAAAACTTGAAAACAGTGTGATAATAGGTAAATAAAACTTTCAAGTTCATAATGCTATCAGGAGAGATAAAAGCATTCTATTAAAAAAGCATTTTTGGTTTAATATATCAGAAGAATGATTGCTAAAGAGAAAATAATGGGCAAAAAAAAATCACTTTTCTACTTTCTAAAATAATAATAAATTCAGAGAACAAATGGTAAAACAGACGCTAAAATCTTAAAAGGACATGTGTACTAAAGAACTTACATGATGAGTCATGATCATGACTGTAACTTACTTTCTCACAGTATCCCATATAGAAGAAGCAAGGCAGGAGAGAACAGCAGAAACAATACTATAGATATTATTATTTTAATTTTTCCATTTATTTGAAAATTCTCATAATAAGAGAAGATTAGATAGAAAATACAAATAACCAGAGTGGACACACACACACATACACACACACACATCTACCAAACTGTAAGCACCTAAAGGTCAGTGTTAAGCCTTTTCTCTACAACGGTTTATCCTTACTAGCAGGCCACATGGCATATGCTCTGTAACAATTTCATGAATGAAATGCATTTTAGAAGATCCGCAGTTTAAGTTCTACTATAGATGAGATATCAATACTAAAAAGCAATACTGCAAGCAATTCTCCTTACCTCTACATTTAAATTCAGGATATGGTATCAGGAAATAGATAGTCACCTGGAAAAAAACACATGCCTAACTCACACCAAAATAACTTCCATATGTACCTAGTTTAGATGTTAAAATTTTTTTTTAAAGAAAACATGAAAGAATTATTTTTAAGTCATAAAACTGAGCAAGTTTTTGTAATGATAAAATGAAATTAAAATACCAGTTTATTGAAAAAAAATAAAAGATCAAATGTGACTACAAAAATTCCTATAGAAGAAAAAAATCAAATTTAAAAGATAGAAGGATAAACTGGCTAAAAAGATTTCAGTGCAGTATATCATAAAGGGTAATCTCTAAGAGAAAAAGAAGAGACTCAGAGTCCAATAAAGAAACACGTAACCAAATACACAAATAAAAGCAAAGAATCTGAACAAACATTTCAAAGAAGGGAAATACCAAGGGTCAATAAAAGAAATGCATATTAATAATGCAATGAGCTACCATGTTCACATAGCAGGTATCCATTGTTCTGTCTTCCCCCTCCCCACCCCCAACCCCCACACACAAATTTATTGTTCTATGTGTAAAGAGTAGCATCTTATGTTGGTCATTTGGACTTAAGTTTCTTGTGAAAGTCCCATGTACATGTAAAATTATTAAAACTTGGTTTTTTTATTGTTTTTTTGTTGTTGTTAATCAGTCTTATGTTAATCTGGTTCCTGGATCTAGCCAAAAAGCCCACATAAGGTTTAAGGGGGAAGAAAGGAGAAAGTAGAATCTCTTCCTCTCTCATACTCTATATGATGCTTGGCATATTTCTGGAAAAACAAGTACATTTTACTAGAATTGAATGACCAAAAGTGCTCAAAATGGACAGAGAAAGAAGAGACCTATGAGAAATTTGTAGATAACAGAAAAATTGCAAAGTATTTAAATGAGAAGAGAAGTCATTTAAAATTCCTGAAGACATGTTTTATTTATGTTTTATAAGAATCTTGTGTTTTACATATGGATTCTGTATACCAGAAGAGTGTTGAATATTATAAGGAAGTGGAAAATGAAAGATGAAATACTGGTTAGGAAGCTATTGCAATAATCCAAGGAAAAACTGGTGAGTAGGGCCAAGTTGGTAATGGCATAAAGATCTCAGGTTTGGATACACTTTAAAGGTAGATACATTTCCTGGTATAAGATGCTGGGAATAAAAGAAGTCAAGGATAACATAACAAGGTTCCATTTCTTCAAACAGGAACACTAGAGTATCAAATCAAAAAGAATAACATGAATACTTTGGTTGTAGGACTGTTCATTTTGATATCTTTATTAAATCTTCAAATGGAAATATAAGAAAGCCGTTGGAGAACAGTGAAAGTCTGTAATTCTAGCAGCTCAGAAATCTGAGGCAGGAAGACTGAAAATTGAAGGCCAGCCTGGCCAACTTTTTAATTAAATTTAATTAAAACTTAAGTGGGGACTGGGGATAAAATTGAGAGGTAAAGCTCCCCTGAGTTCAATCCCCGGTGACAAAAAAAAAATAATTAAAAAAAATGAAATACAGCATTTGGATATATTAGTCTGTAGTTAAAGATGAGACTTCTGCCAAGTAATGAGGAAAAACAATTAGGAATGCAATGTAGAGATAGTACTTAAAATTCACCTGACTAGATAAGATCACCTAGTTAGTTTACTTACTAGAAATGGGAAACAGCCAAGAGTCATGAGACATTTCAACATTCAGAAATCTAATAGGAATAAAGGTTCATAAAAAGACACCAAAAGAACAGCCAGGGTTGGAAATGTAGTGGTAAAGTGTCTGCTCTGCAAGCACCAAGCCCTGAGCTCAATCCCCAATAGGGGATGGGATTTAAGAATGGGAGAGACTAGCCAGAAGGTAGGAAGAAAAAAAGGGAATTACTAGCTATAATAAATGCTAACATGACTAATAAAATGAAAACTGAAAATATATTACTAATATTTGCAAAGTTTAAATGAACTTTTATCTTAACAAGAACTGTATCAGCGGGAAAATAAGTGAACAAGCCTCTGAGGGCAGATTATTATCTTCAGAAAGACTGAGAGGAGATAACTTGACAACACATTAAGTACAGATGACTCTTCAAAGAAACTTTGCTCTGAATTAAAGAAAATAAGCTGAAACTAAACTAAAATCTGGAATAAATAGG